GATGATATTCATTTTGTCCATTGCTAGTTTTCGTTTTTTTTTTTAACCGTGTTGTAAACTTGATCATTAATAAGCCACTGTCAATCATTCATTAGGCTAGGAACACCAAAAGCGTTATGGAAATACCTGTACCCAAACAGTTAAGTGAACCAGGCGTCGCCAAGGCCAGCATTATCACTGTTGACCAAGAAGAAAAGGTCAAAAGAAGCACGAATGACGGAAAAAACGAAGCGGATAGTGTTAATCAAAAAACGGAGAAAGTGGGGCAAGTAACGAATAAAATTCCATGCAGGTCGGAACAAATGAAGATTGAAGCCACTTTGCTGGAAACTGAGGTAAACAATTAACGAGATATACACTTTTTCTTTGGGTCATAACCAATCGGTTCTGGTGTTCGTTTAACCAGCTTTGTGATATTCGCATCTTTTATTATTAGTGGTACAATACATTTCTTGGGTCATAAATACATACACTCTTATAAGTACCTTTTCACAAGGTTTTCCTTTAAAATTTTATGATTGAACCTTATAATGTTCTTTGGTTCTTAAATACATTTTCATCCTTTTCCAAATTTTGTTATTTACTTGATCATTAATGACACGATTTCAATTTATTAATATAGGTTAAGAAACCCCAGAGCTGTTTACAATTATCTGAATTAGAACCGTCAATAGAGCTAGTCGCCTCCTCGACCGAAAAAGTTACGGTTGAAGACAAAACACAGTTTGGTAGCAGCACGAGAAATGATGGGAAAAAAGAAACGTCACAAACTCAAAGTAAGACCCCGCGTCGTTCGAATTCTCCTATAGACGTCGATCCAAGCATTATTTTGCTAAGACGGAGTTTGGAAGAAAAACCACTTGTCTCTCCAGAAAATATCATCTACTTGAGCAGCTTAGATTTGGGAGATCCAAGCATTTTACTGATGGGACCTGTATTAAAAGAACGGGCATCAGAAGGGGAGAGAGAACAAAATGTTGGGAACCACGGCGTTCCGATGGTTGAACCTTTCAACAGAGAAGCGCGTGTTAAAACCATCCCGACAAAAAGGGGGAAAACCCTGCAGGTACGACATTTTATGAATCTGAAAAGCTATTGAAAATTGTAAACAATCACAAATCCTTTTATTAAAAATTATTTTAAATGGGGCCATTTTAATGAACTGAATGAGATAGACGGAGTTCTGGTTAAGGCAAAAGGCTCAGTGACATGGTATATTTCGATCAAATGTACCATATGCCTCCCTCATGTTAAGAGAACAACTGACGTAAGATGTTTGGAATATGTGAATACAATCAAGTGTCTTTTTTATCATAGGAGGAGAAAGCCGAGCCACAAAATCAACAATTGGGAAAACAAGGTGAAAGCAAAGGAAGCTTATTGAAAATACGAGAAAAAGCACAGAGAAATGCAGGGATACGAAACCAAAGTGTTAAAAAGCCATATATCCCGGTGGTTGAACACGTCAGCAGGGAAAATATTAAATCCTTCTCGAAAAGGGTGAAGATACAGGTAGGACTACGCCATAAATGGAATACCCTTACTCTAGATTTGTTTTGAACCTTTTCTGATTTGTTGGCCCTTGCAATTTTATCATAATATTAAACATAGCCTTCATCGATTTGTGTTATTAATCTACTGTCATTTTTGTTATAGGCAGAGAAATGTTTTAACCTGGTGTCAGAAAAACAAGCTATGACCGAACATGAAGCACAAAGATCAGGATGCATGATGAAGCCAACAGTTAGCAAGCAAGGCGTTCTGGCGGACGGAAATCCTCCAATGGAAAATGGGCATAAAGATGTTACTGGACCACGATCGAAAAGGAGAGTCCACACTCCATTTTTCAATCACGCAGGCAGCGAGCTTAGCGTAAATGATTTGGCCATAAAGCAGATCAAGATCGAACCCTCTGTGCTGCATACTGGGGTTAATTTAGAGGTCGACATAAGAGATATGAGCCCCAATCGAAAGGAGGAAAAAAATAAAGCAACGCTGGAGCGTCAAGATTTAGAAGCATGTAATAATGGAGGAGCAAAAATGACCAAACCCGAGGAAGATTTAACAAAGGATAAAAGGGACGCTCATGTACAGAGAGTGACACCTTTGCCAGAGAAAGATCAGATAGAATCGACGTCAATCCAGAAAGCATGCTCCTCTTTCACTATACGCGAACGATGTTTGGAGGACTTTAGTACATGGTACTGTGATTTGTATCTTACAGGGGGACATCTAGAACTCATCTATATGAAAAAGTTCTACGAGTACCAGGAAATGAAGTCTCGACGTGATAAACTCTTATGTATATTTCATAACAGCCTGAGACATGTCAGAACTTTAGCCTGTTTAGCTGAAATGAGAGTTGGGAATAAACACAGTGATGGAGATTCAGAATGTTTAAAGACTGCTAAAACAGTTAGAGAAAAATGGAAGAGAGCAGCTTTTCGAGCGCGACATGCCGCTTTGCGAGAACTTGCTTTAATCTGGGACAAAGCAGATTTTACCGAAACTTCAATTAGTCGTGTTCCCTCTCTCTCTTCGGTTACTTGCTCGTCCATTGCCCCAGAAGAGCAAATGTTGGACAGGCGGACGTCTGACGCCTCGGACATAGGCACAAAACGATACATAAGTCGACAGCAAGACGCTGCTCTTCGTGATTCCGAGGAATACAACAAGAAGGCATACTTTCTCAGTAATATGAAGCTCTATAAGTTCGTCAACTTCTTCCAAAGACAGTATATTTTAGAGAATGATTACAACGTGGCTGACTTAAATTATTCAGACTGGGATATAATCATCAAATGTCAGCAAGTACACGAAAGGAAGATAAGAAGTTCAAAAATTGAAGGCGGTGTTTCTCCCGGAAAGGAGCGTAAACGCCAAACACCCTGTCAGGAAAAGAAGGCGCCCACTTTGCAAAAAGACACCACCCCTGAACAGAGAAATATAGATTTAATCCACGCACAAACTTCTGTTGAAACAACACCGTTGCCTTCAAGTGAGAGTGACAATCGTAATGGAAATGAAGCAACCGGACAACAGATTAATACAATAAAGCAAAAGAAGGGGAGAAAGAAAGCTGTTGTTCTTTTAAGTACGTGCAGTCTTCCACGTTATAATTTGTGAACTACAGACTTTATCCTGCTAAAATCTTACTCATTATTAACTATGTAGGACATTTTGTGTGTCTGTGAGTGAGTGTGTGTTAATTATCAGTTTTGAGAGCAAAGTTACTCATAAAAAAAATCTGCATAAGAGAACGACATAATATTTTCACTGAACACAGTGGCAGGAATTTTTAATGTAATGACAGTCATGCCGTTTTCCTTATCTACATCTCAGTTTATTAAGTTCTGTTCCCATTGACAGTTTTCAATTATTTATCTATAATATTTAACTATATATTTTTTTGTAAAATATTACTACTGATCTACCTAATGTATTGAAATATGATTATTTGACTTATTACTTGTTTACAAATGTTGAAACTTTAAAATTACGAAATAAAATTTGAATCGATTTCTACCTAGTTGTTTTGATTCCACCTTTTAAAATATACAGTGAAAATAAGAAAAATATTTTATTCAGCTTATGCATAGAATGTTTGTACATTAGAAACTGATTTCTGTCTTAAAATAAACGTGATAGGTAGGAGTACGTTTGAAATATAAATACATTATATACTGACAGTCAATGAAAACGCATCATTTATTTATCAAATAATATGTTAAGTTCCTTTGGCACATTAAGAAAACAGTTTTCGTGTGAAATATGACCCATTATTCAGTCACACAAGGTGAAATAAAGGTCAGAAAAGAGCATTAAAAAAGATCATTAAAATGCAAGGTCACGTGATCAGATCTCTTTGGTTCCGCCCAGCCTCCAGCATCCCCAAGGCCCGCAGTCGCTCTTCCAGTGTCAGACGTGGCATCACAGAACTTTTTTGTCATGTGTCATACTGGATTTGGTGACTACATTAAATAGGCTTAATATATTGAACCTGATTTATTCACATCAATCAGAAAAAACACATGATTTTGTAACACTACCAAAGGCAATTCCTTACGGCCTGCTCTCCTACTTAAGGCATATCTGAACTTTAAAGATATTATTAATCAAACCGCCCAAAAAGATCTACAAGATCTTTTCAAAAATTTCGGGGGAGGGGGGGGGGTAATTCCCCCTTACAACCCCCTCCCCCCTCAGCCTATAGCCACGCATATTATACAAAAACGCTATGATTATATGACGCCGGGTGACGGGTCTAAGTAAATAGTAAGTTACGTGATATGAGATAGCATTAAGAATATTGGCGCGGGAGGAGGGTGTTAAATGTTAGATCCGGTGCCTGGTTTCAGTAATCATGTTAACTATACAATGGAGTTTCGTTAAATGTGGTTCTTGGCTTATTTTATACATATACAAATGTAAAAGATTTACTAACCATTTTTATATTCTTTAACGAATTACTATTTCCAAATAAGCAGTGTCCANGGTCCGGTGCCTGGTTTCAGTAGTCATGTTAACTATACAATGGAGTTTCGTTAAATGTGGTTCTTGGCTTATTTTATACATATACAAATGTAAAAGATTTACTAACCATTTTTATATTCTTTAACGAATTACTATTTCCAAACAAGCAGTGTCCACTTGTGTTAACAGCAATGAAATCATTCTAATTAAGTGTTAAGACAGGTTAAAAGGTCAATATACACAATGGGTAGGGCTAAGTCTTTGAATTAAAACGGTTAAAATATGTTTAGAAATAAATCTTAATAATATTTTAATCTGATGCTGATTCCTCTTTTAAAGGGTACGTTCTATAATTGTGCAAATGAACATTAAAGCATTTACGATTATCTTCATATTTCTCCAGTTTTTTGTCTTTAGTTATACATTCGTAGGACCCTATTTAGATTCAGCATTTAAATCATTTATCAACCAAATATACACAAAGGTTAAGCATCTAAGCATGCGCACAGATAAGGATGGCCTACTGACTTTTGCTTGACTAGCGTGTAACCATCATGGAGGCAGAGCGTACCTTTAAGCTGAATACCGGTGCTACCATCCCTGCCGTCGGACTGGGGACTTGGACAATATTCGGAGATCATGTAAAGTTCATTTCTATACGGTCTTTATAAAGCGTCCATTTGTGACGAGAGAGTCGCGAGTAATGCCCGTTAAACCTGTGTGTATGGTACATCGTAGGCGTGTTTCGTTTGGGGTGTTTTCTTGTATTTGTCAATGAAGGTAACGTTTCGGTTGACTTTTTATTTTATTTAAATGTATTACCCAAGTCTTTAAAGCTCGGCTAGCTGTAAGTGGGCAAGTAAAAGGAAGAAAACTCCATTACATAAATCGGGTTTTCAAAGCAAAGTTGACATCATTCAACAGAATTCTGTCTGAGCCTTTGCTATATGTGTAGAGCTATAAAATGTCTGCTTAGATTACACAATCTAGTTCATGTCGACATATAGACCAAGCTTGCAAACAAACATCGTCAACTCGATTAATATTTGGAGGAATTCATATTAAGTTGATATTTGTGGAAAAAAGATGTAGGCATAGTGCAAACATGATGCGGGCCTCCGATGCCCTGAATTTTCCAATATTTGATATTTTACAAAAAAAGTACACATAAGCTATGAGAGATGTTCATCCAAATGTTGAGAAAGTGCACCATCTTTTGCTAGAAATAATTTAGAGGTTGATATGTGACTTGAAAGGCACTGCACAGTTTTTTTTCATATTATTCCGTAACCGTTCGATTTACAGGGAAGTACTACTGAGGTGGAAGAGGCAGTAAAAGCCGCAATAGAGCTTGGTTACCGCCACATAGATACCGCCTTTGTGTACGACAATATTTCCGCCGTTGGTAGAGCCGTCAACGCCAAGATACAAGATGGCACGGTGAAACGGGAGGATCTATTTATCACCAGCAAGGTACTGAAGTAAACCCAGTTTTAACAAACACGCTTTACATAGTCACTTCATTTTCCAGAAGCCTTTTTTAAAACGCCATATTGTGTAGAATTTGTTTCACTCCAATAGGTAAGCCAACAAAATGCAGTTTAAATTTAGTTAGTTTTCAAAATTTGGCCTTCTGCTTTACGAAAACGAAATGCATGGTTTCCGTAGACCCGCATATATTCTTTCTTATATAAAACTGGTCTGGTAATATCCAATGGAATATGAGCACCGTCTTATTAATGTTTAAAACAAGGTAAAATGTTTATATAGAACGTGATGGTGTGTGAATGCGTTTGTGAAGCCTACTTTAAATTTGCATTGTGGACCATCGATACGTCATATTGCTTTATGTTTCCGTAAGCTGTGGTGCACGTATCTTCGTAAAGAGTCAGTAATGCCACAGTTGAAGAAGGAACTGGAGCAGATGGGCCTAGAATACCTTGATATGTATCTGATACACTGGCTCTTGGCTTACAAGGTGAAATACAAAAACTTTTTGTCTTACGTTTTACAGAAACTTTTAAAGATATTAGAGTTTTTTTTAATTTTTGAATTTAGATGATATGAATATCTGCGAAAAATGCGAAAAATGATATTAGTTATGTAGTGTAATTTGCATTCTGGGGCATATTTGAAAAAGGCTTGATGTTTCAAACAAAGAAAGGTAATTAATAATAATACTAAAGATATCGTTTTTTCTTCTCATTTTACATGTAAATATTTATTCGTTTGTTTAGGCATGTGACAGTTTTGGGTATTGAAGAAATGTTACATCAGCGCTCACCGAGGTGTAAGAAAGGCCAGCTTTAGATTATGCCCTGGTTAAACTCCTTCTCATTAAATTAAAAGGATTATTTATTTATTTATTTATTTATTTATTTTTATTTTGTAGACTGGCGACGTTCTCTTTCCTAAAGACGCTGCGGGAAAGATGATTCTGGCAGACGATGATTACCGCCCGCTGGAGACATGGCAGGTAATACTGCACGGTGTATACACACGTACATGCTATGTTTATCTACTATTGTGTATTGTGTTATATTGTTTAAAGGGCAGCGTCTAGAAAAACTGGATACATATTCACACTTATTGACTGACTATATACTGATTTTTACCTTTAAAGGGATAAACTAACGGCATTAACTAATTAACTTTCGATTCCTGATTATTTCATAGGGGCTTGAAGAATGTCAAGATGCCGGTCTGACTAAAGCAATAGGGCTGAGTAACTGCAACTCCAAACAAATCCAGGAAATATTAGATGGTGCACGAATCAAACCAGCAAATATTCAGGTAATTCTCTCTCTCTCTCTCTCTCTCTCTCTCTCTCTCTCTCTCACACACACACCAAATACCGAAAATCCAATAACATGAACAATTTAAACTGGGATTTTCACACGCATCGCTGTTTTATTTCATTGTAGGTGGAAATACACCCACTGTTCTCAAACAGCAAGCTTATACAGTTTTGCCGTGAGAAGATTCCGGGAGTGGTTATAACTGCCTACGCTCCTCTCTGTGCTCCTGGTAGACCATGGTGAGTACATGTAAAAATGTGTTTTTTTAATCTGAAAAAGTTAATTTTATGACGGCATCTGTTTATATTTTCATTATGAGTGATCTTCTTTCTTGGTTAGTCATATTTTGCATAAATTGATAACGCATCATTGCCAGAGTAAGGGAGGCCGAGGCTAGTTGGCCCCCGGGGTAAGTTGGCCCCCATCAAGTCTCTTTCATATAGTTACTTTAAGATGCTAAATTATTTTATTTGGACTCACTGCTGACGCTTTCTTAGCACTATTGGATACGGTCACTTTACAAAATGATGTGATCAATTCTTTTACCCTATAGTTACTTTGTCCTTGGAGCTTTGTCATAAATTGATGGGGGCCAACTTACCCCGGGGTCGAACTAGCCCCGGTCTCCCCTAAGTAAAAGCCACAATACAGGAGCAACTTCATAAATTTGTCAAAACACACCTTAATAATAATGTCATTATGTATCATGTAGGCGTAAGCCGACCGATCCAATATTATTTGATGATCCCAGACTGGTGGAGATAGCCAAAAAGAAGAATAAAACACAAGCTCAAGTATGTCCAAATATATTTAACGTAATTTCATCTATACGTGTATATATACTGTAAAATCCCTAAAAGACTGAAAAAGAAACTGCAAATTCTTTTATAACAATTGTTAATTAAAAAAACAGTTTGCATTTATTAAATTTGAAAGAGTATTTGGTCATCTAACTTTCTCAGAAAATTGTTCTAATTAAATATTTATTGAGAAACTGCATTCGTTTGCTACAACGGGAATTTTACAACTTGCCAGACGACTAAATTACACACTTGTGTCATTGCAGGTAGTCCTACGTTACATGAATCAGAAGGGCTACGTCATAATTCCGAAGAGTATCAAGAAAGAGAGATTAAAGGAAAACTTCGACGTAAGTAGTTGTGTAAAAAAAAAAAAAAAAAAAAAAAAAAAAAAAAAAAAAAAAAAAAAAAAAAAAAAAAAAAAAAAAAAAAAAAAAAAAAAAAAAAAAAAAAAAAAAAAAAAAAAAAAAAAAAAAAAAAAAAAAAAAAAAAAAAAAAAAAAAAAAAAAAAAAAAAAAAAAAAAAAAAAAAAAAAAAAAAAAAAAAAAAAAAAAAAAAAAAAAAAAAAAAAAAAAAAAAAAAAAAAAAAAAAAAAAAAAAAAAAAAAAAAAAAAAAAAAAAAAAAAAAAAAAAAAAAAAAAAAAAAAAAAAAAAAAAAAAAAAAAAAAAAAAAAAAAAAAAAAAAAAAAAAAAAAAAAAAAAAAAAAAAAAAAAAAAAAAAAAAAAAAAAAAAAAAAAAAAAAAAAAAAAAAAAAAAAAAAAAAAAAAAAAAAAAAAAAAAAAAAAAAAAAAAAAAAAAAAAAAAAAAAAAAAAAAAAAAAAAAAAAAAAAAAAAAAAAAAAAAAAAAAAAAAAAAAAAAAAAAAAAAAAAAAAAAAAAAAAAAAAAAAAAAAAAAAAAAAAAAAAAAAAAAAAAAAAAAAAAAAAAAAAAAAAAAAAAAAAAAAAAAAAAAAAAAAAAAAAAAAAAAAAAAAAAAAAAAAAAAAAAAAAAAAAAAAAAAAAAAAAAAAAAAAAAAAAAAAAAAAAAAAAAAAAAAAAAAAAAAAAAAAAAAAAAAAAAAAAAAAAAAAAAAAAAAAAAAAAAAAAAAAAAAAAAAAAAAAAAAAAAAAAAAAAAAAAAAAAAAGAAAAAACGGTTAGCACTTGCACTCATATGTTTGATACCAGAATGGACATCCTCAGAGAATATAGTTTCTTTTTTTTCTAAAAGCTAAGAAAAATTTAAGAAAAACGCATTGCCATTGGAACTGTAGAACTGATTAATTGTGGAACCTTTGATCAATAGCAGGTATTGTTTTTGCTCCAGATATTTGATTTTAAGTTGAGTCCCGAAGAGATGAAGATCATGGACGGATTTGACAAAAACTTCAGAATATATTGGGAAGACATGTACGTACTTTTTATATATAGCGTGGTACAATTTACAGAACTGACGCCGGTCAGCTTCTTCATTTTTAAATTCCCATGTAAAGTATGTTCGTCGATCGATAAGCACTCAGATATTGAGATTTGGCACGCATCAGATTAAATTACCCCAAAACACACATACACACACACACACATATAGGGCCTATTTGTAAATAACTTGACAACGTTATACTTGAAAGTTCATACAACGGATAACAAGTTGGAATACAATTCATACCTAGTAACATGTATTTATGTCGAGTAAAAGAAAAAAATGATCAAACCTTTCACTTGATATTATTGTCATTCCAGAGGCAGGCACTCCCCACACTATCCGTTCAACGAAGAATTCTAATCAAGATGGGATGCATCAAAAGACTGAATTGTTTCCTAATAGAGTAGAAACAGTGATTACGAACAATGATCATTACCCAAACAAAAATCATTGAATTTACATGTAAAGTAAAATTTAATGAATCAAAACACAATTCCTGCTCTGAGAATGACTTATTTGAAGTTGTTTGAAGCGCCGTTGCTACAGTAGCTCTACCTGTTCAGAATTGTTCAGAATTCTACCTATCTTATAAAAATAATGGGGTTTTATTTTCTGATTTTTAGTACTCGTCATACCTGGCACTAAATTGATGAGAGTGCGTGTCATATATAACAGTAGATTAATAAGAGCTTAAACCAGCTTTAACCAGCTTTTGAATATTGAGTTATGATACATTCTTATACCTTGTTCTCATTTAAGTTACATGTATAGTTCTGAAAGCTGGGAAATTTGGGAAATCTGTAGGCCTACAGATTAGATTTGTAGAGAGAATTTTGAATGATACATATCATATGTGTTAAAATATAAGACCAAATATGTCCACAAATTTAGTCATGTACATATAACTTATAGTTATACTATAATCATAAAAAACTAAGAGCATGCAGTTACTTTTATCCAATTTAAGTAACTTTTGTGCTTATTTTTGCCACGATAGGAATTACCTGTAATTCACATAGGCCTACTGTAAGAAACAACTTCGACTTTTACAGCTTCTTTCTTTAAACATAAAAAGGCCCTCTTTGCAAATCTGTTTTTTTTTTCCTTTCTGTGACATGAGAATAAAAATTTGTTGCAAAATGTGTCTCTTGAAGAAAAATCAACTGAAAAAGGTATCATACAGGTATATCAATGGTAACAAATTAGAAGAATCTGCTTGTAGACCTACATAAAGTGGCATTTCTGCATTTTTTTTGAAGATGCATTAAACATATTAAGAGACAGGCATGTGAAAGTCAAATTCATTTTAAATACCAGTAAACGGTGACAATATTTGTTTGCAAACTAATGACTTTTTAATTTATAATTTATTTATTAACAGGCCTAAAGTTGATTGTAATCAATTGTTTTATTGAAAAAAATTCTAAAACGAGAAGGGATAACCATTTAATCGTTGAATGCTAACACATCTAGATAATTAAATGTATTTCAATGGGCTTCATTTATCTCTGCTTCCTCGGCATAAACGGTGAGAAAAGCTGCCAACTTGTGAGACATTTTACGCGAGCTTGTTCAAATGATTTCGCGTCGGCGGACATGGAGCAAACACCCACGAAAAATGGCTGCGCCCACGAGAAGGTAAACAAACAGTGATTGATTGAGCATTGAGTATAAAAGCGAAGTTGTCGAACCGTTTATGTTAATATCTTGTAGTCAAACATGGATAAGAAAGCATTTTTATTAAGTGGATCCAAACAGTTATATGACACGAGATATAAATAGTAAGGGCGAAATTGCCAAAAGGATGGGCAAAAAAAGTCGATTCGAGTTCGTACATGTGCTTACGGAAACTTAAACATGTGCCACGATTGGCTGTCATCGTGTAATTCAAACGCCTTTATAACACGTCTACCGTTATGACAAAAAGAACTGTTAAAATCGGCTAAATATTCCAAACGAATTAATCAAATTGTTATATCAGTTACAATGTAGATATGCTGTACCGGTAGTAATAATATTAATTGCAGCAAAGCATAGTTCAATGTTACTAGTACACTCACTACAGTCATTTCAATTTTCGTCATTACAGTTTACATGCTTCAGTAACTAAGGTAAATTTACAGGGAATAAGTGTACAAGTATATTGTTTGAAAGGTGTCGTTCAATTGTGTACTGTAGACTTTAAGTCCACAAGTTCATATGGGTAACATTTGTTTTAATTATAGCCTTTAATTTGTTCATTGGTACATGTACTGTGTAGCCATATTATCTCATTATTTTTGAAATTTCACCAGATTGGCACTACTAATGTCATCAGCCTAAATTTCCAGATGGTATGTAGAAAAAAAAAGATAAGTTAATTTCAAACCATAAATGCACAGGTATTTTTTAAGTTGAAATAGTTACAAATGTACATGTTGTTCAATTATAAAATCTGCAGAACCACTACATGAAATGTTTTGATGAGATATTTAATTTTCTTTGTAGACTCTGTATAACCTGCAGAGTAATGATGGAAAGGCAGACATCTCTTTTGACTGCACAACAGATTTTGAATCCCATTAAAAGGCACTGCACCAAAGGTATGGTAATCAGATTATATGCTGCTTCTTCATCGCTTGTAACATGCATGATTTTTGTCCAAATTTTAAAGAGTCCAAGCACATAATGCATAGTGTACTTTCTATGAAATCAATATGGTTGGCTAGAAAATTGAAACTACAAAAATGTTGATGTTGCTTGCAACATTTTGCAAAAAAGAAAAGGAGTTCACTGTCTGCTACTTTTGTTTAGGAAGAATAACAGCAGAAAAATTAAAGAAGAAAAGAATGGGAGGGAGGGTATGGAAGTGTGTGGCATTTTGGAGGTGTTGTATTGCTGAAAGAAACTGATAAATGAAAATTTCTCAAGTGGAACTTGCAGGTGGTATTTTTGTGAGCAATCAAGGAAAATGAGGATATTTTACTTGCAGTTGAATTCCTGACTTGGAAGTTGAACAATTCATGCTATTATATTATGTTGTTTTTACCTGACAGGTTCTCAAGGTGAAGCAAGTGGATCAAATGCCATAGTGAGGTACTTTAGGTCAATTAAGTGGACGCCCTTACCCCTGAGTGTGGGGTTTGCACTGATTGCAGCTCTTGGGTACAAGCATGCTTCAAGGCGGACAAAAAAGGAGATACAAGCTGAAAACTCTATGAAAGCTCAAGAATGGCAGGTAGGAACTTTAAGGTTAGAGGTTATAAAAGAGGATTGGGGTGAATTTTTTTTTTTTTTTTTGGGGGGGGGGGGTGACATTTTACTCAAATGTAGAAGCCTGAGTAACTACTTTGGAGAGAAATATCATGTATGGAGGCTGAAGGTATGACTTTGATCTGTTTGCATTGGCATTGTTTAAACAGTGAAGGTTTAGGGTGCAAAATGGAAGAGTGTACCTTTAGTTTTTAGACATGTCTAGTGCCATTGTTAGTTAAAAACTCATAAATTTAGGTATGGTGAAGCTAATTCTAGCAAGGTGTTTGAGATTCAGGTAATAGAATAAATAATTAGTCATTCTTGATATATTTTTTTATATGACAGTATGGAATGGTCAGTCAGTCTTGATATTATGAGGATGGGTTTGGTGATCTTGTATACCTTGTATACCACGGCATAATTCAAGAATTAATAAACAAGGTCTGGGCAAATAGTGCCATTGAATTCACAGGAATGACTGATATACTAAGTAAATCCAACAATTAAATAACTGAATCCATAAACAAGTCATAATGTTACATTTGAATACACCTTATCTATGATAATATGTTAATTGGTTTAAATGACATGGATAGACCATGATTATTACTGTGCATTTTAATTTTAACTTTGTTAAATCAGTCAAAAGGTAAAACAAGGTAATAGGTCATTTTTAAGCAGAATGCTTATTTGATGTTGAGGAAAACATATTTCATTATTAAAGATGTATTAGTTTAAAAAGAAAAGAAAATATGTTTAAGACAAGGTTTATGTGTATTATAGTGGTGATTTCATGGCCAAACTTCATTTTAGAAACTTTAACATTTTAAGTCAAATTAAAACAACATTTGGTAAAGTTTGTTCAGATGTCTCCATTATAATGAAATAACATGAATCTGTTAATGCATTTTATTCATTGGAAAGAACTGTAACCAAGTTTTAAAGGATGTTTTGCAGATTTAAAAGGATTGAATAACTTTATTAACAACTTCATCTCCAAGTTAAAGTTTAAAGCAGTCTGAGTTTAATTATGTAAAAGGTCTCTAGTAATATGCCTCAATTCTGTTAATTGGCTTCAATATCTCTGACTTGTTTTAGGATTCACTGTAATGTATTTTTTGTGTATGAGTATATAAGAAGAAGAACACTGTATTAGAGATCAGAGATTGGAGATCAGAGCTCGGAGTTAGTTTGGTCAGTTGAACTGATAGCTGGATTGTCCATGCTGTCTTAGGAGACTCCAGATCTCTCAGCCAGAGTAATAAACATAAAGATCAGGCAGTTAATAGTGCATCTGTGGAAAACATATCATATCTGTTGTGTTACCTGCTGGAGAGTTAACCTAGACCAAGTAGTCCCCTGTAATAGTTAAGTCAAACCCATGCGTGATATGGGAACAAGAATTTGTATCCATCATGATCTTTTGTTGTATTAAAAGGTAGACAACAATACTTGAATGAAATATGTGCTTGTACATATATATTATTATAACTAGTATTTCTGCATAGTGTGGCCCACTTCGTAAAATATAAATGTTTAAAAATTGCATATTTCCTACTAAAGAGCTGGCCTAAATATATTTCACATGTTTATCAAGTGAATTCTTCTTTATCCCTCTAACTGAATTTATCTTCTCCGTGGTAAAATTCCATATACTGAACCTGGCAATATTTTGACTATATATAGCTATTTAGGTTATTTCCAACTTATCTTTGAAAGCAAGTTGATACCAATTTAACAATCACTTTTGCTGTTTTTGTATTTGTTTTTGCAGCAGTTGGATTTCAGATTTCTCAGTTAAGTGATGCACTCAATCTTGGCATTTTTGTTTATGATTTTTTACTTTTGAATTTCTGAAATTCTTTTATATAGCCATTATATGTTCAGGGGCGGATCCAGAGATATTTTCTGACAGTCTTCCATATTATATTTGTTGATCCATCCTCCATTTTTTGACCGTCTTCCGACAGAAAAAATTAGACACCCGTCAATGTAAACTTGAAAATCTGACCGTCTTCCGGAAGACCCAGAAGACGGCCTAAATCCGCCCCTGATGTTAGCCTTGAATCAATTACAAGTATGTAAGTTATGTCAGCAACTGATTCTCATAATGCTACCATAATTAATTTATTTCAAATTTGCTATAGTCAAAATTGTTATGAAATGATGAAAACATATTAGACAACATGAAATCTATTTAATTTGATTTGAAGTTATCGCTTAAAAAGCTTATATAATGTTTACTGTATGTATATGATGAATCAGTGTATGTATATGATGAATCAGTGTTCAAAATGCCATGCTGAATGAATAATGTGTGGAACATTTTCATGGGAGAGCGATTTCTTTCAATATATAACAGTTGTAAGAAGTGCCAGTATTAGAATATAGCACAGAATTTTTAATGTAGTATATATTAAGGGACACATTTCTATTTCAAGATGCCACCTTTCTTATGCTCTCCATTCATTTTCATTGATGGTAAAAACAGGTTTAATATATATATTACCTCACACCTCTGATGCAGCATGAAACCAGCCCATTTAAATGTCAGGTAACATTTCAATCTCCACGTGGAAGATACTATTTTCACTCAGTGAAAGGTTTGATTGTTTACTCCTTTAATCTGAACACAACAAAACAACTGTTTAGTACTTGAGCAAACTGATTCCTATTCTAAAGATAAAACAGCCGACTCAAGGGAGGATCTCAGCACCCCCTATCATGATGGTGGAAAATTCCATCCCCAAGGCCTGATATTTTACCCCATGGTCATATGCTGGTAAAAGTTGATAAGTAACTTAAAATTTGCATAGCAACATGATAATTATATTCTTAATGTTAAACTTTGAGTATTTTGACAAGCTTCTTTTCTCAGGAATTAACTGCAAATTAACTGGTGTATTTTTATTGATTAACACCATTTGTATTTTACTTGCTGTATGCAAAGTTAAATGAATTTCCCAAAGAAGTGAATTATTACTGGTGAGTGCCCCAGACCTGAACTTCCTGTCTTTGCTCCCCCATAAATTTTGAACATTCCTTGGCCAAGAATCTGATGATCCTGGAACAACCAATAGAGTGGAGCAGCCTGTACATAATTAATGTATGCTGATTTGAACATGCAGCCATTACCTCCACTCCATTGCCTAACACCTAACTTAATCAATGAAATATAAATAGGATATTCATTGCACAATCTAAAGATCATCAATAGTCATGATCAATTTTTTTTGGTTGTAATTTGAGAACGAATGTGGATGAAAAGAAGTAGGAAGATTGACTTTTTATTGATTTTTCCATCTGTTTCTCCCTGAGAGGGGTTGGCCAGCACTGATCCCTTTTACTTCTGTAGAGCTGCACTGTTTTCATGTGTATCAGCTGCCCAAGATTCCAAAGTTTAGCAGGACTCAATCAACCAAGTCAAAAGGACCCTGGCTATCTTACATGCATATGCATCAGTGTGACAAGAATCTACGCGCTGTCATATAAACTGAGGCGAGCTTTCCTGGCGGTCACTTTCTCCGCTTTCAGTCAAGGGGTGTGGTGAGCCGGTGGCGAGTCTGTAATGCTGAGTGCCTTGCTGCTGTGAAAAAATAAAACCATGCCTACCAGTGCCATAACCATGCTTCCCCTGGCATCCACGTGGTCAGGGGACTGGCTCTATGTTGTGACTATCTTGGCACTGCTGCATTATTATCGGGACACATTCAGGGACAACAACATGCAGTGGAACAAGGCACTGAAATACCTTCACTCTCAGTCACTGAAGCGGCTACAGAGAAGACTTCCCAACAGACTTCAGAGGAAGCACTGCCACCGTCACCATCATCAACATCACCACAACCACAGAGTCCCCGGGACCAAAGAATTGCAGCACTTACAGAAAACTTGGCATCACAAGCCAGCACACCCTCACACCAGAGGGAAGAAAAAGGAACAGCTCAGACGTCTAAATAGAGGGGTAATTAGTCCATAGGGGCGTGGATATTATACCTATAGTTTACTGAAATAAGCAAACATCATAGGTTTGGTGTGGGGGTGATAGAATTGCATGGTTGTGTTAATATAATTTAAATGTGGTGAAATATTTTCAGTCATGATGAAGTCGAAAGAATCACACATCATTCACATTAACTCTTTGGAATTAGTATGTATTATTTAAATAGCATTGTAACTGATACAAATACTAGTTATGATATTTTAGGTTTTAGGGAAATGGATAAGTTACTTTATTTCTAATTAGAAAAAATGCTGTATTACAAACATCCTTTATAAATGGACTTTGATCTACAATGTACAGAGTATTTAACAGTACAAGTCTTATGAGTGAGTCATCTCTGGTTAAATATAGAAATGCTCATGCTCTAACATATTGGAGGTAGAGTGCATGGTGCATCCTGTATTGCATAGTGCAGAACTGCAGATAGTAAAATAAGTAGGCAACATTGATCCTATCAAATCCTTTTGGGAGCACAGGATCAATGATGGAGTATTTTTGTGGTAAAGAAAATGATGTTCTGATGAAAAATGTAGTCCTGTCACATTTTAGTTGAAAGGGAGGGATGTGACTTTCAGACATTTTCCAAAATGTTTTTATCTATAATTCATGCATGTTTTTCTAAATTTAAAACAGTTAATTCTCTGATTAATATTTGAGCAATATTATCTTTTACATTTATTCAAAAGAAAATTAGATCACAAGAGACCAGACAGACACTATGATTAAGCAATGTAATTAGCTTGTAAGACCTTCTTTATTGATTATTGATCATTTCATTGCAGAAGACACTTATATGTTTTCAATATAAAGGCATTAAAAACACTGAAACATTTTGATATATTGTAATACAAATCTCATTTGAAATGATAAGAACCAAAAGTGGATTTATAAAGGTAAAAAATGGAGTTAAAAAGAGTGAGACTATATGTCTTTAATATTGAGTTCTCTTCAATTCTCTTGTCTTGACATGCACCTTACCCTGTGCTCTCTGAGGACATTAACTTATTAATAAGATAATTTTGAAGAAACGAAGATAACTGTGACATAGCAGATATGGAAATTGGTCCTTCTAGTACCAGTTACTTCTTTTCCAAGATGATATTATACAATGAAATGCCAGGGAAGAGATTTGTCATGCTGCCTATTAGTTGTTGCTAAGAAAGCAAATCCACAAATTAAGATAGCCTGTTAATTTTCTTTGTCATGAAATTTTGCCATGCAATAATATAAGGCAAAATCTTTTGTATTCTATTCAGGGATGTCAGCTCTCAACATTTAACATAATCTGCATATTTGTGACTATTGTTTCTCTTAGTTTTTTAGGTGGAAGTCCATTGTTACACACAATCACACACACACACACACACACACACACACACACAAATAGATTTGGACACTTAAGCACTTAAATATTTGCAACCTTGACAATTAAATAAAACTTTTTGTCTCTTTCACCAGGTAAACCTTTACCGTAAGATGCCACTGAAGTTTGTCTCTCGCCTTTGGGGTAAAGTGAACAGCTTTGACCTGCCAGTTTTCATGAGGACCCCAATGTACAAATTCTACTCCTGGTCATTTAACTGCAATCTAGAGGAGGCAGCTATACAGGACCTGAAGCACTACAAAAACTTGAGCGAGTTCTTCAGGCGCAAACTCAAACCAGAAGTGCGACCAATAGATCAGTCTCATAGTATAGTGAGTGACACTTGTAACCTATCTTCTTTGCTCCTCATGGGACATAAGTCTAGTGAAAAATAGATAATGCTTTTATAGTAAGAAAATTAAATAAATTTTAAGAAAATGCATATTCTAAAAACTCAAAATTTGTGATACTTTATTTTCTGTCAGTTCCAAGATTATTGTTCTCTTATTTTCTTGCTTGTACAAGTACACATACAAATTCAAGTTTTTTTAACAAAAACTTCACAAATTAATCATTTATTTTTGTAGAATGAATGTTTGAGTTTTCTTCTTTGATTATTTCAGACAAGTCCAGCAGATGGAAGAATTCTTCATTTTGGCAAAGTAGAAAATAGTATAGTAGAACAGGTGAAGGGGGTCACATACTCCCTGCAGGGGTTCCTTGGACCACCCACCTGGATGACATCGCAGGGAACAGAGACAGCAGAGTCGGCCCCTCACACCAACAATCCCACTATATCAGATGTGGAGTATCACAAAAAGCTGCTGAAGAACCCAGAGAATGAACTGTATCATTGTATCATCTACCTGGCCCCAGGCGATTACCACAGGTTCCACTCACCTGCTAGCTGGTGTGTCAGATATAGGAGACATTTCCCAGGTAGGCTGCCACACCCAACACACTGCCAGATCCAATATTATCACGCCTATCACACCACCCCTACTGCCATCTATCTCCTAAAGTACACTGGCATATCTTACATAATGTGTGGCAAATGTCATTTGAAAAATGTAACAGGCTTCCAAAGTTATCTATAATGTTAAGTTAATCCAAGATGTATCTGTAGTGGTGAATATACGTAACAAAATTAAAAGAAAGGATTTAAGTTGGCAATGACATTTCTAAACATTGTAAAACACTGTTTATGGTATTAGAGTTGACCAAAATGTTTTGTTTAGTGTGTCACATACCAACAGAGAATTCAGCCAAATCTATAATTATGTTTAAAATGAGAAAGTTTCACAAAGTCCATTGTAAATCTGCTTTGTCCAGTTTTTGAGATTGCCCCCTTTTTTATAAGAAAGCAGAAACTAATTTAGAAGTGCTTTCTTTAAAAATGTTGTTAACCACAAAACGCCACCTCTTGCCACATTATCCACAGAGAACCAATATTTTCAAGTTGATTTTACCAAATTAAAGATAATAAAGCAGAAACTAATTTTGAAGTGCTTTCTGTAAAAATGTTGTTAACCACAAAACGTCACCTCTTGCCACATGACCCATAGATAACCAATATTTTCAAGTTAATTTTTCCAAATAAATGATAATAAATAATACAATGAAGGGAGTACCTCCCTTCCCCCCCCCAAAAAAAAAAAAAAAAAAATTAGAAAAAATTAATAATAATGATAATTTGTGCATGCACAAATATTTGAAGCCTTTGCTGCCTAACTAGTATTCCAGAAGCAACAAAAATGTTTACTAGTTTTCTCTCTTTCCTTTCACATCAAAGTGTTTGTGCCAAAATTTTTTGTACAAAACATTTTCATAGTCCAAAATCTATCATTTGAAAACATTTCATGGCTATACTTGCTCTGAAAGAAATTGTTCAGTTAAATACTCCATGTTATGAGTTCAGAACACAAATGAAAAAAAAAAAAAAACACTCATGATTTGTCTTCAGAAAAAAAGTATTATCATGTTGTAGCCAGGATTTCATGTTTTATTACATAGAAAATTTTACGTCAGTTGAGCTTTTGTGCAATATTTTAGTCCAAGATTCATAATGAGGATTGGGGCCTTGGTAATAAGCATGGCTGATAATAATCGAAATCAAAATTTGCACTTAGAAGGATAACTTTCTCTGTCTCCACATAACCTGGTGAGCACATGGGGTACTCAACCAACATTTACATATGTTGTTTAACTTTGAACCCTTGTATAAGTCATAATCGATAGTGTTTGTCAATTTAATCTTTTCAAGATATATTATCTAGAGCTTGTGTTGACATTTTGAGTATATATACACATAGATATACCTACACTTATACAAGTGATACAAAGGAAAGTTTGACAGACATGCTCTTCTTTCCTCCACGTGCCCAGGCAGTGATGGCATTGGAGTTGAAAGGAAACTTTCACAACTTATATTTATAAATCAGCTATTGGGGTTTGGGGTTTCTAGAAGTTATGCCCCTCCCCCATTTTTATGTACATATATTAGCTTCTTGCCACCAAACATTATACCCTAGATTAGTATTTTTCACTCTCTATCCAACTTCTCAAGTTTTCTGTTTTCATTGTTTTTCTTTGTGAACATTGAAAAGAGTTTTTATCCAAGATTTAAATTGTCAACTGGATAACATGATTCCATCCATCATTATTTGTTGGCAGTGCAATGATGGAGGAGTTGCAGAGAAAAGCTGAATACAGTATTTGATTAAATAAAACATTTGAGTGAGAGAACATTGTGTGCATCTTTTGCAAGGAACTGCTCTTTCTTAGATTTATTGATTGTATTCATTTCAGATTTTTTTGACAGAACTCCAATTGAAAACTTGGTTTCCGATCAACCTTTTATACGTCAGTCTTTTGCTTGGATTTTAAAAAAGAATCTTTGTTTCTATTTCTCAATCTTTATATTCTTGTTTGTAGGAGAGCTGTTAAGTGTCAACCCAGGAGTGGCCCGCTGGATTCAGGGACTCTTCAACTTCAATGAGCGGGCAGTGTACTATGGAGACTGGGAGAATGGGTTCTTTTCCCTAACAGCTGTAGGGGCCACCAATGTTGGTTCCATACACATCAACTTTGACAGGGTATGGATGTATTTTTTTTCCAAATTAGTTAATTGTCGAAGGAAGAAATATGAAATTACTATGTGTTTTGAGATTGGTCATGCTGTCTTGGGTCATATTGCTGAAAATATCCAGTATTATAGGGAGAAATTTTTGTTGTTGTAATTTCACACATGATAAGATATACTATATTTGGAAAAAATTATACATAGTGACAAGGAGTACTTCCTTTTGCATACATGATAAAATGTGTTTGTTGCCATGCACATAAATGATAGGAAGTATTAAAAGATTTGTGTAATGTAGATTCTTAAATTGTATCTGCAGGACCTAGCAACAAACTGTGGCTGCCAGTGGCCAGAGGGAACATACTTTGACAAAGCCTTTGAAACTGGAATTGACGTCAGAAAGGGAGAGAACTTTGGAGAATTCAACCTGGGGTCAACAATCGTGCTGATATTTGAAGCCCCTAAGAACTTTAATTTCAAGATTCAGGGTGGACAAAAGATCCGTTTTGGGCAGCCAATGGGCTGTTACAGGACTTCTGAGAATACGACAGAGTCAGAAAATCTGTAGTTCTTTTTCTAACTGAAAGCATTGTTTGTGTCTGTGTACGTTCATACATGAAGTGCACCCTCATTGTCAAGTAAAGTTCATTCTGTAAAGATGGGGTGATGGGAAAGCTTTCGGCTAGCTATAATAGGATGATAGGGGTTAGACTGTTGCCTTACAGAGATGCAATGGTCAGTCAGTGTTAAATGACCTATCTGGTAAAGAATTGTTGAACTTGTCAGTCGGGGCCGTAGCAGTAGTCCGAAGGTTCAATAGTCCGAAGGTTCATTGGTCCAAAAGTTCACTACAGAACCTTCGGACCAATGAACCCTTGATTAAAAAACCGATGAAAATGTTACCGTTTTTCGGACCAATGAACCTTCGGACCAATGAACCTTCGGACTATCGAGACGCCCCCTGTCAGTCATGCAGACTTATTGGTGTAATGTTGGAAAGATTTGTTTACTTGATTGGAAAAACACTACAGAGGGCATGAGTAAATAGTTCTCAAACAATTGTCAGTGGAATTATGGTCCAAAATTAGTCAGATTAAACTGATATCATAGTGGAAAGATTTGTTGCAAGATAGACTGGACTTCTGCTGACAATTTGATTAATGTTTAAGATCATTGTCAATTGATGCAGCAATGATAAACAAAGACCAAGCATATTCCAGCTTAGGCACTTATTGTTGGGTTTTTTAAAGTCTTCCTTTAATAGCTCACTGCAGCTGGATCAATCAAACAAGTTATCAGTTATGTTTCTGCATATGATTAATGATTACAACTGGGAACTACTGCAATAAATAAAGTTGCAGGACACTTGTTTAACACAAAAAATGTATACATGTCGAGTTTAGTGTGTCAAAACATCAGGCTTGGCCAAAGTAATTTTCTCTATGTGTTTGTGTAAATATAATGAACCTTTTTTACTTGAAAAAATAAATTCTTGAAAGTGATCAGTTTCTTCGTTTTTTAATTAATACAAAATTTGATACAATTTTGTGTGTACATGTATAGCATTAAGTTAAAGATAATCCTTGTTTTCTGTGAAATACTAATTGTAATATTTACTGAAAAGAATTGGGTATGCTTCCAGTTTGCCTGAATTGTGTGATTGGCTGCCCGTTGCTATGCGAATATGTGCTATTAATGTATATATTGGCTAATTGTGCTCCACATAATGCACAATGTATGCACTCGTACCGATTAGAGTACGTTGGATGTGTTCAATGAGTTTAATACTATTATGATATTTGCATATATTAAACGACTTTAATTAAAATATTTCTAAAGAGAGAAACAGAAAAAAAAAGATTTATCTGAAAGGAGGTGCATTATGTGTAGTTTACTGAACAGAATAACAAAATTATAACCACAATCAACTTCGAAGCAAAACGCTTGCCTACATGGATGACACACCAAAATCAGTGTCGCTTACATCTTTTCACTATGATATTTATTGTTTGTCAATAATTCGGTATGAAATTTAGATAATTAATAATTTTATACCATCTGTAAGAAGCTTAGTGTTCACTATGATCATTTAGTTTTATTCAATCCAAAACTTGAACGTTATTAGAAAGGCCTAAGCGACTTTAATACACTGCAGAAAATGAAGTACAGACGACCAAAGCGGATGTTTTAATCAACACTGATCAAATTAGTATTTATCTTGTAAGTAATTCTTTTTAGACGTTGAAAACTTAAAACTTTGGTAGATGTCACATTCTTAAGCCTCTTTTGGTAGGTAAATTGCCGTGGTACGTATAGATTTTCACATGATTATAAATTTCAGGAGCTTGTATCTCATAATACATACATATATTCGTAATCGCACTGTACTGGTAACCTACTGCAGTTGGGAAGACTGAGTTCTATACAACGTGGATTAAAGAGTATGCTTTGAAGGTATATCAAGAGCCCCTACTTCTTCATGAAACATGTACTTATTTCATTGTATTTTGTTCAGTGTTAAGCGTCTGCAATGACAGCTTATATTGTATGCAATTTTTATAAATACAATTGGATTTGCAGCACAAACTTGAAAACTGATGCTTTAGCATTCCTTTTTACATTTAATGTTACAAGAAAATGTAAAATAGGAGTGTTAACACATGGATTTATTTGCTATTGCAGCACCAAACAGTAGCACTCTTTCTTACAGTTTTATATATATATTCACTGCTGGATTAAATATAAATGAAATATGGATCCTTTGGTACTAATATATAGTGATTTTATTAATGGGACATGTTTAACCATGCTCTCCAAATTCATATGTCTTATACTGTTGAAAAGCCAATACTTCATCAACAGAGTAAGATTGAGAATACATTACTAGTAATTCATCTTTTAAAGATGCCTAAAACAAAACCCACTGGCTGCTGAAGACTACATTTTTCCCATTATTTCATTTTTAATAAAAATTGGCAAGAACTGACGTGTATGATGCCTCACCCTTGATAACCTTGATAAAAAGTGAAAATAAGATTGAACAACAGTCAAAATTACATATAATCTTTATGGGTATAAATTTAAATTATTGAGAAGGGTAACAAATTAACAATTATTGTCATTTCTTATGTGTGACTTTATAAAGTAGCCATGAAAATCGGAGACTTCAATAGATAGTTGATGTTGTGTTGGCATTTAAGATAACGTGAATGAATTATTGTAAAGTATGATAAATCTAATAGAATTCTACAATATGGTTTTATCTAGCACAAAAATCCATGCATCCTTTTACATCTTTTGATGTGTATTACCTGCTAAAACATGAGAGATATAGGTATTGACAACTGTAAAATGATTAATAGTAGGTCTTTTTTGTAAAGCACTGCGGGACTGGGACTTGCAAGTTTCATATTATCTGTGTGTTAAACTGCAATTTTTGCACTTGGGTATTAACGTCATACCATAAGTTTTTGTTCCAGCTGAAAGTAATCTTAGACCCCATTTCCATAGATTTTAGATTGATCTATCCCTGTGGGGAGTCTCACTAGATTACTGTCAGCTTAGCCGGCTTAAGCGTCTGTCCCGCCTACTAAACACTGTAAGGGGGTAATTAACTATGGTGCGTGCTCGGCTGACTGCAATTTAGCGTGAATCCCCAGGGAGTTAGGTTGATCTAAATCTAAATCTCTGGATCGATCTAAATCTCTGGGAATGCACCCTTACTTTTTCAGACGCCTTTGTAACCTTCAACTAGCTCTGAACTTTACGTCTGACTGGACCAAAGTTCAATAACCTCTAGCATCTCACAGGTTTTTCCAAATATGAAGATAAGTTTACAAAGAAATCCCCACCTTCCCTGTATAAAAACACGCACACGGATGTGTGCATTTGTGCGTACACACATACTCATTCCCAGGATTCTCATTCTGAATGGCCCCATGTAGTGCTTATGAAAAGAAAAAAACTGGATTCTTACGACAAATATTGTACTATACCATGTTCAGGTATTACTACTATTAGGTGGAGAATAAGTGAAATGCAGCTGACAAAGGGTCATAGGTTGCATTCACAAAAGATGATCCTTGGATCTACTGGTCTGTGGATCAGATATGGCAGACCCTATATGAAAGCAAGGCCGCCTAATCCCTTAATGGTCTTCCTGCCTCCACACGCTCCTTCCCTTGACAAGCCTAGCAATTAAACCTTGCAGCCAAAATTTAAATTCGTGTGGAGCCGGGGAGACCATTAAAAGATTAGGCGGTCTTGCCTTCATTAACGGTCCACCATATTTGATCCGTGGACCAGTAAATCCGATGATCATCTGTTTTGAATGCGACCATATTCATTAATAAATCACAAATGTTGTTGTCTTTAAAATGTTCAAAATTGTTCAAAATAGAAAATAGAAAACATTTTCAGTCATCTATCAAATTGCATGTGTGTACACATAGATTGAATTTGACAAAAAAAATAATGTTGAGGGAAACCATATATTGATGCTTTTCTAACCAGAAATAGAACCACTGCTGCTGAGAGATGTGTTTTAAAGTGCTTTAAGGATTAGATTGTTTTATTTTGTAGCCCCCATGGTAAATGTTTCAGACACACAGCTCATTTGGGATAATAAAAATCAATTGGGTTTCAGCAGAGTAAAATATTAATGATCTCCCATCACGGCCATGTCCGCTCTAGAGACAATCCAATAGTTTCGGTAAATTTTCTAACTGGGAATGGGTCATTGTCTGTGCTTTACATTTACATACACTTCAGGTATTTTTAGCAGTTACATGTAATGGAGTGTAGCATTATCGGCAGTCCTTTTACTGTTTAGCTAAATCATCTGGGTTAAAGGCTGGTGTGGAACTGATGAAAAATTATTGATTTCATTTTGTATATTACTTTGTTGGATACGTCTGCTGAAGATTCATCGAATGACACCTGCTGATGAAATTTATCATACATAACTACATGACAGTAATGAATGAATACTTAAATAACTGCAGTTGAATTTTTAATTTTAGCCACATAGTTATAAAAATTAGCCTTACATTTTTGATAAGATCATTCATTCAAATTATGTTGAAAGAAGTGCATATATTATATAGTCCAGTTAGATGATATTTATCTACCAAATTTAATTGCTTTAAAACTGAACATCATCAAAATGCATATTTGTAGTACTTCAGAAGCTTAAGTATTTCGTTTTTCAAATCCAGTGCACACTCCTGTAGGAGTATAGCATTGAGTGGGGAAACCGCTATAGTATATTTTTAGAGTACTTACAGCTGCTAATAGACAATCTATTCTTAGGTCTATGATTAAATGCCTTTAGGAACTAGAAAACTAAAACTAAGAGCTGAGTTGGGTTTCATTTCATTTGCAAGGAGCAGAGGAACCATATTTTTCCCTGAGTGAAGTACATCTTTTGTAAGGTCATGCATGTTTTAATGATTAATAAGTCTTTGCATGCATGTCTCCAATTTTTTGATTGAAAAAAGTGAGAAATGCACTGGTTCTCAATTCTTTCAATTAGAGAATTTTCTTTAGATGGGTCACTTTGCAATTAACTGCCGTCTAAAACGTGTGCCATACTAGCACTGTTAAAGGTAGCACTGTTTTTTTTCTTTCAAGTGCATGGGACCAGTATGTGTGGATTGTTTTAATTAAAGTGTCCAGATTTTAAAAATGGAAAACACCTTTACCCATTTGGGGTACATGCATATTGTAATGTATATGTTGTATACAATATTTTTCAGTACAGGGATGTTTCTGAAATGTTCAGTATTTCTGTAAAACAACACACTGTTCTTTGGAATGTGCCTTAATAGGGAAAATTGAATCTTGCAACTCAGAAGCATCATGTGTCTTTTGTAACCCCTATCATATGTTTATTGTCTATAGTTATGTACTGTGATTTATTGAACAAGGATCAGTTAATCGGCTCACTGTCAGCCATATTTCATAGATTATGCTTATATACTTGATACTGAGAAGTAATGTAAAATCAATAGATTGCTAATAGTCATTGCTGGCATAAGTACTGTCACTGAATATATGGGAAAGATGCCTTGCCAGATGCAAAGATGGGCCACTCTTTGTCTGCTTTGTAATATTAAATAATATTTGTAGTACAGGTGTAAAATCATCTAATGGAAAAGTGTATAATTTTTAATCTACAGGATGTTATTAGAAAAATGTATTACCAGAAACTTATTTGATGTTGAATGAGTGCTGAAACAGAAAAAAATATTCGAAATAATGGGGAAATATAGGTATATTGACAGTCAGTCAGTAGGTGTTAATTTAATGTTTACCAGTAAACCAGATTTGTAACCCTGATCATTCTCTCTCTCTCTCTCTCTCTCTCTCTCTCTCTCTCTCTCTCTCTCTCTCTATATATATATATATATATATATATATGTTTATCAAGAATTCATTACCAATATAGGGTTTCTGTGACTTTGTGTCATAGATGACTGCCAGAGACAGCATTCTGTAAATATTTGCTAAGGTATCAGTGCAAGCTTTTTGGTTACAGGCTTTTATGCTGATGATGCAGTCAGTTTCTATGGTACTTCTGCATGACTAAATAACTATGGCAGTCACTGTACAGTGGCATATAGTGTTGGCTTATTGAATGATGACAGTATTGATGAAGTAATAACTGTGGTCGCCGCCTCATATTGCTGCACACACAGGACAAGGCTGTATTGAGAATATGGCAACAGGTAGCTGCTCTGACGTCCATGATGCATTCTCAAGATGGCAACCAAGAACAGAATGCCACAGACTTATGGACTGCCTGAATATTTCCTGGAAAATTAATCTGAGGATGTGAAAGAGTGAAACACAATTATAGCCCTGTGGTTTAGGATGAACCTTAACATAACAGTGTAAAGTATGTTAATATGATTTCACACTTGAGTCTTCCGCAGTTTCTCAGGATTGCTTCATGTTTCATAAGAACACTTGGAATAATAAAGAAGAACTGGTTCATTTTCATGAGCCATTTACTTTGCATATTTCAGCTATTTAGGGTCTTGGCAGATCTAGTGTTGTAGTGTGTGAGTTTTTTTATGGTTGATTTCACTATTAGGAAACACTGTCACAAGCAATGGACAAACTCTATTTCCTCTTACTTCTTCAATTCTTGGCTCTTTCCACTATACCTAGAGAATAAGACTGATCAAAGCAATTCACCTTTCAAAAATCCAAATTTACTTTTATTCATGGTCTCTACAGAATTCATCTCTAAACTGATGTGGTAGAATTTGCGTACAATTTAAGTTCTGTAAGCCATGAGATATTTCCAGGATTTATATATATGTAATGCTATCTTGGAATGTCTGGACCAATAATGCCTTCTGCCTTTAAATTTGTGAGAGTGGCTCTGAGTCTTGAACAGCCTGAAGATGATGATTGAATCTTCTCTGTTTGCAGGTGTGCTTCCAGGAGTATCCAGTGGTTTGTTGATGCTCTGTGCTGGCAGACACTGTTCTGAACCATGTAACCTTCTCAGCAGGTAAGAAAATAATCTCACAGAAAAGGGGTTTACATGAGTTTGACAATACAAAAAGTTACACTTCAGTATATTGCATATGATGAGGTGTTATAGAGTGTAAGTATTATATATAAGAGATCTCTAAAGTAATGGCCACAAGAACAGTGTAACCCCCTTCATTGGTCATGATCTGCAGGCTTGAACCCTTAAGATATTTGTATTTGAGCACAAATATTTTGTTTACCTCATTGCATACATTTAACTTTGAGTGTGTAAAATGTCAGATGAAGAGAGTGAGGCAAGGGACCCCTGGTTTAAATGTGAGATGGCCATTATGTACATTTACTGCATGTTAAGATGTTTCAGGGGGGAAATGATAAATTAACTGACAAGTTGATAACCTAGAAATTAACAAGTGGGAAAATTTCACAAAAATTAAAAAGTAACACGGCATGATATATTATCTGCTGGTATGTATACTACTATCATATTAAAACAAGATGGAGAACATTTTCATGAAGATTGTTTTAACTTATTTCCTATTTTACTTACTAGTAAGTGGAAGGCATTTAGTAGAAATTGGAAGCTTTTACTAGTAAGTTGTACTAACAGAAACATTGCTTAGGTCTTCTTTGAATGTGATAATGATTTTGGTATTTGTTTATTTGAAAACATGATTGCACATATATGAGAGTAAAAACATCAAGCTTCCATCAGATATTGTGTACTTTAATTTGTTTGAACCATGATATCCATAAGCATATACTAGTATGTTTCGTCATTTATTCTGTTTATGGCTCCTCCTTGTTTCTGAAATGACAGATCAATTATTTTATGAGAATTAGTGGATGACAGATTGGGCAGCCTGTCAGCAATTTAGACCAGGCACGAGGAGACTACTGTATTGGATGCCATTGTGGCACTGGCTAACTGGCAGGCCCAACATCTATAGAATTCCCACTGTCTAAGCCTGCATTCTGAAGTAGCAAGTGCTGCAAGTTATGACCATATGCTAAGCCAGATTGTTGCCTTATGGTAAAAAAAGTGATTCATCCTCTATTTGCAGTATGATTGCATTGCTATGCAGTATGAGATATTGGCATTTTGAAATGAGACCAACCTATTGACTTGTGATTGTAAGGGACTCCGCACAGCACTAATGGCAGACAAAACACAATCCTGGTTTTACTAGATATATCAGTGATAAACGCACAGATTCAGGACTGACATTTCTAGCTCTATCTGAACACACTGTTATGTGTAAAAGGAGAGAGACCAAGTACAGGCATCCTGTTAGTGTGTGTTTCCAGTTGAGTTGGGTAGACATATCTCTGTACAGCCCATCTAATATACGTTAAGCCCATCATTGGAAGTTAAACTGAAGGTATGCAGCTTGCCTATGTACAGTACCATTGGAAAAGACAAGAAAGCGATGAGTTTTACTGCCTGTTTCAGAAAATAAATTTAGCCCAATAATTTGGTCTAGTTCAGTTCAAGATAACTACTTAAATAAGGTAAGTATATATTGGTCTTAATCATTGACAACATCTTTTACAACAGGTGTAATGATGGTAATATATTTCATTTAATTGGAATAATAGTACTGATATACCCTGAACCAAAGTAGACTTAAATTTTAGTCTAAATGTTACAACCAATTTTCAGGCTTAAGTTCTTTGTGAAACTGGCCCCTGACGATCCCCTGAGATGGGCCATTGTCAGATAGGTCATTGTAGTTTGACTGGAAACACACTGTGTGCCTAATATCTGTATGATTCCCTAGAGGGATCCTGCTGTATATTTTTAGTTAAAAATTGATCTCTACGTGTATTATAGGAAAGGCAAAATGGCTTTGGTGGTGTGTAAACATGTTTGTTTTTACTGTTGATGGTTAGCTGCAGGCAAGATAACATGTACTAGGATGCTAGAATGTTGTTAAGGCAGGATCACACGTGGGTATCCAACTTCACATGCTCAGAGGGTGTGTAGCCAGTCACACTTCTCTTTCAGTATAACAGGACTGGTAACTTTAACAGTATTTAAATTGTTTACAGTGCAGTTTTTAGGCTAATGATGAAAATAAACAATGTATGATAAGCTATCTTTGTAATAATAAACAATAAAAAAATTGTTAATAGTTAACAGTACAGTTTGGGATGTATTTGTCTGTTACATACTGTAATATATTTGTGAACACAGTGAATATACTGTATATAATGAGTTTGGATACCATGAAGATGTACATGTTATGCAAAACCAATACAGAGATGATTTCTGTTTTCAAGATTATTAATTTTTTCACTTTGTAAGTATAATAAATATATTATCTAATTTTTACAATAGTACACATTGTTTTAAATATTTTTTGTCAATTTTAAGCAAAGTAATGCTTCTGATTTTAAGTTTGGCTTTTTAGTAACAGCTATGGCTCTTTTCACATCAAGAAGTACACATTTCTCTTTTTTTTTGGGGGGGGGGCATAAGTTTTTGCAAGTACTGTACCAATCAAAATTACTCCACTTAACTGGCCATGTCAAGTGCTGGGAATTCATTCAGGTGAGACTAACATAAATTATAATCAGGCTATAAAATTGTTAATCTCTCATAAACTAGTGGGTTACAAAAAATTGGTACACTTGATATGATAAGGGAGCCTACAGATATCAGTTATATATTTGCTAAACACAGATAAAGATGGGATTCTGATTATACACCAACTGATCAATTAGAAGAACCAGGTTATTACTATGATTATGATTGTTATTATTTTTCAGGAAAAAATAATTCTAATTGAAAATGTTAACTGTGCATATCGGCATGAATTTTGATCTGTGCAATACGTAAAGGTGATAGTTCTGTAAAAGAGAAAATCATGCCAGCAGAAAACGGGTTAGCTGTTCACTGAAGTCAATGAAGATCAGATGTGCCCTTTTACCTTCAGTGATAGCATTAAGCTTTTTGTAAATCAGTGACAAATGTTCTTTAAGTTTAAAATCAACGGGTTTTGTAAAAATGGTTGATCTTGTTCTGTGCTGAAATATTTCTGCGAGCTCTAGGTTGAAAAGTACTCAATTATCTAAAATATTAACATGTTTTTAGCACACAATGAATAAAATCATACTAGTTTAGATAACCTTCCCTGTGCTTGGACATTTTGTTTTGACATAATAAATAGCGTTTCATTTATTTTGGAATATATTAATACTCCACAATCTTTAAGAAAATAAACCCACAGTTTTTATCCTTTAAAAGGATACATATACAGTTAAATTTTTCCCATCAGCAATGCTAAGTGATATAGGCATGTAGCATCTGGCCTGTCAGTACAGAGTGATATGAATGGCAGATATTAGCATACATAATAATTAGTGTGAGGAGAATAAAATACATATGCATAAATTGTTGTGTGGGAATATGCTGGTTGTATGCTGGTATTGTGGTGACAGGTTGTGTTGTATGCATGTCTGTATTCAACTCCTACGCATTTAAGATGGAAACAAAGTATAGTTAACAATTTATGTTTTTCGGCTATAATTCTTTTGATATGTTTATTGGGGTATTATTATTTTTTATCACATTTACATTGAGGTGAAATTTACTAAAGGTTCTGTTTTGTCAAAAGCTTCAAAAAAATATTGAACTGTATTGCTGCCACAATTTTTGTTGAGATGAGTAAAGTATGTGTTCATCAAAGGCACACACTATCAATAATTGTACGTGTAAGTTTGCTTAGAACTGTCAGCATCTCTCTTCATGTTTTGTTGATTGCAATATCAGAACATGAATTATTAAAGATAATATTGGAGAGGTTAATTAATTTAATATTGCCTGACTATGACATTTAAAAGGACATGAGACACATTTTCATTAAAAGTTCACTGTTCTCCCCCTAAGGTGATGCTTGTAATTTGTTTGTACAGTTTAATATGGACATTTTGCCCTTCTTTTAACACATCGATTCCACTGAATTGCCTCCCCTGTTCTGATAAAAGTCTGGTGAATTTAATTGATATATTTGAACATATTTGATCAGTGAAAATTCTTGAAATTTATTGTTTTTGATAAGTATCTTTAAAAAGTTATTTCTAACATCTGAAATATGATTGACTTTGAGTTAATTGTAGTCTTAAAAATGGCAAATCTTGAAATAAAATGTTGCAAAGTTGATATTTTCAATAACCATAAATTTTGATTTCAAGACAACTAAGGGCTAGTCATGTATGTCAGAGTTAGTCTTATCAGGCAGTGAAAAGTGCATAAAGAACAATTTATATCCTAGAGTTATATCTTTACGTAAAACATTGCTCCAATTTCCTTCAGATATATAATAAAGGTCATCTAGGTTTTATCAGTATTAAATAATCTCCGAGATAGGTATGAATACTTGGAAAAAATTAAGATTTTATAAGTGCTATACCAGGTCAGTGGTGTTAATTGCAAGTAATCAATCCTTTAAGCCCTCAGCAGGTAGTCAAAATAGGTGATGGAAATTGATTGCGCTTATTGGATCATTGCATGCATTAGGGTAGTGACTTCAGGATGTGATAGGTAAATTTATGTATGTATATAATGGGAAAGAGGTTTTCAAGAAGACCTTCAACCTATAGTATATAGGCAGTGCAATAGTGGGTTATGTAAACATTGTATGGGAGAAATTTCCCCATTAACATTTTGACCCTATAGCATTCTGTTGATGCTGAAAAGTGAATTATATTTAGTAGTCCAAGTCTAAATGTAGTGTGGGTAAGCTGGTCTAATTTGAGATTCCATGTTATCATGCTGGCAGACTACCTCAATTATTCTAAGAGATACAGTCTAGATTTCAATTTTCAGTTTGCATACAAGCAATTGATGAAATACAGATGTATTGTTGATTTGTTAATATATAACTTCAGTGAAGGATTTGATTTTCTTCCAGCATAACTTGCTGTTCAGTAATTTTTTGCACCTACAAATATAATGGGTGTAAGGTACATGAAGTTTAAAGCTGTATGAAAAACCCAAAGATGAAGATATTACTACATACATATACACAGTAAACATGTACATACATACAGAATTAGGCAAATAAAGGAAAATGGCACTTATGTCAAATGGAAAGTTTTCATAAAAAAATTAAAAATTCATTTTCCTTGCTTTGACCAATAGTCCACCTGTCCAAAAACGTATGAATATAAATATGTATATATGTAGTGCAATAAAGCAGCTGATTCACTTTCCTCTGGAAACTTGGCAGAAAAAATATACAATCAGCTTCATCTAGTGCTTGTTTTATAAAGGATGGATGATTTTGGTGGGTTTTTAACTTGCAATAGACCTGTAAATGTCTGTTTTAGTAATTAACCTTTGGCTTGAAACATTAGTCATGTATTTTTTTAAATGGTTGTAATTTTGTATTTAAGTGGCTTACTACTGATTTGTAGTAATTTAGGTAAGGTCATAGTAAACAAAAATTTGGGTATAAAATTCAGACTTACTTTTGCACCAAAGTAATTTTGCTATGCTGCCATTGTGAATGAAATTTCCTGAAAGAACACTATTTTTGGGCCATTAAGCATTTTTTTATACCTATGTCATCTTTTTAGTTTGTCATACGTTATACGATGACCTCATCTATAATGGCAAGGTTCCTCGTGACACCACCGGTAGGGTAATAATTTTCCACAGCTTCTGTCTGTCTGTCTACTCTGTGTATTGGCTGACATCAATAAATATGTTATTGCCTCTCTAGATGACAATGCAATCTCAGCTTTATTTGGCATGGTGTAAACATGACATTTTTGTATGATTTGATTACAATTGACTTCATATATCACCCCTCTTTCACAACTAGCTTTAGGCTCATAAAGGTTGAAGCCATATAAGTATATTCATGTTTGACGCCCTTTTCTTTTTTCAGTGGGTGTCTTTATCAGTCATGTACCATATGATTGACTACACAATAGTGGGCTTTCACATGTTATATTTATAAAGGACACATGCTGTATTAATTCAAGTCTTTACTTTTCCAGTTTCTTGACAGCCTGTGTGCCACTCAGAAGAGTAAAGGTGAGTATCAATATGTCTCAGTAACTGCTCTCATTTGTATTGTCTTGCACTATTATAGTACATACATGTATTTTGGGAAAACTCTAGCATTTTTACTTGTGGCTACATACAAGTAACTTTCACATTTTGTAAAGACTGATTCAATTTGTCATGTTATCATAGTACTTTAAGAAAGCTAACCAGTGGCGTTGTGTTTCACAAAAAGCCTCTATGAATGACCATACAATGCCTTTTTTTTATATCGCCAATCAACAAGCGTTTCTTCAACTGTTGGCCCACAATTTTTACCCTGTAGAGTAATAATCACAGTCAAGAATGTAACAAATTGATAGAGAGCTCTGTTAAAAATCAGGGAAAAATCATGTACAGTAAGTGGCTTTTAAGATTCCTTGTGAAACTCAATTTAGTTGGCTAAATTCTTAGCAGTCTTTACAATTAGCACAGTTTTCAGTCTTAAGTCGCTTTAATTTGTGGAACAGGTTTCTGATGCAGTGCATACACATTTGTTTGCAATTAAACATGGTAGACTAAGTTAAGTACTTATTTAAATACTTAAAGGTTTATGTGCCTGTTGAACTGCAAAGGACAGCTCATTTTCTGTCTGGTGTTTTTGAAGGAAAATTATCTATAAAGTTTCTTCATTGACTTTCTCATTTTAAGTTCATTCTTTGTTCAGTATTAGCTATAGTATATGGAGATATTATACTGTATGCAGTGTTAATTACCAGTGCAGAATACTTTAACATAGTGCTAAAAATGACAACCTAAATGAGTGAGGATTGAAATGATTCATAGTTTGAAATTTTCACCTTTGAGTTTGTCTAACAACAACATGCTTTAATAGATCATCCGGGTAACTCCCTATCACCACAAGAATAACATTTTTAATTATCAAACAGAGTAAAGAGTATTTTTTTATATTTTAAAGTGGGATGAATTTGACTCTGAAACAGACATGCTGAAACTGTCGGTCCGATCGGTCATGACCGAGAAAATTTGTCTGGACCGGTAAAAATTTGGATTTGGTCGGTCCAAAGGACCGACATGAGTTTCAATTTTGAATTTCCAGTCATCATTCGACATACTTCACTGATAAAATTATATAAAACCCAAAGCATTTGTCCCTTCCAATTCAAACCTATCACATTCACAAACAAAGTAAGCTCCCCTAATCGTATCTGTCTCAAACGAATAGAGTTATATTCAGTCCGACAAAAATCCATTCGGTCCGACAAATTTTTCATTACTGCTGGTCCAAATGTCCCGCCATTCTGAAAAGTTTTCAGCATGTCTGCTGAAATAGAAGTTATATATTTTATGTATATTTTTCAAATATAATGCTTGGAAAGATTATATTAGGATGTTGCTATGGTTCATTTACTTCACAATGCTAGACACATGCTTATATGCTAAAAAGATTTCCAATTTATGCTACTGAAAGTGTTTAAAGCATTCTAATAACATATCTGAGCAATGGAAAAACTCGGCATATAAGCAGTGATCTTTCGTAGTGATAACTACTTTAGTTTTGTTCTGTTGGAAATGATGTGAGGTTATGGTCTGGTACACCAAGGCATATGTCAAGATCAGAAAATCCAGCTGCAGTTTATTTTGCATGCATGTGCAACATGCATAAATGTGATGTAGACCTCTTGTCAGAACAGTGTCTGTGACCCTAGATCACATATTACACCTTCCTAACCCTTGTATCGGATTCTTGCTTCAGGGGACGACTAGGTTTCTGGACAATGCAGTTCAATAGTTGACTGGACACCTGACTGGTGGGGAGAAACATGCTGATAAAGGAGTACAGGATCCCCCTTCCTCTCAGTGTAGAGGAGTACAGGATAGCTCAACTGTATATGATACAGGTAATAATACTCTAACACAAAGTTTACAGTAGTAGTATTTAAAAGATACTTAAAAATTGTGGTGAGACTCGTAGCAGCAGATACTAATGCTTCATATTTATTATTTATTTATTTACTTTCTAGGTTTGGGCCTGATTGAATTATTAACTCTGCAATTTTTTAGTATTCCGGCTTTTCAGAGGCAGTGATTTGTATCCAGAATGGACTTAAAATATAGATCAATAGTTCCTTAAAAAAGAAATTCATAATATCTATGTTGCCATTTTGAAATTTATTTTATTGGCATATGAGTCATTTTTATCTTAATAAGTTAAATGCAATTGGAATAATTTACTTGACAGTATAAATGCCTTGTCTGATACAGAATGGGGAAAAATAAGATCTATTACATGGAAATGGTATAACCCTTTTAATGCAGAGTGCAACTTGTGCTTTTAATCCCCCCAAGAGATTTTCTCCCATCAATAGGCTACACAGGGTATCTTTCCTAAATGCACCAGTGTTTGTTACTAATTCTTAATGATTTAACATTTGCACAAAAATGTCATAGAGAATAACAAATAAAAATCTCAATGCATCAAATTCAAATGGAATGTGCATGCCTCTGGATTTATATTTTCCCTTTGAGAAATACATGCCTTCACCTGCCTGAGTAGATTGTTGCAGCTCAGCCTTGGAGTCCCTCAGTGGAGGTTAGAGACCATTAGTGTGGCATGTAGTTACTGTTGTAAAGATAGGCAGAAAACCTGGACCAGTCTAGCATGCCTAGAATTTTCCATTGAAATGCCATGTATTTCAAGCAAGTTATGTATTACAGCTGTATATTTTCAGTTCGTCCTTCTTATATTTACTCTTCTGTCAGTGTTTTCAAAGAAAAAAAATGGAGGGAAATTGAAAAAAATGATGATGTTTGTAAAGAGAAGTGATGTGAATTTTTTTCACAGCTTTGTAAAATGGGGTAACAATTACTTGGATGGTGAGCCACAGTGATACTCTCTATGTATAGGTGGCTGTGCACAGGTGTTAGTTGGCCCACAGCCCACTAACCTTATTACAGGGGTTAAATGGTATTGCATTTATAGCTCAGAATGTTGACATTTGAACCATTAATCCCTCTTTAAATATCAACAAGAGTTTATTGTTTACTGAAAGTTAGGTTTTTTTGTTGAGGATATCATTCAAGGATTGGATTTTATGTCATTTGATATGATTAGGCAATTTGACTTTGTTCATTATGGTCTTATTCCTCAACCTGATTATTAGCAAATTTGTTTTTACAACAATGCAAACATTCTGAAAATCCTTATGAAATGATTTAACTTGAATGTTTTTTTTATTTTATAGAAAAAGAGCAGAGATGAAAGCAGCAGCTCAGGCAGTGGTGTGGAAATTATTGTTAATGAGCCCTACAAGGATGGCCCAGGAGGAAATGGACAGTATACTTATAAGATATTTCACATTGGGAGCCATTTGCCAGGTAGTACTTATAGTTTGTGGATTTCTGGCATAAGTAGAAACTCTAACATTTTTGCATTTATTTTTCTTAGCAATTTTTAACTATTTTTAAGTAGACTGAAAGTTAAATTGTCAGCCTGTGGTCTGTGTTTGCGTGATGGTTTTTTAACACTTTACATGGACTAATGTAGTTGCTACATATACAGTTTCAGTATTCATTTAAATGAAGTAAGGTTAATACACTTCCTAAAGTGTCTTTTGCTTAGTACAGTTGATATTGATCTGCCTTGTAACCATTTGTGCTATTTTTATGTACAGACACAGATGTGTCTGTACATATTGCCATCACCTGCGTCTGTCGTCGCCGTCGTCGCCGATGCCGATGGCGATGGCGATGCCGATGGCGATGCCGTCGCCGTGCACTTTCATTGTAAACACGATAAGTGGAAGGCAGTTTTAGTTTTTGGCTTTATATTTACAGAGCTGATAAATATTCATAAAACGCAGGTCAAGTTCGAAANACTGAAAGTTAAATTGTCAGCCTGTGGTCTGTGTTTGCGTGATGGTTTTTAACACTTTACATGGACTAATGTAGTTGCTACATATACAGTTTCAGTATTCATTTAAATGAAGTAAGGTTAATACACTTCCTAAAGTGTCTTTTGCTTAGTACAGTTGATATTGATCTGCCTTGTAACCATTTGTGCTATTTTTGTTTTATGTCAATGAAACAAGTAGTACAGTAATCAATGCTAAAAGGAAAGCAGTCTTTTTAATGGCATTAAGTGTACTGCACTGTTATCTGCATGTGTATTGCCATGATTTCAGGTTGGTTCCGTGCTATCCTTCCCAAGTCGGCCCTGAGGGTGGAGGAGGAGGCCTGGAATGCTTATCCCTATACCAAAACCAGGTACAAGTGTCCTTTTGTGGAGAAATTCCTCCTGGAGATAGAGACCAAATATCTTGGTGATGGAGGAGAGGTAGAAAATGTGTTTGACCTGTCAGCTGCAGAACTGAGGAATAGGACAGTAGGTAGGTGGTGTCTGATTTCTGCTGATTGTGTCAGTTGTGATGGAATGTGTTCAAAATGTATTGCAAAGTTTGGTGTCAGCTTGGACCCAGTTGCTTAAAAGATCTTTGGACTGAATGCTAGTAAGAACTTAAAGATGTTTTGTTTAAATTTTTTTAGTGTACTTTGACACAAAATTCATCAGTAGTAGACCCTTTTTATCTCCTATACTTTGTGCTGCTTGGTGGACAAAATTAATTTCAAGGAGTATTATTAATCCACTTGCTAGGTACAGCTGTGGGCACATTGCCTTTGCATCTGGCCTTCTCTCTCAGGCTGGTGCATTTGACTGCAGAGCATGATTTCCAACTGCTCAAATCCCCTTTTCATTGTCTGTATTACTGGTTACTATGTCATAAAGATATTCATCAACACAAGCCCATCCAACTTTAAATTTGTCAGCAATGTGCATTAACTTATTGTGCTTTCTGATGGAGTCTATATCATTTGTAACATCACTTTTGCAGCACTTGTTGTGACTTATGTCATATAGTAAATTGAATATTTCAAGCTTAAATTCTTATTGCACTCTGTTTCCTTTGTATTTAAAAGAAAGTTGCCCCTTCTTTCTTTATCTTCTTTTTCAAGTTGGGTGAATTTTCTTCTAATCCTCAAAGATTTCACACTTCTGTGATTCAAATTTTGATGTCAAATGTTTTCTAAAGAAACATTAAAAAGTTCAATAGCTTTGTTGAAAGCTGGACCATGTAAATCTTCACTCTTTGTCCTGCGTTCATTGTTCTCAATTTCAATCTATTTTGACTCTAGATAAATCAGTAATAGTCCACTAAAATCAACTGATTTACCTTTTATTAAAAAAGAGTGGTCAGTATTTCCTATCATCATGTTTGGTTTTTTTGGGTTTTTGTCCTGAATAATCAGGGTTGGACACCTATAGATACTTTATTTTATTAAACCATTAAATGTATTTATCCTTAACCGAAATATAATGTAAGTTAATCTTAAAGGGTAGACCTATTTTTAGTCTTATGTGTCTTGAACTTTAATTGACCCCTACTGTATTGAAGGGCACAAGTATGTAAATTTTTAGTCATAAGGTAACTGTATAACAATAATATTATGTATTAGTTAGGACAAACAGGGATTTGCTTGACAAGATTGATCAAGTCTGTGGTCCCAGAGTTTTACTTCCTGGACTGCTTAAATGAAAAAGGCAACTTGGTCTGGTAACATGATATTTAATATATATATAAAAACCAATACATTAGGTTTGATATTATCATTCAAGTACACTTTTCAATTTTGTGTGTGTGTGTGTGTGTGTGTGTGTGTGTGTGTGTGTGTGTGTGTTTTGCAGCTTTTAGACTTTTCCTAAATATCTTTTATGTTATATTATTCCAGATAGAATAGACATTGTAAAAGATCCCATATCCTCTGGCGACTATAGGAAAGAGGAAGACCCTAAATTATTTAAATCCAAGACCGGGCGAGGACCTCTCTCTGATGACTGGCTACAAGAACACATAGACCAGTCTAAGAACCCAGGTTCTTCAGGCACCAAGATCATGTGTGCATATAAGCTGTGTAAAGTTGAGTTTAGATATTGGGGAATGCAGAGCAAGATTGAGAGATTCATCCATGAAATTGGTGAGTTGTCTTGGCTATGTGATAAATGACTTTCTTTTTCACTATGTTATTGTGCTAAGGATTTTTATGGAGAGAGGCAATGTGCCTGGACATATAACCATCACCTGCATCTGTCAGCACCCTTGGTGTTTCTTTGCACTTTCTTGAATTTTTTGCTCATAAACAAAATGAAAGGAGAACTGTCTTGTTTATAAATATTCATAGATGTTTATAAATATTCATTAATATTCATAGAAAATTACAGTGCATATTTTTCCATTAATAAAATGTGTTCTTTTGCATTACTTACCATAAATTTCAATGGCAGCAAAGCTGTTGTTCTTAGCTTTTGTCTTGTTCTGGGTAGCTTGGACCAATAGTAAAATTTTACACAATATATCACTGCTGGAGGTGATTAATAATTCCTGTTTATGGTGGTATTATGTAGGTCTGCGTAAGACCATGCTGCGTGCACATCGACAGGCATGGAGCTGGATGGATGAGTGGTATGGACTAGAACTCAGTGACATACGCAGACTGGAGAAAGAAACACAGGAAACATTAGCAAAGAAAATGAAAAGCTTCATGAATGAGAATGATGACAGCATTATCAGTGACAGTATCAGTAACAGTGTTACTCCAGCTAGGAGTTTACCTGTCAATGAGTCCAGTGCTACTCTGACTGAGAGTGACAGTATAGCCAAGTCCACAGAGACATTGACCAAGTCCACTGGGAACCTTAGTGAGGGCTCCAGTACTCCCACCACCCCGGTTAGGCGCATTTCCACATCTGGGACTGCTAAGAGAAAGTCCTGGGAAAATGCCGCATCTGCATCCAGGCGCTCACAGAGAAGTAGGTTGATGCATATATGTTTGGTGAATAGTACACACATTTACTTATATTTTGTAGCTAGTTTACTAGTTCACTTAGTTATTCTACTCAGAAATTTTGTTCATAGTTAAGAATCCTGTTTTCTCTTGATAGAGAAGTCTTTATATTATTTTCTAGCAATGAGACTTCCTGATTTTATCTTATCATTTTCAATTTTAGATAGTCTCCCCTTTTATAACATAGTTTAATGCTAAAAAATTGGTCCTTAGGTCAGTTATTGTAAATGAAATATTGAAAAGTGGGAAGAATTGGAATACTTGGGTTATGTAGTGTAAAAATGTGTTAGGTGTGACAGCAGATAGTGATAGTCCAACAAACTTTTATGCATTTAACATATGTTATAACAGCTCAGCTAGAAGTGGGTTACCATAGCAACTTAATTTTAGTATTTTGCAGCATTTGTGATTTATGTCTCCAGCACTTTCAGATAGTGATGACCTCTTTAATATGATATGGTATTAAAATGCAAGTTTATCAGGGAGTTTCTGTGACTGTCTGCTACTGCCCCTAATGAATTGAAATAGTCAGAATATTCGATGTAGTAACACTTGAATTTGGTACACACGACCAGCACACAGTGGTAATGGAATCAGCAACTGTTAACTGTGCAACTCAACTAACCAATTGAACCATCAAAAGGCATCTCTTACAGTCTTCATTGTGCAGTCTCAGAAAAACAAGGAGAATCAATATATAGATGTCTCTGGGGAAGTTTTTTGTCTTTGATGGATTTAATGTTACAAGGTCAGCAATTGAATTTGTGTTTTTTCCCTCCTGGTTATCCTCACTCTCATCTCAGTGAAATATCAGAATGACCTTTTCATATCTTACGAGATGGTAATCAGTGCTCTGCCCCAGGAAGTCACTACAAATTGGGCAATTCTAAGATGGAGAAATTGAAAGGTTCAGAGAACTTAAAAAGGGCGGAGGGTGTTTCATGTACGTAGGAATACTAGTACTAAGATGTGATACTGCAGACAGCAGGATATGCATTATGGAGAGAGCAATATCATGTACTTTAATGTGGAACGACTCGAAATAATGGACAGAGAGAGAGTGATGGTTTGCCGGTCAGGTGTAGTAAACAGTGGAGCTATTTCTGTCAGTACTTGTAAATTTTTGCATTTACGGTATACTTGCTGCAGTCTTGTATTCATCTTAGGTTTCTATAATTTTTATCACTCTCTGTTTTGATTTCAGTTGGAAATAGGTTTAATTTATTCAGTTTTTCTTTTTTGTTGTAATTCTCTGCAAAAAAATCAATGGGGAAATGTCACATTCTTTACTTGTGAGTGTATATGATAGAGGCCATATCAATTGCCATTAGATTAATTTTCATAGAAGTGTTGTTGGGAGGGGAGGGGGTTTGAAATTTAACCTGCAGGTGCTTTGTGTTGATTACATTAAAACCTCACTTGGGTCTCCCAAGAGAGAGTATTTGCATTTTAGAGTGCACAAAAACCTATTAGCATGGCTGTGTGAAAATGTATAAATTTCTGGGAAATAGGAACAAGATTTTTTAAAAAGAAAGGAAGCTGCTTTGTGAAATTTTGATACATGTTCTCAACAGCAGAGGCAAGCTTGAAATTAGTTGTGCTTGTAGAAGCTCTTAGTTGAAATGTGAGCTTTTTCATCAAAGTATAAGATATATATGTAGTAATATTTACCCATGGTATACCTATGATGAGACAGCTGACGAGAGTCAGCATGGATTCCCCTAAGTGCAGGCTTGTGTCACATACATTTACTAATGCACACGTACAGTGAAACTCAGCATGGGAATAGGTTATCAAACAGCTCCATACAGGATCTGAGGGAAAACTGAAAAGGAAGTTTTTATAATTCAGGTAATTTTATCACAACTTTACATGTAGAACAGAGTCAGGAAACAAGTATTTGATGACTTTATAATCATCAAAGTATGGATGGTATATTCTCTCTCAATATTTGCAGTTCTAATGTAGGTTGAAGTGAGCTGAGTACTGATGAATATGTTCTCTATGGTATAAATGGAGGTATAAATGGCAATATAGCTTGATAGCAATGTCAGGTAGAAATCTAAATAACACATTGGGGTTTTAGTGCTGAAAAACATTCACGCTGAAGGGCCAGTGTATGCTATCATCTAGAGGTTACATATGTAGCATTAATTTCCCAGAAATTTCCAGGAGATTCTAAGTACGATACAAGTTTTGGTTGTAGTTTTGATCATTTATTGTTCATACAGCATTAGCAAACTGTAGGCTGTGTACATGGTAGATTACCACATACAGCTGGGATGCTTGGGAATATATAAAAAGTTTGACATTTTTAAAAATCTGCCTTAGATATAGAAAATAACACTTGTCCAAATTTTTATTCTGAAAGAATACAGTTTTGTATTACCATTTCGTCTGTCAAGTTTGTGAATCCAATGCTTTAGTTGCAATGCTTAGAGCAACAGGGCGCAAATTAAGTGCAACCCATGTCAGTCTTCGTCTGGTTTTGATGAACTTTGTGACTATTACTCTGGGAAAATCCAGTTCATTTCAGTTTCCGCTTCATTTATCCCATCACTAGAGAGAAACCTACTTCCACACTGATATTGACTTCTCTATGGCACTGCAACCTTTTAATAAATCACTGATGAAATACACCAGATAAAGAAAAAACGCAGTATGTTCATCACTGACAGTGTCTGGGTTTCCTCAGAAATTGTTGAAATTTTAAAATAATTTCTTAGAGTAGTATATATATTCATTTATTCAAGGTCCATTCTGGTTATATATGTCAGGTAGGGTACTGAATTGGACTGATTCATTATCTGCTGAGAATTAATACTTTATACACAATGAGTCTGTAATTTTCATAACATGTTCATAAAAGATGTAGCACATGTATGTTTCCAAGTTGTCCTGTCAACCACATTATATTGCCAGGACTTATTGCAATGTATAAGCCATTTGTGATATGTGGTAATGTTTGTTTCAAGTAATTGAATGTGATTTTATCTTTTATTTGAAATGTGTGTCAGATGAAATATATTTGTATATAAATGCTTCTAGGAAAAAGTCTGATCTGGATAATTAATGGGATGCTGGTTTCACATTCATCTTGTTCTTGTTATGCTTTTGTTAGATATAGTAGTTACTTCACTTAACTGCTGTGTGTGCCGATCAGGATTTTTTTTTTTTTGCCAGTATATGGTTGCTGTGTGTGCGAATGTGTGTGCATGTGTGTCAGTAGATGATAATGCTGCTTTCATGTTTTGTCTGACATTTATTTCAGGTTCATTAGGTAGTATATGTACTTTTTCAGTATGTGTACAACTGTATGTTTGTGTTTGCATATGTGCATGTGCAAGCTTATGTGTACCTGTCTGTGTGCTGATGTATGTATATTTTTTGTACATTTATTCTATAAGGCATACAGTGGGTTAGGTATAAATAATGTGGTAGTTAACAGTGAGTTTATTCAGTACCTCCATATGATGTTTATAATGTTTCCACTGCTCTGTTTTTTCAGGTTCATCTCGTAGCATGTCAGACTGGGTGGTGGAGAAGATAGAGGATCTTGCAGACACCTCTGATGAAGAATTCTTTGATGCACAAGGTGAGTGAGGTGTCAATTTTTATTTGTTTCAGCTAAATAACATTTATATTTTTGCTCCAAATAAATGGTTTACACAAAAATGGTCAAATATTTACCACTGTCATTGGGCATGTAGAGTAACCTATCTTAAGGATTTGGCAAGAATTAAGTATGTATGAGCGCAGAAGAAAATGAGATTTAAGAGTTTTAACAGACTTGTGAAGGATGAAATGAATTGATCAATAGCAACACATTAACAAATTAGAGACAGATAAAAGACCATCCTAGTGCCAGTTTATTGCCTGGGAATTGAGTATGTATGAATCTATTATATCCTATTACCAACATGATTAAGAATGTATTTGCCTGAACTGAACAATACATTAGACATGAGCTTTTTCTGGAAAATCACAGCATTCCAAGAATTTAAATTCAATTCTGATGATGACCTCTGGTGCCCTTGTGCGATGAAGTGTTGTTGTCCCAGGATTAATCTTTACAGATTTTTTTAAACCCATGGTCATGTCTGATGCATACAATATCTTGACTTTCAAACAATGCAGTATAGTTTGGCACTTCATATATAATAGGGAAATGATGACTTTAAACAATAAAAAGGTCTGAGATAGTACAGCTTTGTCACTTAGAGCAAAAAAGATGAGGGAAATCATATCCTGCATTGACATGCAGAAAAATTACTATTGATAGATACATTGCAGCAAAAAAAGTTCAGATGCCTGATTTTGATGCCTTCTAATTATTTTCGTGAGGATGCTTTCAAACATGTTGATGTAAACAGAAAAACTAATTCCTTCTCGGCTGTTTCTCATCACAGACCTCATGGAACCTTTAGGTGAGTATGCAACAAACTCATTTACAACCAATATTGCTGCAAGGAAATAGAACAGTGTAGGTATTGATTGCTTTCTATGAAATTCTCGTCTGCAGAAAAAATAGATATCATGGTTGGAGATGATATGTACGGCCTTGTAGAATACTCAATATTTATGTACAAAATTCAGAACAGGGCCCATATCAGAATAAGCTTTTCTATATCAAATATGTTTTTTTCATCAAGATCAGTGCATTTTTTATTATTTGTTGGGAAAAAAAGAATGTAATAAGTCTTCCAAATTAGCTATTTCAGTCCTTGGTGGAAGCATCACTTGTTTATTTTGGTTCAGCAAAAGACTATGAGATAATCAGATATGAAGGAAAGCATGAGAAATATTTAATTATATTTATTTGTGTTACAGCACAGTTTCTGTATGTTGTTCATTAACATAATACACATGTATGTAGTAGTGTTAGTGTTTTTAAGTTTTTTTATACCACCATTAATAAATCTATGTTTTTTTTTACAAAACACAAAGGGCCATTTCAATGTTAAAGTGACAATATTTGCTAGGTTAAAAAGCATGCATCACAATGACACAGCCATGATCTGTCTTATGAAAATAAGAGTAATAAATAAAACAGACAAAGCAGGATCGACATTCAAAGAGGGGGAAATTAATTTACACAAGTTGATAAATGAGATATACCCCTGGAACATCAAGCTGTATTCCTGGAAATGCTCAGTAATTGAGGCAGGGCATGTCTGGATTCAGTAATTCAAGAATAATGGTGTTCTTATCATCTTTAGCCCTGTAGCACCATAAAGCCATTTCTGCAGAATTTTTGCAGTGTGTATTTACAGCAAACAGGGAAGTATTTCAGTCCATATCTTCTCTCAATTTGTAAATTTAAAAGATAACTATATTTGTAAGAACAGGTAATTTAAAAACCCACATTGTACAGCTTGGTAATAAAGGTATGCTTCTTTGCACTTGTTATCACCACTTACTGCTGTCAAGTGAGAAAGTCTTTATTTTTAAGGTTACATTTTGTGAGTTACTGTGATAATTGATGTGCCATATTTATGTGACTTGATCCAGGGCATATAAAATTTAAGTCCATGAAAATAACAGTTAAGCAGTTGTCTAGTCATTAAATATGATTTTATGAAGATTGTTATCTCTCTCTCTCTTTTTTTTTTTTTTTTTTTTTGGTAATGCATAATTTTTGGTACAGTTTTTTATCATCAGTACTCGGATTTATAATATAGATTCCCAGATTACATTTTCAAGGCATCTTGCTTTGAACAACACATTTAAAGTTACTAGAATCATTTGCCGTGCAGATTTTATTGCTTTGTTATATATCTGCCCCATCTTGAATATAATATGAAATAAAATATAAGATATAAAAATATTGTATAAAATCTAAAGTGATAAGAAGAAGTGCAGTGATATAGATTTACATATCTGATGTGATGACATTGCACTTATTCTGGTTTCAGAGGAATTTGCAGAGGATGCCAACACGGCAGTCTCTGGTGTTGTGAGGACCAGTAGTATGGAGGCCCTCTCATCTGGTGACCATGCTGGCAAACTAGCCCCTGATGAAATCCTGGAAGAGGAATACTTGGACAGTATAGACTGTCAGATGATCCATGAAGCTGAGGATGCTGATACTCTAGGAGAAAGTAAGAGTGCTGGTATTATTTGATAACATCCTTCAACACCTGGTACATGTGTTACAGTACATAGGATCATTTGGTATTATATGTGACATTTGGCCTTTCAGAAAAGTTTGACATTAACAGGTAGCATTTAAGGTAACGTAGTAGTTTGTAGTGTAAGGTGGCAGAAGTGCAAATATCAAAAATAAGGTAATGACATGGCTATATGTAACTTAGATTGCCTTCTATAATATATGACCTAATCGTAATGCTCTTTTTGTGTGCATTTATTACCTAGGTACAGATTCCACATTTAGTCGTCGCCTAGAGCAATTCCAGTCCATGAAATCGAGACCTAAGAGGTCTGACCATTCCCCTCCGAACACTCCATCCTCCAAGTTATCACCATCACCCGTGTGCAACACAAATGTTCTCTTTCTGGTGCTCCATGGAGGTAAGTGTCACCCCGATTGACATCTGTCAATTGAAGTAAAAATTACCCTCTCTGTATCAAAATGTTGCAAATGGATTATCTGTTCATTGCGCCATTTAGAGATTGATGTGAAATTTTTGCTTCATTGTCTGGCATAAAAATTGCTTATCATGTTATTTTTGTACAGTATGTATAAACATCTAGATCTACACCTTTTATTATTTGGGTAGATTAGACAGTTTATAAATAGTATAAGTGCAGTGTGTCTCTATTGTTTTCCAGGCAGCATCCTAGATTCTGGGCAGTTTGAGCTTGGCTCTCAGCGTTCAGATATCAGCACGCTACGAGGGACTTTTGATAAAGTGATCAGAGCACATTATCCCGCCATGTATGGTCATCTGGCTATACGACTTGTTAGATGTCCCCTCCTGTGTGCCGAAACCTTGCAGATTTTAGAAAGGTATTTGAATACAGTCAGTTTGAAACAAATATGAGAATTTTCAGAAATACTTTTTTCAGATATTAGAAAGGCATTTTCTTCAGGTATTCTCTGTGAAACAATGACATTTACTATACACACTGAATAATTTCAGTTTAAAAATGTAATAAGGTGTAAATAAAATTGTTTTCTTTTATATATATATATATATATATAAGCAAGATATACATTCACAGAAGTGGCTACTTGCTTAATTCTTTAAGAATCATATATGGTAGTAGTGATTTTTGCTATAATTGCACACTGATACATTTTCTATTTGTTGGTGTAAAATTTAAGTAAGAATGAAAACTTTCATCTCCTTCCTACTTCCAGCTTAAGCCCATTTGGTTATGACAGTCAGCGCAGCAATGATGACACATCTCCTTACCTGACAGACAATCTTCCCCTTGGTGCCATTTCTCTGTTTGCTACGTCCAATGCAGATTACCAGGACCAAGTAATTCAGGTGATTGCTAGAGCCAACCAGGTCTACAACGACTTTCTTAGGTCAGAGGAGGGGAAGGGCTTCAATGGACAGGTATGTGCCACTGATCATAACAGTATTACATTACATCACATTACATTACATTACATTACATTACATTACATTACATTACATTACATTACAATATCATAATGGACATGTGAAAGTTAACATATCAGTCTTCACTTTTTACTTTCAAGCCCATTAGGCTGGAAGACCTAAAAGAACTACTTGTTCAAATCAAAATATACTAATCTGAAGATGAAAGCTTTAGTTGATGGAAAAGAATTTAAAACAACTGCTCAATTTCTGCTTGTTTGGTTGGAGTAGTAATGTTGAAAATTCATAATTTTTTGTTGATCCAACACCCAGTATTCCATAAGATTTGCTTTAAATTGTCGCTAACTTTGCAGACTGCATATTTAAAGACCTTGAGGTCTGTGAGGACCTCTGCATGACAAAGAAAGATAATAATCCCATAATTAACTATCCTCCATACCTCTATATTAGTTATATACATTTATTATAATGATCTATAAAATATCATACATAATTTTATGGGGTATTTTTAAATATAATTTTATGTAATTGTATAATTTAATTTGATTTCTATTTTCAGGTGTGCATGATAGGAGACTGTTCTGGTGGCATCTTTGGCTATGATGCTTTATGTTATGCTTCACAATCACTACTTAGTCGCACAAACAGTCGTCACGGAAGCCACTCCAGTCTAACTGAAGGGGATGACGAACCTGTACAGAAATTAAATGTAGAACCCGATAGGAGACTCAGTTCTAGTAACCCTGACCTAACTACCGATGATCCCAGAGCAACATATAAGCGGGCACAAAGTGACAATCGTGGTATATCGAGTAATGAGGATAAACCATTGCAGCATAAGCCTGTCATGAGACATTTATCACTGCCACCTACAAGGCGGATCAGTACAGGGAGCAGTCAGACAGAGGGAAACAATGACCTTAAATTAGAATTTGAAGTGACTGATTTCTTCTTGTTTGGTTCTCCTTTAGCTTTGGTACTTGCATATAGGCGGATAAACAGCTGGGATGAGAAACACAGTAAGATAAAGCTGTTACAGCATGTGGGTGGGGTGGTAAACCAGGTGTGTTGCGTGTTAGGTGTGTTTTTTTTTGGATGTGTCTGATATGATGCACAGGGTAAACTGGTGTGTAAGATATGACTGTGAAGTTGATATTTTTGATGCAAATGAGAAAAGTTTTTAAATCTTGAAAATAATGTTAAGCTCATTTAGCTCAAAAGGTTGATAAAGTGCAGAATGTGAACTATAATAAAATATAAACTTGTCAAAAGCACATATAGAAAAATGAAAGTGAAAAACAGTTTATATCATCATTTCTGCATTATTCTATTCCAGTTCCTCCTCTGAAGCCTTCCTGTCTCCAGCTGTACAACCTTTTCCATTCATCAGATCCATCTGCAGCAAGGTTAGAGCCGCTGCTAGACGACAGATTTAGACAGGTGCCCCCTGTAAAGATATCTCGATATTCCAAATTTCCACTGGGTGATGGACAGTCTCTTCATGTTGGTGAGCATGGAAAAATCACTATCGTGTGATCACTAAGCATTGCTTTGAAGTTGTTTGCTAACTATAAGCCCTGATTTCAAACTTTTAGTAATATTTTTGCACGTTTTCCTAATTACAGGTTTCACCTTTGCTTTTTCATAAGGGGAAACAGTTTAAAGGAAAAAAAGGAGTAAAATTCAAACGGTGCTCCTTTTGACTCACAATTTTGTAGTGTTGTAATCACTAATGATGTCTGAGTGGTGAAGATATCTGCTGTCTTGCATAAATATAGTACTCTTGGTTAGAAATTCAATCTGGCTTACTAGCAATATAGTACTCTGGGTTAGAAGTACAATCTGCCTTGCTGGCAAGAGGCTAGTGCTTTTCAGTATAGCCACCTATTTCTTGCATCTTGGATGAAATCATTCTGTAAGTATAACCCAGTATTTGATAATTATTCATATATGGCAAGTAAAAAAAGTGAATTTCTAACTGTAAGTACTTGGTGCTTCACACATTTATACTGCATTCACTCTACTGTAGTGGAGACAGTGCAGACCCAGAGTTCAGTGTTTTTGGCACAAGAGGGCACTGTTAGCTCTCCAAGAGGAGCCCCCATGGACAGGCGTGAAAGCAACATAAGTATGGTCAGTCAGCTTTCTGGCCAGGCTGACCCGGTCATCTCTTCTATAGCGTCAGGTAAACTATACTGGTCTTTGTGGTGTAACACAAATACCACAAGGATCTACAAATCATGAAGCCTGTGACACTTGACACACTTAAACACTCTGATGCACCTAAAACAGTCACAATTATATTGATAGCACATTCAAAGTACAACACAAAATATGTATAGAGGCTTATAGTATTTTAGAATATGTAGAATCTGGTGGAGCTACTGCTGATTGCTTTGAATATGGAGTGCTTTGCTTTAACAGAACTGATCTCTTTTTGCGATGAAATGCTGTTGGTTATATCAAAATACTGTAACAAATCCTGCACAGAAATAATTTAATTGGTGTGTTAAAGTGTGATACCCAGATCCATAACAGAAACCATTGCTTGGTACAATAATTGTTATAAAACTAATATAACCTCATGAGTAAAGGTAAATTATACAGTGTCAATCAAGAGTCTTTAATTAAGATATAAACTCAAACTTTCCACTATCAGGTACTATAAATATGATTATATATATTACATTTTTCTCATATATTTCCAGTTGTGAGCAAGTGGTGGGGCAGCAAGCGTCTAGACTATGCTCTCTACTGTCCTGAAGCATTGAACAGTTTCCCTGTCAATGCTCTACCTCACTTATTCCACTCCAGCTACTGGGAGTCCACAGATGTTGTGGCTTTTATTCTTAGACAGGTACAGCTATAGCATAATACAGAATTATGTTACCTTGATGTAACTATCATATTAAATTACATTATATTGATTAACATTACATTACATTGATTCAGCTGGAATATATTGTGACATTCAACTTTCTGTTTAAACTGGGCCAGGCCCGTAGCCAGCAATTTCAAAGGGGGGGGGGTTCTTTTTTTGAAAAAGTGGACCTTTTACCATATAATCCCCATGTACCTAGGTCAAATTTTACCCANCCTTGAAATTGACCTTTGACCTACTTATAATCATGAACTGAACTCTGCAAATTTCTTTCTCTTTTAACTCCAAACCTGGCAGAGATAGGTCCATAGTTACTATTGAAGTTGAATAGGAAGTCATATACTGGAAATTTACTGTGACCTTGAAATTGACCTTTGACCTACCTTACAATGAACTTAACTTTGATTGTACCATTTTAAGTTATATATATTTTTTGCGTATTTTGAAAATTCTTGTTGATTGCATTCTACAGCTTGTCAAGCATAAGACAAGTGGCTGTGTCCCTTATTTTGCGTATGTGGGGGTCTATACGAATGCGCTTGCTCCAGCTGGTGGTACAATATTCGGAGGCGGTATCGCCTCTCTGATCCTCTAGTTATAATATTATTAAGTTTTACCTGAAAACAGTTATGAAGAGGTCATTTTAAGGGACATATGAATTCCATACTAAGTGATTTTAAGATTTTGTTGAGCTGGTTACATGTTTCTTTTAAATTTATTGATGATTGCTATTTTTTCCATTGCAGAATGTAGGTCCAAATCACCGTGGTAATGACACTATAGTTCAAGAAGATAGGCCTCAGGTTCTTGCTGCGAGGTTTATGTATGGACCCTTAGACATTGTACAATTGTCAAGGGAAAAAGTAAGATAAGAGTTCTTCTGTTTTTAAGATGATCCAGATAAATACTAAATTTAGGCAGTATATTGTCCTAATTGATAAATGTGTAGGCAGCTTCAGACTTTTTCAGAAATATAACTTTTTCTGTAAAGTGGATCAAATATAGTAGACCCCAGATAAGTTGGACACAGTGGCACCATAACAATTATTTGAGTTATGCAAAGATTTTAGTTTGTCTGATGATATTATTATTCTAATTTGGAAAANTTTTCTGTTTAAACTGGGCCAGGCCCGTAGCCAGCAATTTCAAAGGGGGGGGGGTTCTTTTTTTGAAAAAGTGGACCTTTTACCATATAATCCCCATGTACCTAGGTCAAATTTTACCCAGAGCAAAAAGGGGGGTTCTTTTGAACCCCCCGAACCCCCCCTGGCTACGGGCCTGCTAGCTCATAACAAATAATTGTGCAACTGATTTAATTTTGTCAAAGTTTTGAGCATAAGGAAATTCTTACCAACCTTTAAAGTTGCATTCATGCAGGAAATTTTTCCCTTAGATTGTGCGCCAAGATGACATGTATGCAGCGTCTGAGACAACAAAGGATGCTTCAATATTTAGACCTCCACAGCCTAGAGAGAAGTGGTTACACCGGAGAACTACTATCAAAGTCAGAGTAAGTTATTATTGATCATCTTTCAAGATTACAATTAAAATTGTAAATGGTTTTATGTGAGAGTTAAAATCTCGGTTTTACTTTAAATTTTTTGTACATATCTTGGTCATTGTGTTCTTAAGTATTTGTTTTGTGTAAAGTCACTCGAACAGTGTAAATGGATTTTAGACTTGAAATTAATTAATTGTTATTATTATAATATTATTAAGTTTTACCTGAAAACAGTTATGAAGAGGTCATTTTAAGGGACATATGAATTCCATACTAAGTGATTTTAAGATTTTGTTGAGCTGGTTACATGTTTCTTTTAAATTTATTGATGATTGCTATTTTTTCCATTGCAGAATGTAGGTCCAAATCACCGTGGTAATGACACTATAGTTCAAGAAGATAGGCCTCAGGTTCTTGCTGCGAGGTTTATGTATGGACCCTTAGACATTGTACAATTGTCAAGGGAAAAAGTAAGATAAGAGTTCTTCTGTTTTTAAGATGATCCAGATAAATACTAAATTTAGGCAGTATATTGTCCTTATTGATAAATGTGTAGGCAGCTTCAGACTTTTTCAGAAATATAACTTTTTCTGTAAAGTGGATCAAATATAGTAGACCCCAGATAAGTTGGACACAGTGGCACCATAACAATTATTTGAGTTATGCAAAGATTTTAGTTTGTCTATGTTGATATTATTATTCTAATTTGGAAAAAAAAAACATTTCATAAGATTTGTTGACAAATCAAATCAAAAGGGGACATATGATGGTGTAAGAAGTTGATAATAAATTCAACTGTATCTTAAGGTATTACTTTCTAATTTATTGTCTGTTTTATGTACAATATGAATATGTCTGTTAAGGTTGACATCCATGTGATGACACAGCCACCTTCAGGAGAGTGGCTGTACTTTGGCACTGAGATAACAGACAGCCATGGAAGAGTCTCATTTAAAATTCCTGAGGACAAACGTCTCAGCCAGGGAATGTATCCTGTTAAAATGGTAGTCAGGTATGTGATCTTCTTGCCTTCCTGTGTAGTAGGTGTGCCATGTCCCATCCTGTACATAATCACATCTACCACATCATACAGTGGCATGCCTGATGCATTCTCCTTCTATATATTAAGATGGATTCTCATCAAGTTCTATCGCACTCACAGAAACATATGACATTGTGAGTCTACTAGATGTGACATAACTGTTTCATCAAGTACAATGTCACTTCTAATAAACTCACCATGTTATACATGCCTGTAAGTTAGTTTGGCTCTATTCCCATAGATTTTAGATCGATCTATCCCCGCGGGGAGTCTCACTAGATTACTTTCAGATAATCAGACTTAAATGTCCGTCCCGCCTACTACAAGCTGTAAGGGTGTAATTAACTTTCGCGTCCGCCCGGCTGACAGCTATTTAGCGTGAACCCCCAGGGAGTTAGGTCGATCTAAAGTAGGTCTATCTAATCTATGGAAATGGGGTGTTTGATGTGACACTGTGCTTATTGAGACTTTTTTAAAGGCTGTATAAAGAATGCCTGAGATGTATTTCACCTCTTTGTGTATTTCTTCCCTTTTAGTTTTCATAATTAACTGGCTTAATTTTTTTTAGTCTCTCTTAAAAACCTCTTGGTCTGTTTAGAAACCTGTTAAAAATGGATGGGTTTGAAATTAACTTTTCTGTTATGTTTTATTTTGCTGAATTGCTTTCCTTTGCATGAAAAATTTTCATTATTTTAACTGTAATTCCAGAGGTGACCATACTTGTGCAGACTTCTACCTGGCAGTTCTCCCACCAAAGACAGAAGCTGTAGTATTCAGTATTGATGGCTCTTTTACAGCCAGTGTGTCAATCATGGGAAAAGACCCCAAAGTCAGGGCTGGAGCTGTAGATGTAGTCAGGTAATGTACACAGCACTTTGAAATGCACATTAACCCATAAAGGAAAATGTTTGAGAACTTGTTTTCTTGTTTGGAACTGATATAACTATTTAATCAACATTAAGACATATGAAAATTCCTTTATTATAATAGTTTAAGCTAATGCTTAAGGTACCTTCCCGATGAACAATTTACATTGAATACACTTGATTATAACTGTCTCTGCCATTCAACTTTATATCCACATCCAAAGCAATAACACCCAGGACCTTTCATATTTGTACTCGGTATTCCAGGCATTGGCAGGATCTAGGCTACTTGATAATCTATGTGTCAGCCAGGCCAGACATGCAGCAGAAGAGAGTGGTGTCATGGCTAGCACAGCACAACTTCCCCCATGGGATGGTCTCCTTCATGGATGGGCTTTCTGCTGACCCTCTCAGGCAGAAGACTCAGTATCTAAAAAATCTTGTCAGTGAGGTAGGGATTAGATTGGGAAGTATTCCTTGTTGGTTTTTCCCCATTGGTTTTGACTGTAGATTTCGACAGAACATTTCCAGTTATGTCATAACAGTGAGAAAAATTTTAATCAGAAGAAAAAATATTGCTAAAAATTATTTTGTGTAAAATCTATGTAGATGGACAATGGCAAGTCCAAGGATACAAACGGTATTTGTTTCAAACATGAACCTTAACTCCCTAAGCAGAGATATTCATACAGTAAGAATTTTATTTTATATGTTTTGATGTGTAGGCAGAGATCTCCATCCATGCAGCATATGGCTCCAGTAAAGACATTGCAGTTTATCAGGCAGTGGGCTGCAAGCCAGAACAGATATATATTGTTGGCAAAGTGGCAAAAAAGTATTACCAACAGGCCCAAGTATGTTGCCCCAATCACAAATATTTTATTCTGGCAGCCATCTCTGAGCTGCAAAAAAGTTGGGGGGAAAATGATGCTTGTTTATGATGTTGGCTTAGGCAGAACATTATTTGTTTAGTTTTTTTAAAAGAAAACATTTTCTCTTAACTATAATATGATAGTCAGTTCATAGCATCAATATTTAGAAAAATATATCAAATTATCCTCAACTTAACCATGGTATTTCAGATCCTGGCAGATGGTTATGCTGCACATCTCAGTGACCTGATCCTACACGGAGCTTCTCGCCCTGCAGTGGGTAATGCACGTATGTTTATTCGCAAGAGTTGCTTCATGTTGCCAGGCCAGATGAAGACATCAGGGAAGAAGCAGGCAGCTCGCAGGATGTCATCATTCCCCAACCAGCCAGCATTAGAGATTCCAGAGGACAGCACTATGCCGGCCATAGGGGTCAGTCAGTCTGGGAACACCGTGGTGGATGCAGGGCAGCTAGGGGTGGGTAAAGTTCGAGCCAGGGGAGCATCACCAAGGGGGAAGAATAGAGGTTTTGAGACTGGGGTCTAGGTTTAGAGGAGTTGCAGAAAGACCTAGCATCCTATGGGATTGGAATCTGACTGGTGATTAAGTTCAGCTGTTTAGTGGTTGAGATGGTTGAAAACTCTGAGGTTGGATTGTTTGACTTCCTTTTGGGATAAAACCAAATTTTCCTACCCACACTTTCAGGGAGAAAACTCTGACCTTATGAATGTGGGTTAAGGTCATCTCCTGGAACGAAAGGAACACAACATTGATAAAAGTTTAACTATGGTTGTGAGATGCAGGAATTATAGACAGCCATTTTGATGGATTGACAAGTTGATTACAGACACAATGATTTTAGGAAAGAGACTATTTATAAGAATTGTACATGGAAAATCAGCAAATATGTTTGTTTGTAGCCCAAACCAAGTGATGAGCCAAGAAGTTTTACATGGAGTTTTACATAAAGCTTTTAGTAAATCATGCTTCATTCAGGAACTGAGAAACATACTCTCACATTAAAAAAAGTTCTGGACTCGGTGTTATGTTGTTACAGAGTATATTTTCGATGGTTGTTTCGTCACTAATTTGTTTTGTCTGTTCAATAATGAAAATGTGTAAAGAAGTGAATAATGATATTCTTTTTATGTAATATTGATTTCATTGCATAGTTTGAGTTGTTATTAGTAACTTGTTCAGTACAATCAATAAGGATCTTTCAAAAATACTTGCAGTGTAAACACTAATTTATGCTAAAAGCAAATTCTTTTTGTTAAATTAAGGATGTGAAAAAAAAGTGAGAGATATGAAAGGGGTCTGTACTAAAAGGTCAAGATTGATATAAGTTACATTTATAAATTTTGCCATGAATTTAGTACTTAATTCTTAGCATTGGTAATAGTATAGTTATAAAAACATGGCGATTAAATGCGATCCATGGGGGATGCACTGTTTATGGACAGGCACTTTTGGCTGTTTTTTAGCCATCCCTTATGTCTGTCACATCATTCTGTGCACTTTTTGATCACCCCATTTTTAATGATCTTTCATGGTAGAACACTAGTCCAATTAGTTTATTGATTAAGATATTTTTTTATTTAAATAGTCTTAACCTTCTATACTTCTATTCTTATCAAGGTTTTATGATCTTCATCAAATTTACATGTCAGTTAGTTGAAGTACTGTACATTTGGCAGATTTTGCTGCTTGATCTTTAATATGTGCACATTGTAATTAGTTATGAAAATAATAGGACTTTTTATATTTTAATTGAGGATTTTGGTCAGTATTGCTCTGGTGGAAGTTACTTTTGATCCATCTTTTAGTCTGTCTCTCAGTTGTGCTAACAATCATGACTTGAAAGAGTGGAATGTTTTCTTTTAAAACAATAGATAATAAAGAATTTTTACATATTCTGAGTTATGTGAATTAAAAATGTTCATATAAATTACAATATTATTTTTAGCTCCAATTATTATATTTCATTTTGTTAATGATTAGCATCATGGCTACAATTTCAGGCAACTGTTCATATAATATTGGGTATTTTTTTCCAAAAAGTATGTATGTTTATCTAATGAATATCATATATATATATATATATATAAATGCTTCAATTTTCTATGTATCCAGTTTATATATGATTGTTAACTCTATCTTTCTCCAAGTTGGCAGTTTTTTCTTTGACAATGTCAAAGAAATTGGAAAAATTAATATATCATTTGAAAAAATAGTTATTAACTGTTTGTGTGCTATGAAATCCCCCTCCCTTATTTCTGTTTACTCTTCCACTTAAGACTGTACCAAAAATAAAGTATTGTATTGATAAGGTATTATTTTTGTAGTTTTATGTTATTGTACATGTTGCTTGAATGTACATTGTTTGACTATTTAAAAGTTCAGAGTATATGTACATACATGGATATGTAATAATTTCACCTTTTAAATTAACCATGACTAGGTTTAATCACCAGATGAGAAAAGCATTAATTTACATCATAAACAGTTGTTAAAGTGATATATGTATGAATGTGATAGGTGTAAAATTGGTGCTGTACAGTGTTCATTATGCTCAGTAGAAATCCCATTTTGCAGGTGAAGCTCATGCTTTGTACCAGTTTGACGATCACTCATGTATCACAATGTCAAGTTTTCAGAATCACTGTTGAAAGTGTTTTTTGCAATATTTAACACGAATAAATGTCTCATCAGATGAGGAATATAGCTGTGTTTGTTATGAATAACTAAACTGGCAAAATGCTGCTATAAAATGAAATAACGTGTGATGTCCAAGTTAAAAATGCTGCATAGATGAAGGTCCAAATTTTCACTCCTCATAATATTCAACCGTTACAATTGTACCCGTAAAACGCAGCAATGAATGCGAAATATCCAAATATACTCATAGCACATGAAGCACTGTTTAAAAAACTGTGGAAATGAGGGGGCTAATTTGAAATACGTAAACCAGTAGGACACATACTGGTAAACGAAATAGAATTTGGTCTCGTTTTCAAATTAGAATGACGTCACAATGTGGCCATGTTTGATGCGACGATTAGACCGTGCGCACGTTTGTAATATTTATTGTTTCTTTCGTTTGAACGTGAAACACGGTTTTTCGTCTACTGTGCTATTCTCTAAACCGAATATACACTCTATATTCTCATTTAAGGTGAGGAATTAAAAGCTTCAACAATGTTAACTTTAGTTAGATCGTCCAAAGTAATCGAGTGTTTTGTGTTTGGGCAGCCGTAGCAGACGAATTTACGATGTCTCAGCCTTGGGTCCGTTATTGTTATGATATCTTGATAAGAAAAAAAGCGTCGGTCAAATTAAAGAGATTAATTAAATGCTTAACTGCAAAAATAGCAGGTACCGTAAGACAATGTGTCTTTTGCAGAGTTCTCATTATGCTGAAAGCTACAGGAAAGCGCGTCACGGAGGAGGAAGATGATTTCTGTGAGGAAAGTTTGCAGGAGATGGAGCTGGCACGACTGCAGAGACAACTGCGGATTATGGAAGGAGATCGCAAGGCATATCAAGAAAAATCAGTATTCATTATCAAAAAGCAAAAGTAAATAAGAATTTTTGTTTCATACACCACTAAAAATTAAGTTCATTATTTCTGTAGTTTTTACGTGTAAGCTCAATGTAAATCCTGACGTGATGTTCCATTAGTTGGAACAAACTCATTCTTTTCTTTGTTACAATCATTATTTATCGTTTTACAGATGGAATGACTTAAAGACAAAACCATCCATTTTCTGAAAATTGGAGCTTGTTAAATATCCTTCCCAAAAAACTGAACATAATGTGCAGATACTGGGGCATACATGAAGGGCCACTGTTTGTCCTCTTTCTTGTATTAATTACATGCTTCTTCAGTAATTAAAAGTGTTGGTAACAGCACTAACATTTGATTTCTATTAAACAGTGCAGAAATCAATGCCCTCACCAAAGAAAATGAAGAGATCAATAAGGATCTGATGCAGGCTTTGAGTGATAAGAAATGTGCACAAGATATGTACAACACTGAACAGCTACAACTTCTCATTCAGAGCACTGATGATTACAAAGCACTTGTTGATGGTGAAAAATTAAAGATAGCTCAAATGGACGCACAGGTCAGGTTTGCAGGTTTTTCATTTTTATTGTATTTGCTTTATTATTATTATTATTATTATTATTATTATTATTATTATTATTATTATTATTTCTTTTCATTTTATTTGTAAGTGGGCACTGCCACTGCTAAATTTCATTAACTTATTTTACAGTTATAATAAATTAGTAAAATCACTAAGTTATTTCTGTTGTGCCAAAATACTTTGATATTCATGTGAGAAAAAATGCCTTTCATGTAATTTCCATTAGATACTCCAATCATAGGATATCTTCATCATCATCATCATCATCATCATCATCATCAAAGGAAATGTAAAAAAATTATTTCACGTAAATAAATGCATTTATATGTTTACAACTGTACATGTTCGATTTAAAATAATTTCCCTTGAAAAACTCTTGTGAATGTCTGATAATTTTTGAGTCACTGGGGATGTCTATCAAACACTTTGTATTTAGAGACACAAGTAAGAAACAAGCAAGAGGTAGGCATATCATGGGTTTTTTTTTCACAGCCAACAATTTATATCTGAGGAAAAAAAAATGACTGTGCCATTTTTAATGCGAAAGTTTTAACTTGATTCATCCAATAAAAACACTACATGTAGTTCAGTGCATATTTATCTTTTGCTTTGTTTTCCTTTCTTACAGATTTAAATCTTATCCGTTCTTCTCTCTACTGCATGATATATTCAAAGAAATAATATGACTACTAATACTGAGATTTTTTTCTGTTAGATTCGTGCAATGGAAGAAAAGATCTGTCACCAGAGAATGACTATGGGTGGATTGTACAACAGCGCCACCAAGGCCAATGCGACAAGCAAAAGACTGAGAGTATTGGAAAACAGACTTGACAAGGCTGGTTTAATTTAACCTTTATTTTGTGGCTTTTCCCTATAATTTGTTCAAAAAGATATATTTTAGTCAACATGATATTTTTCTTTTTTTTTTTTTTTTTTGACGTAGAACTTTAATATACTTTTCTTTCGGTTGCAAAGAAGATTGTATTGTTATTGAATCAAGTTACCACATTTAACACTTTTAATTGTTGCGTTGTAAAAAAGCAGGAAAAAAATCACTCATATTGTAAGCTCTTGACCAATATACTGGTATGTCAATTAATTTTTGTCAAAATGTCTGACCTTAGATATATGCACTGAATAAGTGTGTCTGGTGTGTATCATCATTGTTTAAGTGGAGTAATTATAATAATTATGGTTTAAGAGAAATGATCTTTTCTTGACCTTTTAGCTCAGATCAAAGTGTACACGTAGTATCCAAGGATATTTAAGACATAAAAAAGATCCTTTCAATTGTTCATTTTTTCAATTTAGGCCATGGTGAATCTAAACAAGCAGCTTGCTACAAATGCCAAACTGCGTGAAGAAATAGACCACTTGAGGCAAGAGAGAGCCGTGTTTGATAATTTACACAAGAAGTTGTCTGCAGAACTGCAGCAGTCCAAAGATAAAGTAATGGAGATAATAGCAGAAGCAACTGCTGCTTATGATAGCAGGTAGTTTGGAAATTTTGTGATGTTATATGTACATAAAAATGTCAATCAGTGTGTGGTCAGCATGGTATTTGCATTATGAACATTGGTAATGCTGTCACCCTGTCCAGGTAGATTCAGCTCTGACTGCACTTGTATTCTGGTACACCTGACACAAAAACACATGCTAGTACATACAAAATACTCAATACGACAATAGACCAATTAACAAATATGGGTATAAAATATGTTACCTTTTAAGGTAAAATAAACACATTGACTCTTTATGCAGAGATGATGCTGTTGTTTCATTGAACAATACCACACCTGAGAATTTGAAAGTTTTTTTGTGCAATTATTGCAGAGATGATGCTAACAATAAGATGCTGAGTCTCCAGGAGCGCACAGAGAGAGATGAGGCTCACTACCATGTGGAGATGAAGGACTTGCAGAGAATGATCAAGAATGATGAGAGTCTGAGGGAGTTCATGACAATTAAGGACCACGACAGGATGGAGTACAAACTGATGGAAATGGCTAAGAAAAAGAAGATGGGTAAGGGAGTAAGGTCAAATGGTGAAGAGTTTTAGAATGATTGCAAAAAAAAAAATCTGAGTAAAAGATATGAAACCAATTAATATATCAATATCTACAAATATGTGACATATGTTTAAGATTAGTATATATGTAGAATTCTTTTTTTGTTTTTTTTTACCCATTTCATGATTTACTGGTAGTTATGTATTTCTTGTTGATCTTTATTCTTGTTCTTTTTTCGTAATCACTTTAATATTGCTTCTGTTAACTTACTATTTATGCACAGACATTATAAATGTCTGCATATATTCAGAACATGTCTGTTTCTTTTTAATGCAGGACTTGTGCTTTATAAAAACATGTTTTAATACAGAAGTTTTCAGAGATGTTTTCTTTAGCCTTGTTGTTTATGTGAAAATTGCTGAAATTGTTGAAGAAAATTTCTCTTTTGTCTATATAAGCAAGAATGTTTACGATCTGTTTCTTCAATAATTTTGGTCAATGTCTGTTCATGTACCAGCTTTGCTGTCTTGTTTACCTTTTTTGTTCTTTTGCTTGGTCATCCATATTATTCCTCAGCAGCCTATATATAAAATATATAACATTTTTTCGTCACAAGTTCAAAATAAAGTAATGTCTCTTTCAAATTTTTTCAGCTTTATGCAATATGTCACAAATTTAATTGAGTTAACCAACAAAATTCAACAGTCAAGACTTAGTATAGTATTTGTTATAGGTTGCTGAGGATGATATTTTTTAGTTCAATGTATTATTATAATTATTTATAGCTTGTGATGTGTTTGTGAGTGATGTGTTGGGAGTTATGCAGCAGGCACAGAAAACCTCCACACAAATCCTAAACAAATTTAAGGAATGGGAAAACACTGTGAGCAAAGGTGAACATAATGATAACTTATACTGGACACATGCATTGAATTCATCCTGTGCGATTGTATATGAGTAAAAGCTGTTTGTAGGAGATTCAGGGAGTGTTTTTCAGGGTGAATTACATGTATGTACCACAACTTCAAAGTTCAGTGCTGACAGTCTTGTTAAGTAGCACTGCTTTTGTCACTTGGACTCATTTTTTTAAATAGAATTATTATGGAAACAGGATTTTATTTGGGCTAGCCATGCAAACTTTTCAGTATCATTTGGGATGGGCCATTTTAGTGCATTTTGTGTGGGAAATATAAATCCCAAAAAGTTGGTTAATGGCACAATGACATGAATGACTGTCACAGGTATGAGGCAGTCTCCAGTTGACAAGATTGTCTGCAAGAATCTGAAAAACCAGATGGTGCTATTATGCAGGCTCCTAATATGATGTTAAATTTTAGTTGTTATTAATTCATTTTTTAAAATTCATTTTCTTTCTTTAGTTGTTTTTTTTCCTTTTCCCTTTTATTTCTGACGTATAATATTATCCCTATATTAATTTTAACAATAATTTTAATACCCAGATTACCAGCACATTTGCCTCAATGACTTTTAACTCTGTTTGCTAGGATTGGATGCTGATAAGGCCATTGCTCAGAATCAAGAAAAGATCAAAACCTACGAGGAAGCCTTTGAACGCATCAAAACTGCCACAGGAGAGCAGGACATAGATGTGATAGTGAAACAGTTCATTGAGAAAGAGGGTGAGAACTTCGCACTGTTTAACTATGCCAATGAGGTGAACCATGAAGTTGAGTTGCTGAATGAAGAGATCAGTGCCATCAAGGAGGACATCAATAGGTTCAAGAGTGAGGAGGCCACTGTGGATAACAGCAGAGAGAAGATGCTTAAAGAACTGCAGGTCAGTGTAAGAGGCACAGGTTGTGAACTTTGATATGCAATAAACTATTTATTACATAATTATTTATTTTCTCTTTCAATTTATCGTGTGTATTTTTATTTACTTAACTTTTATCATTTTATAAAAATAGAAAATTTATGAATGGGTTTCTTATTAAAAATCTTGGGCCCGTGCATCATGTATAATGAGTGCAAGTGTAATTTTGTTGTTATTTATTATTATTTATTTTAAAAAAATTCAGATTAGCATCCAGAAAGCCACAGCTCAAACGGAGAAATCTCAGCAAAGGCTGAAGGAGGTGAACAAGTCCATGGAGAATTTGCGTCAGCAGATAGGTGCCATGTTCAGCAGTACTGGCTGTGATGACAAGCCAATACGGGAGATGCTGGGGGCTGGTGTGGGCATCACAGACAGCAATGTGATGATGTACCTGGGGCTGATTGAGCAGAGGACCAACGAAGTGCTGGCTGTGAAGGAATATTTGGAGATGAAGGTAGGTATAATTATGGGCTGATATTGAGGAGGGCAGTGAATGGAATCCTTTTCAGAACACTTTTCTTATTAATGTATAAAACAATTTAACATTAAGTTGGCCTATGTTCTGTTCTCTCTTCATGCATTTTATCGATATTATTGTTGCAAGCAGTGAGACGATGAACTCATTCTTGTTTGAAAGTGGTATAGAAGAATTTTAATTGCAGGCTTGTGCAACCTCATTTTTTTTACAAAGAAAAAAAAATGAAACCATATAGTATTAAAGATATTTGACAAAACTGAACTATATTTCATTGGCCTGTATCTTATTTTCCAGGAGCAAGGCATCATTCCACCACCTAGTGCTGCTGCCCAAGCTGCTCCTGTAGCTGTACCTAAACCTACCAAACCCAGCCTGTCTAATGTGGTTCTTCCTCGGTAAGTTACCACATTGAATAAGGGTTGAAAGCTGGAAACTGGAGTTGCAAAAGAAATTTTTTATCAGTGGTTTTATTCTCTTTGCATTGTAAGGGAAGATTAGTAGTGAAACAACAGACATGTCAACTAGTTTTTGCCTCCTAGAATGCAAAACTTTTAATTTGTTAAAAAGTAATGTCAGAAAAAAATGTGATTCGCACTTTTATTCTTTGCAGTGGAGACAGTGACACAGAAGAGGAAGAGGAAGATGTGAGGCCACTCAACCCTGACGAGATCAGAGCTCGTGTCCTGAAAGCTATGGATAAGAGGATGGCAGAGGCAGCCAGCTTGGAAGTGGAGCAGCCCAGAACCGGATCTAAAACTCCCACTAAAACTGGGACGAAGAAGAGAGTTTGACCCAACAATTTCTCTCTGACATATATTGTATATTATACTGTTGTAGTATTTATTGATAGTGTAAATTAATTTATTCTGGAGATATTGTTGTTACTGCAGCTTGCAATTGCAAACAAACTGTTTTTCCATAATTCACAGTGAAGGCGTGTATATTATATGAAGAAAATACTACGTTTTAACAGACAGATATCAAATGAAATTTTGCGTTGATATTTTCAGACAGTGTTTATGCGCGTTATGCCACCCAAGACGAATAAAAGGACTTTTTTCAACATGTCTAAAAGACAAATGCATTTAAGGCAAATTTGCACTCTGGTGTAACATATCTTTTGATTTACTGCATTTCAGTAGTTGCAACATCTTTATGGAGTTAAGTGGTGCTTTTGAATAAAGACTCTTCTTTCAAGTTTTAGGTTGTTATTTATTATTAACTGCTGTCAACTTTTCTTTTGAACATGACGTGAGCAAATTTCAAACGGTGACCTAAAATCCCTGAATTATGACAGATAAGGTGTGCCTCAGCAGGATTTAATGTGAGAACTAAACCAAGTGTTATTCTGCAGATAAAAACAAAGTGGATGTGCACCACATTACATCTCGTCACTGCACTACCAACATGCCGAAGACGCTATTCCTTTTGATTATCTGTATGGCTGTGGCGGTACAGGTAGGTTTAATTGTAATGATAATTGTAATATGTGATAATAGTCATAATACAAAAGTGTTTAGTGCGATGTGGATTCCACCGGTTAATGACATAAAATCGAAAAACCATACAAAGTCGCTTGCTATTGACTGCGATATTGACTAAATTATTTGATTTCATTGTAACGTTTGGTCATCATACAGAAAATTATCTGTGCGGCGTTGTATATATAAGGCCGTCACCAGAGACTTTCAGTGCTGTTGGTCTTTGAAATTTCTGTTGCACTTGTCCCAATGCCCATCCTGCTTCTCCCATTTCTTTCTCTTTGGACTGTCCCAGTCTTCTTGAGTCCAGACTTATGAACATTAATACTTGTTTTTCACAATCGAAGGCCACAAAATGAATTCGCTTTTAGAGCCTAATACTATAGAACCTAACATTTTTCAGAATCGAAGAAGTTATTGGTGCAAAATTAATTTTAATTTCACAAAGCGTCATCCTATGTAGTTAGGAAGAGGAGCATTTTGGTTTTTGAAAGAGGCACGGGAAAAACAATTGTTAAGTTTGTTAACATTTTCCAGAGCATTCCTGCTCCCGGCCATGGCGGCGTGTGTAACAACGCCTCACACTGCAATGACGACGAGTGCTGCGTATCTCTGCTGCAACCCATAGGGAGGAAGAGGTCGTTAAGTCAACTCGGAATGTGCTCGAAACTGGGCACAAGCGGATCTTGTAAGTACTATTTTTATTACCGATTTATGCATTCGATTATTCCCATATTTGTTTAGGATACTCTCTAATCGATGGGTATTTGATTACGTACAGTGTATCATACATTTTCATTACTTTCAAAATCAATCTAACGATGCACTCAACTTCAGGGTTTGAATAAGAGAAAGGAAACCTTTGCAAATAAGATTTTAGAAGACTCGAAATTTTAAAAATGTTTTCTTTTCAAAGTGAAGAATTTTTAAGATAAAGACTTTCAGAGATAAAAAAATTGTTTCCACAGGGTGTGACCCGTCTTCTCTGTCTGGCCAGCCACAGGCGATGGTTTTGGAGTGTCCCTGTGCTCCGGGGTTCAAGTGTATTCCTCAGGGTTGGTCTGGGGGCATTGTTGTACCGGTATTGCATGAGCCAGGTAATACCACTGGGCGTCTAACCCTAGGGAAAGTTCTCCCTCGTTATCACCCTTATTTTTATTCCCTTGTTTTTTAAAGATCGTGTAAGACCAACAGCGGCCTTTTATTTCAATTGTTAGTATAAATTTTCACTATTGAAAAAAGAACGTCAAATCTGTGTGACTCCCATGTGTCACAACAAGGGTTCATGTTTATAATAATAATAATAATAATAATAATAATAATAATAATAATTTCAGACTTGTTTGTGGCTTACCTGAATTATTTTTTCTTTCAGGTCGATGTACCAGTAGTGGTGGTAATTAATATAGAAAAAATTCATTTCGTCTAGGTGGCAATTTTGCAAAAGTAATACTTCGACAGTTTTATTCCAGACAATATCTAAGGAAAAAAAAACGATTGCAAAATTTGGTCACAACGAAAGAGCTGAAAAAGCATTAAAATGTATAAAAAAGAACTGTTCATTACCTTAGTATGCCTTCGTGTTACTCATGCAATTTAAATGAAACTAAGTTCTACAGCTGTAGTATAAAATAACTAACGAGAATTTAAAAACAAGGCACTTTATGCTAAAACGTTGATAAGATAGTGAAAATAAGGATTTATGAAGTGAAAAATAAATATCACCCAGATCCTCGTCTTCTCATTGCAGTTTGAAGTGAAACGATAAGCAAAACGGTGAAATTACCTCATATTTCGGTTATCATGGATGAGAGTCCGAGCTAAGAGGAAAGATTTGATTCATCTTGTGTCTGTTGAGACTAAGAACACATTACACTTCTGTTGTCTTCGCTACAGCAACGCATTATATTACTAGCGTTTTCAACTGCGAGCACATCCACTGTCGCATATCATGTAATTACTGGTATATTAGTAATAGAAGTTGGAGGAATCATAAATTATGCAAAGGTGATAAGTACTAAGTCAGTGCCACTTGTTTGCTATCGCACTGTATGCATCCAACGACAAGGTTTTTTTCATTTATCCCAAGGCTCCGTCGTGTTTGCGTTAACTTAAAAAGTATCCGGGAATTCACAAAGTTTTGCTTTGAAAAAAAAAAGACAGAAAGAAAGAAACCCTTTCAATTCAGCAGTGTTCATGAAATGTAAGTCACACCAAAGAAATGTTTAATTGAAAAGACACTGCTTAGAATACTTGATTCGCCCATAACGTACCTTAGGTAACGGAAATATTGAGGCAGGTGCAAGATATACCAGAGGTGAACACGCAACCCTAGTTTTGGACTCGGGCTCGTTTTGTAACGAGTCGCAATCCAAGCGTGCAGTGTGGGGCCCTGGTTTGTGAGAGGGGCTTATCATTTACGGGTCAAGCGTTACGGAGAGAGCGAGTGCAAAAATCTTTTGCAAACTTATTTAAGCAACTTTGTACTTTTCCCGTAATGTAAACAGCATTTTTTTCTTTTGTGATGAGCTGGGCCATTCAGCTAGCTGTAAGGGTTCAGTTAAAGATGGCATTGATAAAATAGGACCATAATTTGACTGCCCAGAGTCGTGCCAGGAATATATTAACTATATCGTCCTAAACTCGTTTTAGAAAGCATGTTCAAGCATCCGTCCGTCACCATCTTCAACGTACCCTTAGGGACTCTCCCTTCCCCTCCTTTTTTTCTTAGTTGTGCTTGTAGTCGGCACTCGAGAGCTTCAGATTCTCGTTCGTAAAATCCATATACATATAACTTTCAGTTTCATTTCACGCTGTGTATATACCCTGTGAAACTGTTATGGCGCACACGCTGTTGAGCTTGGGCTCTGAAGTTCATTTATGATAATGTTCAAGCGACATGATACTTGTTAGTCTCGTACTTACGTAAGGGCGTTGTTACAGTTAACAAAACTACCGCTTCTACGGCGCGTCGACCTGCCCCTTGTGACATACTGAAATCTGGCTGTCGCCCCAAAACATCAATTACCATTAGATCACTAAGAAAAACTTTCACATCCCACTGACCAGAACCAAGACGAATTGCGTTCAAAAAGACATTGAGGGCAGTTTGATCAGATTATTGTGTCGCTTATCAACAACCGAAGTTTGTTTTATCCTGCGACCTTATGCGGATCATTATGATCAGACAAAATATTTTTCACACTAATCAAATAGAAATCGGTTTGTGATTTTATAGTATACCGGATGCTTTGTCCAAGTCTATTGCCTATATAGGCCTACCAAATAGGCTACGGGTGCAGGTGTCTATATTTAGATTGGAAACTTTTTAATGGGTAATCTTTATTTTAGATAGCACGAAAACCTCAATGATCACTCGATCTTCACGTGCGCTCGTGTCTGCAGTAAGGTTTAAAGTACAAGCAAAAGGTGCACGCTCGAAAAGCATGTTAAACTGGCTCCACCGAAAAACATTTACGTCACTTTCAAGGTTGATGGAAACAAAGAATACACTTAACAGCATCAGCTATTGTGAGCAAACATACACTTGCAGTTTATAGATAACAATTTATTGTAATCAAATTTATGTACATAAAAACGAAAATAGTATGATAAACCGCGTACAAGGTGAAACGTTAAAATATCTCCAAACCGCCAACAAGGCATACAGTACACATAAACTCATATGAAGCACCAGTATGCATATAACAACATTTTCTCATTAACGGAATGTGCCGAAAAGCTATATATAGAAATATTGATCTCATACTGAAGCTCGACTAGAGCAGTACACTGAAAGGAAGCGGTATGCGGTTACATTCATTATGATAAAAAGGCCGTTACTCCTTTAAACAAAATTCTTTCCCGGAAAGTACGGTAAATTGAACTTTTCCGCATTAATCTCATCACTCTTCAAATATACTGAAAACTGTCTATTGATCACCGGCTTTTTAAGCTGCTGCTGAAGTTAAAATGCTTTTAAATTAAGATTCGCGGAGTTTTAATACTGATAGAAGGTGCGGTGTTCCGCTGATACATATTTGAAGCTCAGCGTGTGTTAACACCTGCAGAGGGCACGTAGTACCTACAACTCGAGTACGCCACACGTGGTTACTCTCTGGACACCAAGTTACACGCGCCGACGCTCGGAAGATCAACTCCCTCCACCTTTAACGTTGTCGCTTCTCTGTTACCCTTCTTCTTCACAACATGAGCAACACCGGTGACGTAAACATTCGTCTGGCTCCAGCTGCCAAAATCTATGGTGCACCAGGCAGTCACCTGGACCCTCTTCTCAGTGGTGCCTCCAGATGTCGCGGTGAACGTTTCCAACTGTGCTGGATCAACTCGGTTGACGAAGGCGTGGCCGATAACACATTCGCGCTTGTCCTGTACCAGGAACTGGTCACCGGGAACAACTGCCTGCAGGCTGAACGCGTAGCCCTCTGGGCGGCTGTCAGACCAGAAGAAGTGGGTATTGGTGTTGCAGGTCTCTCCCTTGAACGTAATCCGCTTCCCGTAGCCCATCCCTATGCTCACTAAGGGCAGCGCTTGGCCGTTGAACAGCGGACGCTTTGAACCGTTCGGGCGCACCAAGTAGGTGAAGCCGGGAAGTATGCGCGGATCGATATAGAAGCCTGAAATGGAAAACAATCTATAAGCTTGTCTATTCAACTGAGTGAGATCCGCTGGTTAATCGGATCATTTGAACAGTCTATCGATAAGCTGTATTGAAAAGCACTCATGATTTTAGATATTTTATGTATTAGTCATAAAAAAGTTACCGCTCTGAAGTGGTAAATCTAAACACACACCATAGACAGAAAGGAAGAAAATGGGAAGTATTCCTTACATATTTAATGTGCCATGAATAAAAGAATTCACAGGCTTTTTTATGATAATTTCACTCTAAGATATACAGAACCCTCCAACATACTGTTAGCATGTAACTTAGGTTACTGCGATTCAGTTGTAAAATAAAACAATCAGCAATGACGAACTGCGCTCCTCACCGAGTCCTTATCTCATTTTCACTCGTCTGCAATCAAATAAGCATGTAAGCATAGCAAAAAAGCATCAAGTTATACAATTAGTTTTAAATGGGAACTTCGTTTTCAATTACCTTGTTTGGTTTCACTCTGAGAAATTTACAATGTGTATATAACGTAATTCTAAGAAAAATATCTAGAAAAAACTGGCCAAAAAAGTAAGATGACTAAACTTAAGACGTGTCTTCTCATTCACATAACGCATAAAGGCGACGTTATTTTCGTTTATAGGTTCTTTGTTACCTTTAGAATAATTTTCTTAAACAGACTATAACAACACAGAACTGACTATTACCTATGACAGGCATCTCGTGTGGCTGGATTCCTTTAACAGAATACCGAGTACCGGTGACGGGGTCAAAAACAGCAATGTCTATTTCTGTTTTCTCCGCCGTTTCTTCGAAATCGGCAATCTGCTGGGTTTGTGCGCAAGAAGTAGAAACATTCAATTCGCAGAAGTCAACCGAAGCTTTCTTCTGGTCCTCCCACCAGGTACGGAAAAAATCGTTTTGTTTTCTCCTCCGTTCCCGTCTCAGGGCATTGGTGTCAACGCCCCCATCTGTATGACGGGTTGTGTATTGTCCAACCGCTAAGTCGAGAACGCCGTTATCCCGCGAGTCTCTCCATTCCACGTGCTCGCCATCTAAGTGGTGCAGGAACGGGTGTTGTCTGTTGTCCGTGTCTCCTGTCATCGTTTGCGCTTCTTTGGATGGTTGTGAGACGAGCAGTTGGTCCACGCATTTCAGATCTGTAAGGTCAACAAAACTCCCAGGACAAGAAACAAACCCGGGGCTCACAGAACTTGAGGTGGCCATGTATGTTTTTTTCTCTGTTGCTAGTTTAGAAAAATATTCAGAAAGCACCAGTTCAATTAAATGAATCTTATTCACGCTGCTTGGAATTGGTTAGTTATCTTGTTGTTTTTGCTGCAGAGGATGATGAAAATACGGTTATAAATGCTTGTTTACGAAATATCTGGCTCTATAACGTATTTTGGATCCTCTTTCTGGTATCGTCAAAAGGGTAATGAAATTGCTTGTGGGAATATTGTAGCATTAAGTCCACGCGTAATGAATTTTTCAGGAATATGATTGGTCATCCTGATGTCTATGATTCTGATTGGTTTCCTTTAAGCATCATTCCTAGACTGCGTGTTGTTCACGTGAAAAGCTACGTTATTTTGCTATGAATAATTTGATTTCAAATACTTTTTAAAGCCTTCATGTATTGGATCTTAACGATATAGATGACTTCTTAAATTAAGTTAAATAACAAAGACAGGACATTTGGTGGTTAGTTTGAGCCATACAAAATTAGCACGTGCTTATGTTTACTGGTTGATTAATGTACTGCGCCCCTTCTTTCAGCGTAAAGCAAAATATCACTTTTCTTATTCTTTCTCCCTTATAAGAAAAATTATGAAGATATCACTGATCAACAATGATATAAATTGTACCACCAGTATGTGTTGGTTTTTGTAGGAATCATATTAGAAAAAAGTAACTGATACAAAGCTGATGAAGATAGTTGGCTGATGTGCAATTGATGGAAGAGCGTCTGCTAATATGACCTATTTACCTACATCACGGAGCTGGTTGTATATATATCCTAGCTGTCACAGTGCGTGGAGATTGTAACGTCCGTCTCTGAATCCAGGGTTACGACGTCCGACAGCCTGAGTAAGATAATCGGTCTTCAAGGTAAGTTAAATGCGTGAAATTGTGCGATCAGAAAACCCCATACGAGATAATTTCCATTCATTTGTGCATCTGTTTATATGAGGCGAAAGCGATACGCACGTGGCTGGCTGGTTAACGTAGCATTACCTATACAGTTATATAGTTCAAATAAGGCCCGCGATTATGCTTACTTACAATATAATAACCTTATTGTTTGGAATTTTTGTACTATCTTTAAGAGTTTGCTCTGAGTAGTGCTTACAAATGAGGAAACGCCATGAGCATTTGAGGTAAAGTTAATGGTCAACTCAAGTTCAATCAACAGTGAATCAATCGTATATATTTAACTGTACATCTACACAGCCTGCCTTTCTTGGTCGGGGTACTTGGTCGATGACGTTGTTAATGTAATAATGGGAAACAGTTACACGGCAGATGTCATACGGGTTTACCGGTTGCTAGTCCAACAGGCTGAGATGCGAGAGCAAAGCTTTGAAAGCATATAACAAATAGAGAAAGGAAAAGAAAGTTTGGCCTCTCCCCTTTGACATTGCTTTGACATTGCTTTGTAATACATAACTTGGGGCAGGAAATAAAAACAGTTAAAAGGCCTACTGCAGTAACTGTAGTAGCACGGGCACAGATACTGTCCATGTACCTTTAAATTTTATTGAATGATATCCATTATGGACAGATAAGTTAAATATCTGTTTGGGTAGAAAAGCATAATGTGTATGTTTCGTTTGTATTTTAAGGTCAGTATTGTCATTGTTTCTATTACCTTTAGGCTTTACATCTCAGGTGTAAATAATGTACTGTACTACTAGTATGTTAGGGGCAGGCCAAAGCATTGATAGCCAAATGATTGCTTTGAGCTATATAAATACATGTACTTTATTCTTTGTTAGCAGAAATGGTGTAGTTGGAGAGGCACAGTGGCTAATAGTCCATGTCTGACAACATGTTTTGGCAAGGCTCTTTAGACCCCTCTCTAAAATTTTGGGTCCATCATATGGAATGTGCCCTTGTTTAAGAGTACATTTTCATTCTTAAGGAAGTCATTGCCCATCATGTTGTGATTGGGAATAATTGGTTTTCATACCCATTAGGATACATATAGTGCTTGCTATTTTAGAAGGGTTGGGAATTTATGTTTTTGATATTGTTGTGGTCTGTCATATGCCTTGTAAAAAGAGTTAATTCTTAAGGGGTGATGTATAGTTGGGTTGTTATCAAAAATGATTACATAAAAAGACTTAACTGTTTTAATCGTGCTGTTAAAGTTATCATTTATCCTCTTTAAGTGGAAGGAAATGGAATGAGAAAATCAATTTATGCTTATGAAATCAGACAGGAATCTTGCAGCCAGCATCCCTTCCCTCTGGCATATCTAAATACTTGAATGCATAATGCGGGATTATGTAAGAACAACCAAGGTATCTGACTGCAAAGCATTAAATGACAGAAATATGTCCTTTTATCTGGTTTTAAAGATTTCACTTAACTAATTCAAGAAAAACAGAATCACACATGGGGGCTATAAATTATTTCACTGGTGATGAATTAAATTAAAAAAAAAGAATTTGAAAAAGCATTTGGACACGAGTTGAAAAAAATGACTGCAGTGTTGTTGATGTGGCATTTAGAGGAAAGTATCAAATACATTATCAAAATCCATATTTGTAGAGTATTTTTTGCTCATGGTTTGCCATTAGGTCACTTGTATTTTATAAATACTAAGAAAAAAATACTTTTCAAAAGAAATCCCCAAAAGGTTGTAGATTGACATAGAACTGGAATCCACCTGAGGTAGAACTTTGTATGCATGTTTATTAGCCTCCAACATTATTGATTAAAAAGTGATTATGAGACGATGTTACCAAACAACCCCAGATGTCTTATCTGAATTAGTGCCAAATCATGATTAAGTACCATCCACAAAGTGTTTTTGAGCCTTTCACTTGCAGCTTTTTTTCTGCTCATTCATTATGTATTTCAGAAAGTAAACCCTCTTGTTATTTTTTTCTATTATAAAACGGTGTGCCAGATTTTGATGGTATAATTGTATTATGGGTATGGGCATGCACTACCTATCAAAATTTTCATAAGGTTTAAGTGACCTGTAGCATGTTGTTATTCTATTGACTTGCAGTCAAAACAATGGCAGTAAAGTTGTCCTGAGATGTACCAGTACTATATATATACCTGACATGTTGTTGTTGACGTGTGTTAGCTGAGTCGCACTGGCTTGACCCCTGGTCACAGCAATGACCACAGATAACTCCTGCTACCAGAGAGCCTTAGAAAATAATCCATTGGCATGCTGTCCAGTGGTTAGTATCACAGTTGTCACTAGCTTTCAAGTGTCCATCATTGCCATTAGATTATCAACAGGTAGGTTCAATTATCCTAGTCTGAAGTAGGTTTTTGATGAAGGAGGAGAAGCAGTGTTGGGAGGGGGTTTAGTGATACATTCTCAGACTTGGCAAAATCTCCAAGGGTACAGCAGTCTCAAAGATCTGCTGAAATCTGGATAGTGCAGGTGTTGATCCCAAGATAATGCAAATGCAATATATCCCTCCCCAATCAAGACATACTTATGTAATTGTTCCATGGTATTGGGGCTACATATATATATATATATATATAGGCATTTTTCATATTATATAGGTTTTTATAGGTATTTCATTTGAACAACTGTTGTATTTAAATTAAGGGAAAATAATCGGGAAATGCAATAATTGCTGAAAATTATATGCGAAATGGGAGTGCTCATGAGAAACAATTGCTAGTCCATCTGGGCTGAATAATGCTCAAATTTCTTTGAAATTGACAAGCGTGCTTCAATGTTGCCTAATTTTGCACTGAATGCCATCAAGTTTAGCCATGACTGTGTTCTTTGTCTTACTGTGACTTATCTCAGACACTTCTTTTCTTAAGTTTTGGATGAACTTCTAATCATGAGATGACCATGTCTGAATAACACGTTTAAGAATATCTTTCATAGAGATATCATCTTATTTGATGTTCTCTTTTAGTTTTGCAGACATCAAGAAAATTTAGAGTTCCATGGCACATCAGTTAGATCAACATGGTGATCCACAGGGCAAGATTGGACTCTATGACCCAGAGTGTGAACGTGATTCTTGCGGCGTGGGCTTCGTTGTCAATATAGATGGAAACAGGACTTATCAGGTACTCCAAACACTGTGAGATAACATAATAGCTGATGTACTTGTAAAACCCAAAATGTACTAGTTGTGTACCAATATTTGATAAACAGCCAGACACAATAATTGAAATGTGGCAATAAACATTCTTTGTATCTGAATAAAGATCAGCTTTAATTATTCAACCATTTGGTAGAATAAAAAGATCAAAACACTGGCTAAGACATCCTCCTACATGTACTTACTAGTAATGCCACAATTTGAGACAATGTAGGTATCTACATGTATGTACAGTACTTTATGTCTTATGTTAGGAAAAAAGGGAAAGTTCTAAAGACTATACTCTACATACAGCTCTGTGCACTCCACATTCCATGTCACAATCTAAATAGGTTATAGTGAATTAGCTCGACATATAAACCTACATGCATATGCCCCCATTGAAAATTTGACCTAATATATTGTCCTAGCATGCCTGGATCACATGATCAGAGGCTGCTTGCTGTCTGGAGGGAATTATAAACATAAAAAAATTAGACTTTGAGCTTTTGTCTAGTGATTTTTGTTATTTGTTTAGCACATTGCATAATACCTGGTCTGGGTGTACCGACATATAGGTTATCAGATATATGTGTACTCAAATGTCTAACATGATGTATGATATAATAACTATAGATCACGTACACTAAAAACTAGATCACTGATGTCATTTTGCTATCCTTCTTTTAGGTTTTGTGTGTGTGTATTTTTTTGTTTAACTGATGTTTACTCTCTGTTACAAGAATGTTTTTGTGTTATATACTGTAACAGAACATACACTGTGCTTTACCAAGTAATTTTTTTTATTGTGCAATATAAAGCATTTTAAATGATAAACTGAGATGTGGCATACTACACATGCTAAACATTACCCTTTTGTTCACATTGAAGAAGGGCTCATTCCCAATGAAACTATTGTTCTACGTAGATCATTCCAACTCAAAGGAGACTCTTGCTGAATGCAAACAGATCTGCATGCCTCCTGGCATTGAAAAGAATACAGAAAACCTGGTGATTATATGAATACGTTGCAAACAAGAGGAAGCATGTAGATCTCTTAATCTGATTGCATTAATATGAGAGTCCCCGCTGTTGGATCAATCTTCTAATAAGTAGAACGGTGGTTTCATTGGGAATAAGCCCTAAGACATTTAAAATGTGTTTTGTGATGTGACAACTATATGCATATATTCTTTCAAATACTAAATATTTTGCACTATTTTCATTGGGAAAATATAGCCAATGTGTGTTGTTTTCTTAAAACCAGTTGTGTCTTGAGGTCATGAAAGTTTTTGTTCGGTTTGCCTAGTTGTTAAAGAGAAATGTTTACACATTTTTCTCTAGGTCTTGAAACATGCACAGACTATGCTGGAGCGCATGGAGCACCGCGGAGGCTGCGGGTGCGATAACGACACAGGAGATGGGGCAGGGGTATTGTGTGGGATTCCTCATGAGCTCTATGCAAAAGTTGTAAGGTATGTATAACGTATTTTCCACAGTGAGATGGTCGAATGCATTTTCAGCAAAACTTTTTAAATGAGGGGAGCTTGGAAGCAAGAAGAGGATGGGTCGTAGGTTGTTATCATGTTATGTAACATACATATTTGACACTGTGACAAGAGAGACTGGGAGGGGTATTTGAAAAATTGTGTAAAGTTTGGGTCATCATTTGTTAGATAAGAGGCCAGTACATGTACATTGGCAGGAACTGTGGTTACATTTGTATTTAAAATATTTTTATAGTGATGTCTATTTTGAAAATTATGTTTTTTAAACAAGTGAACTACGAGTGTATTGTTCATCATTGAATCAAATTGTCTGTGGTACAGAGTGGTTTATTTAAAATTATGATCTCAGCAAAAATTTAAAAATAAGTTGTGTCAAAGGAAAATTCCCTGATTAATATATACATTAATATAAATCAATGTAAGTGCATTGAGATAATTTGGCATATTTTAAATTTTGTTTGAAATGTTTTGAAGGGAAGAACATGGCATCAACCTTCCAGAGCAAGGTGCCTATGCAACTGGGATTTTCTTCATGGATGAACAGGGCTCTAAGAAGTGTGAAATGTTGTTTGATCAACTTGCTACTGACAATGGACTGGAGGTAGATTTACACTTAACGTCTGGATTAATTTCCAGCGAAGAAAGGAGAATTGTTTTTTTAACCAGCTTGATGGTTTCTGATAAGAAAATAGCTATTCACTTTTTTTTTCTTTTCTGACATTTTCTAGCATTTTTCTAAAGGTGTTTATCCCAAATGTCACGAAACCTGTAATATTTTAGAAGTCTTACTCTTTTTGATATACAAAAGAAGCCACTCTACAGTTACTGTAATACAAGAACACAACTAAAAACAAATTGACATTTGGAACAACTACTCCAAAGAAACATGCAAAAATAAGTTGCTGTCAGCATACACTTTATTTCCTGTTTGTATGTCACTAAGACCAATGAAATAGCATTATTTTTTAAAGACAAAATTTTCAGAAACAAAATTTTACTTTAAGATATATTCTGAATTATTTTTGTGCACTCTTAATTTTTTAACATGGTACATTGGATGGCTATCTTAGCTGTATAGCTGACCTATTTATGCACCTGTAAAGGTACCTAATAAACCTAATAGTAGAGGGAATCTGTAGGGCATTGCCCTCTTCAGTGGCACACATGTTTATCAATGAACCTATCACCTATCTCTTATTAATGTGTCTGTGGTCCATTACCCGATTAATGCTACTTTCAGTGAAGGTTCACCCCAATATGATTTCAGCTTCTATGAAAAAAGAAGTGTAAAGTCTTTTTTTCATCACTTATGTATTTATGTGGTTAGCAAATATTGTTGTCATTGAAAAAAAAAGTCTGAAATTATATTGTTTTTAAGAGAAATTAAATGGAGCCCAGTTGATTATTGGAGTTAAATTGGTCCAAACATTTTTTATATGTTTTTATTTATTATGAACAGCCCAAGTGTCTCGGGCTAAATCTTGTGTTGATTTTTTCTAGGTACTCTGTTGGAGGACAGTCCCTGGTGATAATAAAGTCATTGGCAGCATTGCAGCAGCCAAGGAACCTCTGCTTAGACAGGTGAGTTTAGGGAAAGTTTAGTGTTGTTGGTTAAGGGGGGGTCAAAATGGCAGGCTGATAGAATATGTGAGAAGTTGTTGTGAACACTTGTGAGTAAAGGAATGGTAGGATGAAAAGGGGGATGCTCTATGCACAGTTGGCAGTATAGGAGGTGGTTTACAGTTGAAAACAATTATCAGAATGGTTGGCTATAATGATGATCATATCATCACCTTTCATCATGATGATAATTATCATCATCATCAAAATAATAATAAAAATAACAGCCATAGAGAGTATTTTCTGTTTTGCTAGTTTAGATGCTAATGGGTTTTTCATTCAAATCATCTTTCAGTATACAAACAGACCATCATTCGTTGTACAAACAGAATGTTTCGACCTAGCTCTACTAATGAATTGCTATGGTACTTGCATGATTAATAAGGCGATTATAAGATTAATCACTTATCCAGTAACATGGGATGATGTACTTACTAGGCATGCAAATATGAAATGCCGCGTGCACATTGTTTAAACTTTGTCTGGTCTAACACTCTTGAATACACACATTATGTTTACTTTTCCATAGTTTGAAGTAATACTAGTACATGTTGGTATAATGATTATTTCAATGAAGAGAAGAACCCCAAAAATGCATAACCTTACTGTAGGGACAGTCTATGCATATTAACTGTCCCTGAAAGGTAACCAGTGGGTGGCTATGTAGAGCTGTGCCTATAATATTATTTTTGAGAGGGCACTAGTACTCCTGACGGTGAAGCATTGATCATGGGGATGCCAATATACCGCATTTAGTGGCCACATGTGGATATAGGTATATGTACTGTAGGTATTTGTGGCTATAAGTAATAGGTTACTTATTCTTAGTCTTGGTCTGAAATGCCCTCCATTTGTATACAAAATAAGGGCAAAAGAAAAGTGCTTAAATTGACAGCATTTGTGAAAATGTAGTGGTTTAGTGTTAACTATATATGGTTTAGTGTTAATGGATCAGAAATGATTCCATAAAAAAATGACATTTATGAATTTTCCTGTATCTTGCACATGATTGAGGGGGGTATATCTGGCTTATAGAAAAATTTATGACATAAAACAATAAGTTATTCTGAAGTTTATGTAAAGTATCAGTCTCTCATGGGAACTGACTATTTCTATATTCCACTATATGTCTGTGTGCCTGAAAATCTAAAGCAGAGTGAGAATATATCATTACCAAACAGCTCTTATTCCTCAAACCTATACAGCATGAGACAAAAACATATATCATTCAGTTAACACAATTGTGGTTAAGGTAGAAAGGTGAACCAGGATGAAAAAGTACATTTCCTTGAGATTACAGACCTAGCTTCATGTGAAGCATACATAATCAGGGAATTATTGATTACGAAACCTTCCAAGTTCACTGAACAGAGCATCTTGAGGTTTTATGTAATACCCATAAACAATTCTGTAAATACTTACACTTAGCTCAGGCCATCTATTAGGCCCCATTTTACAAACAAACACAGGTAGGGAGTACGTGCCTATATTCATCCTGCATAAGAATTTTTCTGTTGTAAACATGCATGCACATATCCATGCACAAAATTAAAAAAGGATTAAACAATATAAATAGATACAGAGATAGGAAAATCAAGAGACAGGTAGAAATATAAGAATTGTATTCTATTTGTATCTTATCTTTTGTGTCTGTTCAAAAGAAGTGGTTTTATATTCTGCAATACATGTGTTTACAGCCAAGATACTTTAAAGTATTTTTCTTTCTTTTTATTAATTAATTTTTTTGTATTTTATTATTTAATTTCATAGTACAGAGTCAACACAGATGAGAATAGTACTTATCTCATTAAATTAGGAACAGTTAATTGGTAGACCAGTCAAAACTAATTTTGACTGCAGTTACAGATAACCCGACGCAACTTTGGAATTCAATAGGTCAAGCATGGTCAGCTAGATGAAACTGCAATACAGCCAGATTGCTGCCTATATTTGAATATAAGGGCAAAATGTCACTATAAAACCCTAAGGTATATACACGCAGTCAATCTTTATTGATGATTTGCAAATTGTGTTAGACATGTTGAAATAAAATCAAATGAAACCCTGGGCAAACTCATCTTTTTGATAAGGTTATTTCTAGAAATAACATGTTTTGTAGTTTTGTGTTCTTCTGTAAAGATGGAAATGGCAGAATAAATTCTGGTCAAATTTATCAGCTTAGGTGAATTATTTTGAGATACAGAGGCAAAAATATCAGATACTAATTATATAAGTTGGCAGTTCTTAATAGATTATGACTAAGAAGACAGACATGAAAGAAAAAACACCGAGTAATTTATATTTTTTTCCTGAATTAAGATTTTTTTTAGCCAATTGATCATTTCTTAATTAAGACAGCAAACTTTTTTGTTTGATTTTAAGTAAATGGAGCTGCTAGTTAAGATTGGGATGCTTATTTCCATTTAAATTAGATAATGAACAGACTAAAATGGAAATGTCATGTGAATATTCAAGAAAGAGATACAGCATAATATATTATTTCTTAATGAAAATGATAATAAGATAACTTCTCAGACAGCTGTGATTTGTTATTTCCTATAAAGGTAGAGTTTTTATACATTACAGGCAAATGTGGTCATAATTTTTTTCCAAAAATATGGTAATGGTTTCCTGAACAATTTTAACTGCATAGGTAATGCTATTCAGAAATTCCAACAATAATATCAAAGAAGTTATATGCATTTTCTGTGTAAATCGACATTTCTTTTTAAAATAAGATGAAAGCATCAAACTGAAAATGAAGTGTTTGGCAAAGTTTAAGTTGTTAGGATTACTTTACAGAATAGGGGATAATCCTCAAAGGGAGAGACAGACATTCCAATCAATACAGTATTTACTGCCCATAATCAAGGGAAATGAGCTTTTCTTTTTCTCCTTTCATTTAACATTGAATTTTTTGCTGACTAATTGTTTTGGGATCTTGAGGGGGTGGTGGAAGGGGCGAGGAGGAAAAAGAAATAATGTGTTCTTGATTGATTTGAAACATGTTGAAAGTGTTTTCTTTATTACTTTATCTGTCTGTCCATGAATAGCTTAGAAATAAGCTGCTGGTGTATTCAAAGGAGACAAACATTTTGAAAATTCACTTTTCCTGCACTGATAGAAAAAATGGGCATTTTTATTAATTTGAAGACAACCCTCCTGCAGAGCACAGAAATGGCAAATTGATAATATGCTGCGAATGGCAGAATGCTAAATTAAATCAAATGAGGCTCATAGGAGGAATTTATTGACAAGATTTCACTTTTATTGCGTAGGTGTTTGTGACGGTCAATCCTGAAGAGCGTACTGAACTTCAGAGAAGGGTAAGTAGAGATTGAAGAAGTTCGATTTCTCAATAATCAATTTCCCAAGAGAGATTAATTCAGAATACTGTCATTTTCTAATGGACTTAATGAGTTTATTACTTGAGGCTGCGATTCAGAAAGTGAGTGGGTGAAAGGGCCCATTTAAGTACACAGAAAATGTATTTCTGACCAAAAATATTGAAAAGTTATTTGTGAAAAAATTGATCGAAAAAATTCTTATGACAAGAGCTTATCATATTATGTTTCATCTCTTACTAGAAAATGTTTACTTAATATCATAAAAAAGTGGTGAAAAGTGATTGCTAATTGTTTTTAGTCTTCATGTTATTTGATTTAAAACATGACATTTCTGATAAAACAACTTATCTGTGTGGAATGTTTTTTTCAGTATTGATTAACAGTGGTTGGTTTTTGTCTGTCCAGGTGTTTGTATTACGTAAGCAAGCCACCCACAGGATTCCACAGCTGGGGTTTAGGTTCTACATATGCAGTCTGTCCACAGCCACCATAGTCTATAAGGTAAGTATTTTATCTAGAATAAATGGGCGAATAGTTAATTTCACAGTATCTTTCATACTCTTCTAAAATAATAACTGGGGTAAAAAAAAAGATTATCAATTATCTTAGCTAATTAGTATCGCAGTGAAAAATGAGGATTGTAATTACAGAAGCTGAAATATGAGGGTATATAATTTGAATATAAAATTCTAGGAGGAAAAATGGTTCCCAGGTTTCCCCTGGAGGTTTTGGATGATTTCACACCCAGATTAAAGCAAAACAGCAAAGTGTGTTATCTTGACAAGGCTTGCCATATCATATATTGATTTGCAAGAAGATTGCTTCCTTTCATTCACAGCCATGCGCTATGTAGGTGTATATTAGGATAACAAGGTTTTAAAGGCAGACTAAATTGATTTCTTTGACGCACAAGCTGAAAGCAAAAGAAAAAACAATAGTTCATGTAGGTGGATCAAAAATTGTAAATGCCATCTCACTACTGAGATTCATGCTCATGGAAATTAAAGTGGAATGCAACCAATATAGGGGTTCCTGGAACATTTGGTTTATCAAACTACAGCTTCAATCTAGATGGGATAGTAAACATCATAGTTATTCATAGGTACACGCTTCCTGTGTCCCTAATAAAGATCTTTTATGGTTGGAAGTTAATCAGTAGAAAAATCAATAGACTATGTTACAGATTTATGTAGTATGTAAATGCCTAGGAAGCAATCATGCCACTTTTTAGAGATGTGGATGCTTATGTTTCTATCTTTATATTAAAGGGATAATAACTGTTCGTTTTGGCCAAAAATGAATTTTTCTGGAGTAAACAACAATTTTCCCATACTTACCAATGCTATAACTGCCATTTTTGTGGTAAAACAGAATATATTATATTTCTGTGAGTTGTTTACAATGTTTTTATTGTGAAATATACATCTCATACGAAGAGTTTCAGATCAATAGACTGTCCCTTTCAGATCATGGAAAGGTCACTGTCACATGCTTCACTAGTGATTTTGGTGATATTAATCTTTGGATAAAATTAATTGTGCCTATGAACTTTGCTTTTTGTTTTTCCTAGGGCTTGTTTACATCCAGACAGATCTGGCATTACTATAAGGACTTAAGTGATCCTGACTTCAAGACTCATGTGGCCTTGGTGCACAGTCGATTTTCAACTAACACGTTTCCCTCCTGGGAGAGAGCACACCCACAGAGGTAATGATCTCAACTAACACATTTCACATCCATGGAAGTTGGCATCTCAACTAACACATTTCTTTTTCTTAGAAAATATCTTAAGTGATATAATCTGATTGGTTATGTTTACCACCTGTGAAAATATTTAACTGGAATGTAATTGAGCTAAAGAATATGTGAGATATATGGTTTTAATTTTGTAAATATTTGCCATGTAGAAATATGGTTGTTTAAATGTAAAAATTTCTTTTTTCTATGAAAACCTACATCTTCCTCTATATGTAGATATCTGGCTCACAATGGGGAGATAAACACCCTACGTGGCAACATCAACTTGATGAAGGCTCGTGAAGGGGTAATGAAGAGCTCCACGTTTGGCGATGACTTGCAGAAGTTGTACCCTGTGGTTGAGAAGAATTTATCAGACTCTGGAATGTTTGATAATGTGTTGGAGTTCCTGTGTGCTGCAGGGGGCAGAGAGCTACCAGAGGTATGGAAGATGTCATAAGGTTATATTGTAAGAAATCTGAAGAAAAAATATTTTTGAAACTTCTGAATTAGCAGTTATGGACAGCAAAAAATTTATAGGTACTAGTATGCCCAACTTAATGGTCCCACAGTACATTCATTGAGAAATAACCTAGGAGCGAGAGTTAATTTTAACACTTAAACTTAATTATATATTATTTACTTAAAAGTCAGCAGTCTGAAGGATTTCATCAAAAACACTCTTTTAGGCCATCATGAACATGGTCCCCGAAGCCTGGCAGAACGACAAGACCATGCCAGAACTGAAAAAGAACTACTATCACTACTGTGCATTTGGAATGGAGCCATGGGATGGACCAGGTATGGCTGTGACTTGCAGTTATTGATAAGAAATGGAATCACTTCTTGTAAAATTCAGTTTATAATATACATTGTTTACTTCTCTTCTGTAACATTATTTAAGTTGCTTATTTACTGATTAAAAACTTAGTCATGGCCTAGGAAAATAGAATTTAAGAGTTGGTGGGTATTATTTACAGCATTTTTCCCTGTATGTAAGAAGCTAGGCATTTTTGTTACTTGGTTGATCTACTTGTGATAAGATACAGAACAGCAGTCCCTCAGTAAGCATATTATATTTGTAGCCCTTCTTGCCTTCTGTGATGGGCGTTATGTTGGGGCCATCTTGGATAGGAATGGCCTCCGACCGTCTAGATTCTATGTTACCAGTGATAATCATCTTATCATGGCCAGTGAGGTGGGAGTGACTGACTTCACACCCCCTAATATTAAACAGAAGGTATGAACTGATGTAAAGCTAATAATATTTTGTAGAAGTTCCATGCATGATTTAAAATTGTACTTTAAGGCACATTTAGATATAGTGATTGTTATCTGGATAATTTTACACTACCTAGTTTTGAAGTTTATAACATTCATATTTTTTGTTTGTTCATTCAACTCACTTTATTTACCTTCATCATATGGTGGCAAGGAAAAGAAAAAAAATATGGTGAAATGGTTTGGAAATTCATTTGATCTTTAGACAATTTACAAGTTCATTGGCATGTTTCAGGGCCGTTTGAAACCAGGCCGCATGTTGCTGGTTGACACAGAGGAGAAACAGTTTCTGCAAGATGATGTCATCAAGAATAAACTTGCCACACTCCGGCCACATGGGGAATGGTTGAAAGAGGTACAGTTTTTATTGTTTTAATTAATATTCTTTTGTTAAATTATGATTGATTTTTCTAAAATCATCAGAGATACACTGTAGGTTGCCTTGCATATAAGATGTTTTGTCACACAAGTGATGTTAAGACGATGTAAAGTAGCAAAGTATGGCAGCTGTTGAAGGTGTAGATTAACTGCATGGTGCTCTTTCCCGTAAAAATATACAACAGCCTTATGTAGCAAGTGTATCACATGTTTTCCAGATCATCACCATGGCAGATCTTTTTGAAGCCTATGATGATGAAAAACTTCACAACTCGGAGCACATCCTGGGTGTGAATGATGTGGATAACATGGTGAACGGCATCACTGAGAATGGCATGCCAGGAGTGAGTGGCAGTGTGGTGGAGGAGGACCGGAGACTGCCGTTGTTTGGGTACACTGTTGAGACACTGAACTTCTTGGTGTTGCCCATGGTCAAAGCTAGGTGAGAAAGAGAGAGGATGACGGTTTGATTTTGTTATCAAAGATAGCGATGTGTCTTGCCAACAGACTGCTGCATGGGATGACTTGATATTGCTACATTGTTGTAACCGACAACACTTTTTTCTTTGTGTGAAATTATATTATGTCATATTATGTACATTGAATTAGTAAACGATATGTTACAAACGTAGTTACAACAAATGATTCTTGATTGCTTCTTCATTATACAAACAGTATTGCAAAAATACAAGGCATGATATTGTTCAGAAGACAGCAGCAGCTAATGTTTCATTGTTACACTGGACAATACCTCTTTCATACCGTCAACTCACATTTCAGCAGACATTTAAATTGTTGAGAAGGAAGAAAGAAAAAAATTTGCATAGGTTATTTAACCTCTAAGACAGATGAAAGTGGGTTTCATTATCAGTTCCATTTTACCCGTTCTTTAAAAATTAATATTGTGATTGTATAATTCTGCCTAAAGATTTTTGTTGATTCTTTTCCAGGAAGGAAGCCCTGGGGTCTATGGGAAATGATGCCCCCCTGGCCTGTATCTCTGAGTTCAATCCTCTGATGTTTGATTATTTCAAGCAGCTGTTTGCACAGGTCACCAACCCTCCCATTGATCCTTTCAGAGAGAAAGTTGTGATGTCTCTGGTAAGTAACATTCCATAATGTAAGATATATGAAAAGCAATAATGCAAGTCTAGATGAGATTCAGTCATTTTGTGAATATGTTTTTAGGCAGTGTATTGATACACATATGACATGGCTTTAGGTTTCTACAATAAATAAATTTTGATTCCTACTCTGTTTGCCTTCATTTATTTCATATTAAAAAACGTATTATAAGTGCAGCAGTCAACAGCACTCAAATTTAAAGTAATAAAAGTATATGTGTAATATNGAAACATGGGTCTAACATACAGCTTCAATAGGCAACGCAGTCTGTTTGGTAAATTTTTTTGGCAATTTAACAGTTTTTTGTGAAAATTTAATTTTTCACTTATTTGCATCTTTATTTTCTGTTCTTTGTCTGTACATTTGACAGCTTTGCTGCCTTGTTTAAATTTTTCCCCCTATTTTTCTATTTTCTGAAGGTCCGTTATAACTTGACGCCCTGTATTATTTAAGTTGCTTAGTTACTGATTAAAAACTTAAGTCATGGCCTAGGAAAATAGAATTTAAAAAATGTGGATATCATTTACAGAATTTTTCCCTGTATGTAAGAAGCTAGGCATTTTTGTTACATTGTTGATGTACATGTAATAAGATACAGAACAGCAGTCCCAGTAAGCATATTATTTTTGTAGCCCTTCTTGCCTTCTGCGATGGGCGTTATGTTGGGGCCATCTTGGATAGGAATGGCCTCCGACCCTCTAGATTCTATGTTACCAGTGATAACCATCTTATCATGGCCAGTGAGGTGGGAGTGACTGACTTCACACCCCCTAATATTAAACAGAAGGTATGAACTGATGTAAAGCTAATAATGTTTTGTAGAAGTTCCATGAATGATTTAAAATCGTACTTTAAGGCACATTTAGATGTAGTGATTGTTATCTGGATAATTTTACACTACCTAGTTTTGAAGGTTATAACATTTATATTTTTCGTTTGTTCATTCAACTCACTTATTTTACCTTCATCATATGGTGGCAAGGAAAAGAAAAAATAAAGTTGAAATGTTTTGGTAATTCATTATATCTTTAGATAATTTGCAAGTTCATTGGCATGTTTCAGGGCCGTTTGAAACCAGGCCGCATGTTGCTGGTTGACACAGAGGAGAAACAGTTTCTGCAAGATGATGTCATCAAGAATAAACTTGCCACACTGCGGCCACATGGGGAATGGTTGAAAGAGGTACAGTTTTTATTGTTTTAATTAATATATTTTTTTGTTAAATTATGATTGATTTTTCTAAAATCATCAGAGATACACTGTAAGCTGCCTTGCATATCAGATGTTTTGTCACGCAAGTGATGATAAGACGATGTAAATTAGCAAAGTATGGCAGCTGTTGAAGGTGTAGATTAACTGCATGGTGCTCTTTCCTGTAAAAATATACAACAGCCTTATGTAGCAAGTGTATCACATGTTTTCCAGATCATCACCATGGCAGATCTTTTTGAAGCCTACGATGATGAAAAACTCCACAACTCGGAGCACATCCTGGGTGTGAATGATGTGGATAACATGGTGAACGGCATCACTGAGAATGGCATGCCAGGAGTGAGTGGCAGTGTGGTGGAGGAGGACAGGAGACTGCCGTTGTTTGGGTACACTGTTGAGACACTGAACTTCTTGGTGTTGCCCATGGTCAAAGCTAGGTGAGAAAGAGAGAGGATGACGGTTTGATTTTGTTATCAAAGATAGCGATGTGTCTTGCCAACAGACTGCTGCATGGGATGACTTGATATTGCCACATTGTTGTAACCGACACTTTTTTCTTTGTGTGAAATTATATTATGTCATATTATGTACATTGAATTAGTAAACAATATGTTACAAACGTAGTTACAACAAATGATTCTTGATTGCTTCTTCATTATACAAACAGTATTGCAAAAATACAAGGCATGATATTGTTCAGAAGACAGCAGCAGCTAATGTTTCATTGTTACACTGGACAATACCTCTTTCATACCGTCAACTCGCATTTCAGCAGACATTTAAATTGTTGAGAAGGAAGAAAGAAAAAAATTTGCACGGGTTTTTTAACCTCTAAGACAGATGAAAGTGGATTTCATTATCAGTTCCATTTTACCCGTTCTTTAAAAATTAATATTGTGATTGTATAATTCTGCCTAAAGATTTTTGTTGATTCTTTTCCAGGAAGGAAGCCCTGGGGTCTATGGGAAATGATGCCCCCCTGGCCTGTATCTCTGAGTTCAATCCTCTGATGTTTGATTATTTCAAGCAGCTGTTTGCACAGGTCACCAACCCTCCCATTGATCCTTTCAGAGAGAAAGTTGTGATGTCTCTGGTAAGTAACATTCCATGATGTAAGATATATGAAAAGCAATAATGCAAGTCTAGATGAGATTCAGTCATTTTGTGAATATGTTTTTAGGCAGTGTATTGATACACATATGACATGGCTTTAGGTTTCTACAATAAATAAATTTTGATTCCTACTCTGTTTGCCTTCATTTATTTCATATTAAAAAACGTATTATAAGTGCAGCAGTCAACAGCACTCAAATTTAAAGTAATAAAAGTATATTTGTAAAATGTACAAATAAATATATTTGTAATACTCATGAAAAAATTCTTTTATGATGCTCAAAATGTATTACTACAACAGCTCTCACTAGTCTGATCTACATCTCACGTTCACTTTCCAGGCATGTCCAGTCGGTCCTGAACAGAATATTCTAGAACCCAACCGTCTGCAGTGCCAGCGCCTATGGCTAGATCAGCCATTGCTGTCCCTCATTGATTGTGATGTCATCAAGGGAATAAATTACAAAGGATGGAAAGTAAGAACACCATATCCATAATTATATCTATCGTGTTGTTCAGGTATATTTCTAAATAGGCACTTGTTCCACTGTTGCTAAAGAAAGCAGAGCTTCGGTTCATAAGAATTTGCACATTCAGCTAAAGCGGCTGATAGACCTGTTGGAACATTATGCAATTATATACATTAATGTTTCATTTCAAGTGTTTAGAAGCAACATGTTTAGCCACAAAGCATAGTTATGATGTGTTATGTACATCTCAGTTTGATGATTGTCTTTTCCTTATTTACCCCAGGCCAAAGTGCTGAACATGGTGTTTCCTGTGGCGTTTGGAGACAAGGGTCTGGTACCAGCCTTGGACAGGTTGTGTGCCGAGGCAGCAGAGGCGGCCATTGAGGGATATCAGCTGATTGTGCTGTCAGATCGCAAAGTGGACAGAAACCATGTGAACATCAGGTACGTATGTGTTTCTTTCAAACTGTGTTTCATATTGTTTTAAGTTATTGATGCTTTTTGTGGCCTAGGAATATCAGCAAAAAGATTGAGGTTGAATATAATCAAAAATGCAGGTATAAGATGCAGCATGATGTCATATTCATGTATATCAGTGTATATATATCCTATATTTTTCAGCTCATTGTTGGCCATTGGAGCAGTGCACCACTACCTGATAGATCATAAACTCAGGATGAAAGTTGGGCTCATTCTTGAAACTGGAGAGGCAAGGTAAAGATTTGTTTGTAACTTATTTGTCAGGAAAAAATTGAAATTTTAAATTAGGGTAATTTCATTTGGGATAGTTGATATTAGCTATAAATGTTCTGTATTCTGCAATTTTGATTTTTTTTCATAGAAAATTAACATTTCTTCTGCATCTTTCTTGCCTATGGCTCAGCTAGTTGCAGTCTCTCCCTGTCTGCTTCTACAATGTAGGTAGCTTTGGAACAAAGAATGCTAAAATATTGAATTAAATAAGCTGCATAGTCTATATTAATTTCTCTGTATTTGAAATTTGATGTACCTTTTCAGAGAAGTCCATCATTTCTGTACGCTTCTTGCCTATGGTGCAGATGCAATATGCCCTTACCTCGTCCTCGAGTCCCTAGGAAGGTTGCGAGACCAAGGTCTTATGGAGCCCCCACTGTCAGACATTGAGATATTTGACAACTACATGGCGGCTACAGCTCGTGGCATATCAAAAGTGATGGCTAAGATGGGGATATCTACACTGCATAGCTACAAGGTGAGATTGGCTGATTACCCTTGTTTTTTTTTATAAATAGTTATTGATAAGTTTATAAAAGATGAAATATAATAGTTTATGTTTGGAAGTGAAATTAAACTGTTTTTTCTGTTTGCAGCTGTGAAATTGAAGTATTTATACCTACTAAAAATTCTTGTTTTGTGATGCAGAGTATTTAAAAAATATCTACTTTCAACCTTATTTATTGATAAGATTTCAATAATTGTTTGTTAAATACATTCGCATATTTGTTCCAGGGTGCCCAGATCTTTGAAGCAGTGGGTCTGCATGAGGAGGTTATCAAGAAATGCTTCGAGGGTACTGCCTCCAGGATAGGGGGAGCCACCTTCAGGGTGTTGGCCCAAGAGGTTTGGTTGTTTTCATGTAGCAGAAGTTTGTTCTACATTAATATAAAAACAATACTTAATGAGATGATATTACATCACTGACATCTTGCACAACTGTACAAGTAAAATATTCATTTGTTGTCACCTGATGATTTTGATCTCATGCTCTAGGTACTGAACAGACATGCATATGCCTACAGCAGGAAGGAAGGCGACAATTTCATCATCACCAACCCAGGTTTTTATCACTGGAGACAGGGAGGAGAAAAACATATGAATGATCCCACCACCATTGCTAACCTACAGGTAGGTGATCGAATCAATTTAGTTTGATGATTGTTCTTCAAAATTTTTCATTTGAATAATGCCATAGTGTGTTAGTTACTGTGGTTATGTTTTTTTCAACCACATGTTAACATGCAACTAGGTATTTTTCAGAAGTACAAAACAGAGCTATAAAATTTATGGTCAAGACAAAAACGCTTGCCACCTAGCACTATTTGGATAACAGTAAATGGTATTTTTGTGGTGTCTATAATTAATTAGGAAATAGGACCACATTTTACTTGAATAGGATATCAACATTTTCTCTGTGAAAATTCAGGATGCAGCTCGTAACAATAACAAGTCTGCCTACAGCAAGTTTGTAGAGTCGGCCACTGAGTCCACCAGGTGGTGCACCCTGAGAGGACAGTTGGACATGAGAGTGTCCAAGCAGCAGGTGGACATCAGTGAGGTGGAGCCAGCGGCCAATATTGTCAAGAGATTTGTCACAGGTAGGCATTATATCTATTAAACTGTCTTCAACAATATCACTGCACTCAAGTGTATTTATGTGACTATATTTTTATGTTAATGTCAATGATAAATTAATTTTGAAAGGCTGGTTCATATGTATTGATGATTTGGAGTGATGTAGATATTCCTAGTGCTCTGAATTTTGTCTCCCTAAGATAATACTCACCAATCTGTTAAATGACATGAATAACCCCACATTATCTAGATAATTTTATTTTATGTAGTAAATAATGCACTGTCCATGCGCCCGATATCACGAGGGCTCGCGCTGGCGCTCGGCATGCTATCGTGTATATTGTGCGAGGGGGTAACAGTGCATTATTTGTCATACATACAAAGGGAAATCGTGCGTGTTCCCCACCCAAACCCCCTAACTTTGAATAGAACACGCTGATATCACCGCGCATGGGGTCATATCAAAGAATGGACTTTCCCCACGTTTACTGCCTAATTGCGGTCACCGTCCAATCATTTTCATTTGTGTGAATGGTTTGTGGTTGCGTGTGTATTGACAGGGACATGGGTCAGTGGTTTTCTGTGAGTAGTTGGCTGATTTCCTGCCCATCTTTCGCACGTGGCAGTCACTCCGTCTCATTCATTGTATCGGTCCCTGCAATCCTTTTGTTTTGATATCGGCCCAGTGGTATGTATTGGGAAAAATCATCCATCCTGTATTCCAGGTGCAATGAGTTTTGGTAGTATCTCTCTGGAGGCCCACAGCACGCTTGCTATTGCCATGAACCGTCTGGGTGGCAAATCCAACACAGGAGAGGGAGGGGAGAGCCCTGAGAGATACCTCAATGAAGACCCCCAAAATAATACCAGATCAGCCATCAAACAGGTAGACTAGTCTGTTTTGTTTTACTTCTCTATGTCAGGTATGATATGAATTTTTTTGTGAATGGTTTTGTGTGATTGCTTATTGATTTCTTTTTATTTAAGAAGTGATCTTTGAAGTTTAGACACTCTTGCTTGGAGTGATTGTAGAACTTGCGTGCTTTCAACATCTGCTTTTCTTGCCGTAAAAATCACAAATCACAAGTATATTTGTAAGGCAGGGTTTGTGTAACAATTTCAGAAACTTTATGGAAACATATTGCTGGGATAGATTTCTTGAGATGTATTTTGTTTAAATATTGTTGGATGTTGTACAACATTTTCATTTGATTTGATTTAATTTTATTTCATTTCAAACCATCCACAAAATGGCATAAAGCCAAAACTAGCCATGCAACACTGTCTTTATAACATAGAGGATCATATAGATGATTAAACATTAATGAACTTGAGCTTTATTAAGATACTTTTCTCATTTTAAAAAGATTGATTTATTTCTGTGCATTTTGAAATGAATGGCTTATCAAATCTGTAAAGTAAAAATAATATATTTTCGAAATTACTGTCACTGATTATGAGTCAAACACTAACTCCTCAAGAATATGAGTAAAGTCAACCAACAAACATTTGAACAGTATATTTCAGAGAAAGAATATAATCCATCAGTTATTTGCTGCTAGCACCATGTCTTTTTTCAACTGTACAGAAATAGAAATCAAAATAAGTCAGTAGCAATAGCAATTTTACCAAGTGCAAAATGACTTGTCACTTTTTTAAATGAAAATACTAATTTTTTGAGGTCGATTGTTGTTGTTTGTTGGACCATGCTTTGTCTTGACCTCTATCTGATCGTCAGGTGGAAGGAAAGTACGGAAACAGAAGGGCAACGTGCAGGCACAGACAGGGGACAATCGCTCTCTCTCTTGCTGCCTAGGTGGGAGTGAGTTGAGTGGAAGCTCACCACTTCAAAACACACGCAGACAACATAGTTAAGCAAGCACCTAGTCACCCTGCATGAGACTCCTTAAATTTTACAGAGTACTGTGATTCTAGAATGGTTTATTCAGTACCCTATTAAGTTAGGCCCTTTTTACATCAAGCTGTGTACTTTAGTGGTACAGCTGTGCTAGTGCACTTTGATAGGTCCCAACATGAAATTATGCTGCGGGGGAGGGCCTCCTTCTGCAAGATCACATCCTACTGTTTGGACAGGGGTTGATTGACTGTCTGTCAAAAAGAGGGGCTCTGTTTAGGTGACTCTTAAACCTATAATAGACAGGCTATTTAGTTGTCAATCCCTCAGAGTGTACTGGCAAAGCTGTATTGCTGAAGTAACTGTAAAGCTCTGTGAAAAGGGCCTTAGAGTCTTAAGTGTCTTATAAGCTGCCCCCTGAATATACTAATGATAATCATAAAATGAAAGTAGTTGTGCAAAATTAAAAAAAAAATAATAATCTAGATGTCAATCTGATTCACTTAATTTATTTTTATTTTAAATTAAGTAAGGAGTCTTAAAGTTGTTTTACCCAATATGTCTTGTTGACTGAGTTTATTTTGTTTTCTTAACAGGTTGCTTCTGGACGATTTGGAGTTACCAGTTCTTACTTGGCACATGCTGATGAACTGCAGATCAAGATGGCCCAAGGAGCCAAGCCTGGAGAGGGTGGAGAACTGCCTGGATACAAGGTATTTATAAGATATCTGCTGGCTAAGGAAAAAGATTGCACTAGTTTTATGCTTACATGGACATTTTTTCACCAAATTCTTACTGAAAGAAACCCTTAAAGCTTTTTGAATTTGGTTAACATAGATTTAAATTCTGAATAAATACAACTGATATGCAATTACTGATTAAAATTCTATTTTGCTTATTGGTATTTTTGTACATTTATCATAGTTACATAATAGAGCTGGCTATAAAGGTAAGGTATTTTAGACAAAGAAAGCTTCCATCTCTTCACTCATGATTCTTGGCACTACATTTACGTAATAGGTGTCCAAGGAAATAGCAAAAACACGTCACTCTATCCCAGGAGTGGGTTTGATCAGCCCACCTCCACACCATGACATCTACTCCATTGAAGACTTGGCTGAGGTAAAAATTTTCTTTTGCATCTACTTTATGATGTTGAAGATTTTGTTTTTTTTTTTTTGTAATAATGGTATTCCAAAAGGTACTTATATATAATTATATGTGATTAATCCTTTTAGACACGTGTTGACCTGGATTTTTTTACACCGATTCCATTCTTGTTGCATCAACAGAATTTTGATTTAAAAATTTTATTTCCATTTCAGCTGATCTATGACCTGAAGTGTGCGAGCCCTGCAGCTAGAATCAGTGTGAAGCTGGTGTCAGAGATGGGTGTGGGTGTTGTGGCAGCTGGCGTGGCCAAGGTATAGTCACAATCATATAGTCACAATCATGTCGAGTGTGACTAAGTAAGATTTAATAGGAAAAAATGGGTGTAAAAAACCAATAGGATGTACATTTTATGCTTGTCTCTCAACTGCCATTTTTTAATTCTGAAATAATGGTGCTATTTTAAAAGGATTTGATGAAGTAACACTTTTTATTCTGCTTTATTTAAATCAATTTGTTTTAATCAATTTTTCTGTTTGTTTTAATAACCTTTTATTCTCTATATTCCTATTGTAGAGTCCAGAGAACAAAGTTGGATTTTAAACTTTTAAAAATGGTATTTTTATTATTTAGATTGTCTTTTTGTATATGAATGCATTGATTCTTATAAGATACAATCCTCTCATTGAAGTGTGTTAATTCCCTTCAATTCTTAATTTAGGGCAAAGCTGAACACATCACCATCTCAGGCCATGATGGAGGCACTGGTGCCAGTAGCTGGACAGGGATCAAGAATGCTGGGTTGCCATGGGAACTGGGCATAGCAGAGACACATCAGGTTCTGGTGTTGAATGACCTGAGGTCAAGAGTGGTGTTACAGGCTGATGGTCAGATGAGAACTGGTATGGACTTTCATCTGACTGTGCTCTGATTTGATTAAAATGGCCAGTTTCATTTAGCTGAAAATGTTGATTCATTGCTTACACAGTATTTTTCAAAATTAGACATATGGAGCAAAATAAATCTGCTTGAGAAAACTTCATAAAACAAAGCTGTGAGATTTTTTGGGGGGAGGGGAGGGGTCTGGTAAATAAATTTTCCCCTTTTCATTCCTAGATTTAACAAGCCTTGACAATTAGGTCCATACATTATGATTTAACATCATCCAATTTTAATGTTTTTCTTTTTTCAGGTCGTGATGTCATGATAGCCTGCCTGCTTGGAGCGGATGAGATCGGGTTCTCCACTGCCCCTCTCATTGTGATGGGCTGCACCATGATGAGAAAGTGTCACCTGAACACCTGTCCTGTGGGGGTGGCCACACAGGACCCTGTCCTCAGGAAGAAGTTTGAAGGAATGCCAGAACATGTTGTCAACTATTTCTTTATGTTAGCTGAAGAGGTGGGCCATGAATTCAAATTTTGATGCTCTTAGATTTTTTTTCCAAATTAAAATTGTCCTCTGAGAACTGGTCAGAAGAAATTTATTGAGATTTAATGCTGATTGAAACCACTTTGTAAATAACATCTTAGAAATATTAGATTTGAGAGGTACTGTTTATCACTTAAGGGTGCCAGTGATAATAATGTGGGAACTGTGTTGAATGTGAAAATTACTAAACTATTAACATATGTGTAGGTGAGAGGTCACCTAGCCAAAATGGGCTTCCGTTCCTACCAAGAAGCCGTGGGTCGATCTGACTTCCTGAGAATGACTGCCAATCCAGTAAACGCCAAAGCCAAACTGCTAGATTTAGGGCCCATCTTGCACAGTGCTGCTGAGATGAAGCCTGGTGTCAATATTGTAGGGGGCAGTGTTGCTCAGGACTTCAAACTGGCAAACAGACTGGTATGTGTATAACTTCACACTTTTTATATATAAATTGATGTGAGAAATTAAAATACATTACAGTTTGTATAAGATGTTAATTGAATGTTAACCTGGTGGCTTTTGTCTTGTGATTTAAATGAAATAGGTTTATCATTCAATTTAAGTTCATTTTAATTCTCTGTGTATTCAGGATAACCAGCTGATTAAGGCAGCTATGGATGTGCTGGAGGGAAAGAGCTCCCAGTGTAACATTGACATGACGGTCTGCAATGAGGACAGAACTTTTGGAGCTACTCTCAGCTACGAGGTGTCAAAGTAAGTTTTTTTCCCTTTTAATATCAAAAATGACTAAAAGTTAAAAATTACAAATAGTAAAAAAAAAAAAAGGAGAGAGAGAGAGAAGCTTTTGCTTTCTTACAATTTCCATTCATGAATCTTGTTGGTGACAAGTAGTATTTATGAATTAATATACAAAAAGGTTACATTATTCTAATGACAGTTCATGAGAAATTTGCAAATATGATGTATTGAAAAATATGAAATCTGATTCTTGAGCATTGAAATACATTTTATAGGAGATTTGTCGAGGCTGGTCTGCCTGATGGAAGTATTAACATCAATCTCAAAGGATCCGGAGGTCAAAGTTTCTGTGCTTTCCTAGCCAAGGGGATCCATGTGACACTTGAGGGAGATTCCAATGATTATGTGGGCAAGGTGAACTGATACAGCTTATAAAGTCACAGCAGCACCTTAATTATCACATGAAACATCATGTTTTAACACTTTTTTAAGTATTAAGACACTTAACTCTAAAAAAATTAATTTCTGATCTTCAAGAATGTTTTCAGTTTTGCTGTTGTCCTGATATTGCTTCCAACATTATTTTTTGCTTTAAAATTTTTACTGCCCTGGGTGGTTTTGATTCAAAATGATTCTTTTATTATATTGATTTGAAGAAGATAAGATGCTTTCAGTAATACCTTCTTTTTTTAGGGATTGTCTGGAGGAGAAGTTGTCATCTACCCACCCAAGGACATGCCTCCTGGTTTCAAGTCCATTAAGAATATCATAGTGGGCAATGTGTGTCTGTATGGAGCCACCTCTGGCAAGGCTTTATTCCGAGGCCAGGCTGCTGAGAGGTTCTGTGTCAGGAACTCTGGTGCTACTGCTGTTGTGGAGGTATGGCAGTGTGTCAGACACAACAGAAAAGTGTATACTTAGAATTTAGAATGAATGGAGACAAATGACTGGTCCAGAATATTTGGTTTAACAAGCAATAGCTCTTAGTGCTGAGTTTCTGTAGTTAAATGAATGCTTCGAAGCACTGTCTCAGTTAAATTATGTACCTTGCCTTTATTGACATTGTGAAAGTATAGAGGATGATAATGTTCAAAAATCAGTCAGATTCTCCAAACACTGTATTCCAATAATTAAAAAAATTAAAAAGGATTATTAGACTAGAACGTCTGTTATCATCATTCCTAGGGTTGTGGTGACCATGGCTGTGAGTACATGACTGGTGGCCGTGTGATCATCCTTGGCCTGACTGGACGCAACTTTGCTGCTGGCATGTCTGGGGGGTTTGCCTATGTCTTGGACAGGTAGGTGCAACTAACACACTAGAGCAGCACAGTGCTACACCTGAAAGTACCAGAAGATCTGCTTGCTTTTAGATAATTTGAAGTAATTTTGAAGAATTATTATTTGTATGGCGACACCTTGAATGTTGGATATTATCGAGTTTGATGCTAAAAAGGCTGTTCAGTCTACATCCATATTTAACCAAAGTCAGTAACTTTTCAGAGAGAAAGTCTTTCATGGCAAGTGTAACATGGAGACCATTGATCTGGAGTCTCTTGGAGACGAGGATGTGCCGTTTGTGAAGGGTTTGCTGGAAGAATTCCACACCAAGACAGGGTCAGAGATTGCTAAGGATGTTCTTGACAATTGGGAACAGGCCATGGATGATTTTGTCAAGGTGTGGTTTCATATAGAAAATGGGACGCTAATTATAGATCACTTTAATTACTCAATTTTTCACAGTTTTTTCTTAAACATGACCATGGATACGTATAGGTGGTTCAGATCATGAATTTTTAGGTTGTCTTGCCTGAAAGTGTGTAAATCAAGACAGGTTATATAAAACAGTAATGACTTTTTATTTCAATAAATTATACACTTGTGTCCCTTTCCAAAACCTAGGTGTTCCCTAAAGAGTATCGCAGAGCATTACTGGACATTGCTAAGGAGAAAGCCCAGGCCAAAGAAGACTTGGAGTTTATGGAGAAAATGAGGGCAGAGAGAATTGAGAATGACTATAAAGAAGACATAGTCAATGTTAGCGATGTTGCTAATAAAACTATGAAAAAAAAGAGGGAGCTAATGGTCAGAGTAAGGGGACATTTAGAATAGAAGATCCTAGTATCAACTGGTCCAAGGCTTGAATACGGCAGACCCTACATGAAAAGGAAGACCACTTAATCCTGTAATGGTCTCTTCGCCTCTCACACTCCTCCCCACACATCTGGTCGAATGAAGTAGAGATTAAATTACTGTGCCCCTGCAGGAACCCTGCGTTGGAAGGTGTGTGAGAGGCGGAGAGACCATTACAGGATTAAGCGGTCTTCCTTTCATTTAAGCCGTGGACCAGTTAGCACTGGGATCTTCTTATTTTGAACGGCCCCTCATTCTGAATGCCCCTAAGTGATCATAATCCTTCTTCTGTAACAAAGGGGAAAAGCATGTCAAGTATGTTACTGTTGCTGGCAGATATAAAAAAGTATTACATTAATAGTCAGTGTGACCTCAGTAACTTGACTACTTTGTTGCTCAATTTTATTTACATTAAGTTGTTTTCCAGTCTAAAAGTTTGGAGAGACTGTTGGAGGTCCACCATGAAAAGACAGTGAAGGACATTGAAGAGATCGTGGCAGACACAACTGCTGAGAAGAAATTAGAAAAGGCTCTTGACAAGACCAGGTATTGTTTTATTTGCTTTTTTCTACTTCCCAGTTTACTTCAGTAATTTTATGGATAAAGATATTGTATTTTTTTACAAGTTGGAGGATTATGCTTGTTTTTGCAAATTGAGGTGTTTCAGTTTAGTTCACATAGGTTAAGTAATTCTTATAATTTTAATAATTATAATAATCTTTTTCTTTTAAAAATATTTCAAGACAGCATTTATAAATGAAAATATTTATGTTTCTAGAGGGTTTGTGAAGTATAAGCGTGCCACTTACCAGTACCGACAACCTGCAGAAAGAATGAAGGATTGGAATGAGATCTACAATCACAAGCAAGTGCAGAATGGACTCAAAGAGCAGGCTGCCAGGTCAGTCTAAATATACCTCAATGTCACTGTGGATGCTTTCATGTGTGTGAGCATAAATGCATGTGTGTGTGTGTGTTTAAGGAAGAGTGAAATTATGTTGAGCTTAATCTGTAAGTATAGATCAATAAATATGATGTTTTCTGAACATGTTAATTTCATATTCTTTAACATCTTTTATCAGTTATATTGCCCTCTCTGTATCATGATACATTGTTATGACTCTAATTCTGTGCATGTTATATTTTCCAGGTGTATGGAGTGTGGTGTCCCATTCTGTCAATCGAGCAATGGCTGCCCACTAGGAAATATAATTCCAAAGTGGAATGATCTCGTCTTCAAGGTAAGGAGGCCATCTGAAATAAAACTGTTGAAAGGACTATCAGTCTAAAAGATTGCAAAAAGTGTTTTATAATTCTTTCCATTCTTTTGGTGGAAATATTCTTTCAAATGTTATTAATCTTTTTTTATTTTAATGCTTAAATTTTGATTCCTTTAGGGTTTCTGGAAAGAAGCACTGGACCAGTTGCTCCAAACCAACAACTTCCCAGAGTTCACTGGTAGATGCTGCCCAGCACCTTGTGAGGTAGACATGGCAACCTGTTAACAGATCTGAAAGTGAAATTAAATTTGGACTTTTGGAAAGGAAAAAAATTGGAATTTTTCTGTTGATATAAGAAGACATTCTTTATTAAATGTACCACATTTTATGTAGGGTTAAACAGCAAGTTTCCTCCATAACCATCAATCAGTATACCTTAATTTTTAATTGATTTGCAATAAGCCCAATATAGTTGGAGTAATTGACATATCTTCCTTTAATACAATATGTACAATTTTATACTTAACTCTACTGCACCTGTAATAAGTACCATTTATATAAGCAATGCTATCTTCTCAGGGTGCATGTGTTTTGGGCATTAATTCCCCTGCAGTCACCATTAAGAACATAGAGTGTGCCATCATAGACCATGCCTTTGATCAGGGCTGGATGGTTGCCCACCCACCATCTGAGAGGACAGGAAAGACTGTAGCTGTTGTGGGAAGTGGACCATCTGGACTTGCCTGTGCTCACCAGTTGAATAAGGTATATATGTAGTCCCACTCAGAAACCACAAGACCATAGCACATGCATAACCAAGTCCTTTATTTTCAAGAATCGTTTTGTGTATAGGCATATGTTGCTTGACTCATTGGTTATTGATTGTTACTGATATGAAGAAAAATATTATATGTTTTGTGTATGTCTCTCCTAGGCTGGCCATACAGTGACTGTTTACGAGAGAAATGACAGAGTTGGAGGGCTGCTACAATATGGTATACCTACCATGAAACTAGGCAAAGATGTGAGTTCATTTATAATTGATTTCTCAAGAAAAAATTTGAAAAATTCATTCATATTCTGACAGAAAATCAAGTAGTTCTGATCTGAAATTTGTGCCTGAAATGAATAGGCTTATATTGTTTTAACCCAGGTTGTTCAACGCCGCGTGGAACTGTTGAAAGGGGAAGGCATTACATTCAAGACCAATGTTGAGATAGGAAAGACACTATCTGCTCAGCAATTAGTGGATGGCCATGATGCAACTGTGCTGTGCTGTGGAGCCACCTGGCCCAGGGACCTGCCTATACCAGGTCAGAGTCTAGATAATATACTTATATCTTATAAGAAATGACTGAGTGGCATGTATTAGATACACCACAAGTCAGCAAGATATATATGTTGAATGCTTATATTTAGTAAATAGGTGGATGTCACAAACACTTTGCTAATGCACAAGGTACAATGAATTTGTACCTTGGTGGATGCCAAGAACTAATTTAAAGATAAACTCCTTGCATGCCTCTCTATTTGTTTGTGAAATACACTGCATCTTGATCTTTTTTCAAAACACCCATCTGGCTATAACTATTAATACAGTGGCTCTCAGTTTGCTGCTGCGATTATGATTGAATAATTGTAGAGGCGTACCCATTAGATTAGTGGTAATTAATCTTCTTCAGGTCGTCAGTTGGATGGCATACACTTTGCAATGAGCTTCCTGGAGACTTGGCAGAAGAAACAGATGGGGAACAACCTGGATTACCTCAAGTACTATGCCAAAGACCGAGACGTGCTGGTGATTGGAGGTGGAGACACTGGATGTGACTGCATTGCTACTTCCCTCAGACAGGTGGGTGTGATGTGACAGTTGTGACAATGTGTTAGTTGTGATAGTATGGGTGAGACAGGTGCATTGGTGATGTGATACATAATGACATTTTTGTAATCTCTCTGGAATAGGTGCATTCTTTGTGTTGTTTTGTCTCGTATGTAGGTGACATTAGTTGACAAAATTGATGCTTCTATCTGTTTGATTGATGAAGTGTGGTAGATGTAATAATTTGTTTTTCACAGTGTTGTGGGGATTAGCTTACACATTGCTTTTTTAATAAGTCCAATTTGAGTTGTGAAAATAAATCCTTTTTTTTTTCAAAATTAAAGATTTTGCACAGAGTTGGTCTTTTTTCATATTTTGTATTTTGACTTCAAACTTCAGACATGAGCTTTATCCACAAAACGTGGAATTACACTGAGATTCCTCAAGATCTGCAATAAAATCTGTTCAGAGTTTTTTTTTTAACCTAGGCTCATGTCTGAAACTTGTGTAAGTAAAACTGTTGAGAATCAACATAAATGGTGCTAAAAAAAAATAGAATAACAAAAACAAACTGCTTCAAGTTGAACTTTGTACCCCCAGGGGGCCAGGTCTATCACCACCTTTGAGATTCTCCCTCGCCCACCACCCGACCGCAGCTCCGACAACCCCTGGCCAACATGGCCACGGATCTTTAGGGTTGACTATGGCCATGACGAATGCAAGGTCAAGTTTGGAAATGATCCACGCATCTTCTGTGTTATGAGCAAGGTGAGTTTTTTCATTCATGTGATAAAAAAATTTACATGCTGTAGTCAGTTGTTTATTTATTTATATATTCTGCATAAATATAGTAAAATGTTTTAAGGTATACATAATTGTCAATAATTAATACAAAGAAGAAAATGTACACATTTGAATGTTGAACATTTCTTAATGGTTATATATACTATTTGTCTATATTTATACATGTATGTATCATTTTTAGGAATTCCTTGGTGATGAAAATGGTCGTGTGTCTGGCATAAAGACTGTTCAGGTTGACTGGAAGAAAGATGAAAACGGAAGATGGAATTTAGTAGAAATTCCAAGTAAGAAAATTTATTGGTTATTTGTTGGGATTACAATTAATCTTCAGTTTATGGTGATCAAAGTGATGGAGGTCTTGTTTTTGCTATAAGGAACATATTGCATTTGAATTTGAAAGCTTGTTTTATATTTTTGTGTAAATTTAAAATAGATTTCATCAAGCACTGGTACATTATTTTTATAATACTACTTTCCAGACTCTGAGAAGGTCTACAAGGCAGACTTAATCCTTCTTGCCATGGGATTCCTAGGACCAGAGAAAACCATCATAGATGAGCTGTCCTTGAACCAAGACCCTCGCTCCAATATTGAAACTCCCTCTGGCAAATACAGAACTAGTGTGAAGAAGGTCTTTGCAGCTGGAGGTAGGATATTTGTTATTAAGGTCTTTCATTGCATGATAAAAATTGGAAATGATGTGTTCTAAAAACACCAGCTTTCTTTTTGCTTACTAGATAATTAGATTAAACTTGTGCTCGAACGTTTAGAATATAAAATAGTTAGATATAAAAAATTAAGATATAAAAACCCTGCTACCAAGGGCTATTTATATAAATGTATTTGTCAGATTATTATCATTTTGTATGATATTGTATCATGATTTATGTTTTGTTTCAGATTGCCGACGTGGCCAATCATTGGTGGTCCATGCTATCAACGAAGGTCGCCAGGCAGCCCGTGAAGTTGACCTTGACCTGATGGCGAAGACCTCTCTGGCAGGACCTGGTGGGGTGGTGATAGCTAAAGGTGTCCCAACTATAGCCTAAACAATAAAAAGATGTTACATATTATGGAAAAGTGTTACCTGCATGAGAATCTCTGCATGCACCATAAACAATCACAAAGTTCTGTTAATTTCCACATATGTGTGTTATGAGAAAGTTCTGTACTCATTCAGGATAAGTAAGCAAAGTTTAAGGATCATGGAAAATGCCATCATGCTGGTGACAGTGATTATTTGTTACTTACTTATGCCATAGTAACTAACAAGGTCATATTATATGCATAATTTTAACAATTTCCAACAGTGTTTAACAGTATTTGAGTTTATCCTCTTATTTCAAGGATATTTTTTCCAGAAATAGAAGGGGTTTATTTGTACATGTATTTTATTGAAGTTTTACTTAGTATTGAAATGTTATTATTTTTTGTAGAAAGATATATTCAGCATGCACATCAAAAATTTGGTTTAGCAGCTTAATTATGTATTGACAGACATCACATGCACGCATGCATTGCAGACACATTGAAATACCTAACACAACTCCTCATTTTTTCAATAGGTATTAATCACACTTTGATTTGGTGCTGGTTTCTTTGGTTTTGGTGCACATGTGATTTTCTTTCCTAAAAATGGATCTTGTATTTCAGCTTTTTTAGTTTAATCTAGATTCCAAGATTTGTATTTGTTAATGTTATGCTTGCCTGTTTTAGTTGTTAACTAAGGACATAGAATTCATTTTTATCACTGAAGACACCTAAAGGACAATATTGAAACAAAGTTTGAAAGAGAGTGACTCTATTTTGTTGAAGGATTGTTGAGAAAGGGGAACTTTGTGAGCTGATTTCCTTTCGGCTGTAAAGTGTTGTAAAGGCTGAATCAAATGCTGCTGTTCCAAAGAAGAACATTGTAATGTTACCATTTTTGGTATATGAGGTTCCTGCTTGTCCAGTTTTGATTTTATTACGTTCCATGAAACAATTAGAGTTTTTCCCAAACAACAACTTATTTGTGTTTTGATTTTATTACGTTCCATGAAACAATTAGAGTTTTTCCCAAACAACAACTTATTTGTGTGTTACTAACTGATGAAAAACAATTGCTGAGATTTTTAAAATTTATTGAATGATGGATTTTATTGTTGAATCGATTTAGATTGTCGTTATGGTAAAATGTCAACAATATTTAATATTGTAAACAAATAAATTGTCAATGTACATATTTGTTCGTTCATTTGTGCTTCTTTCAATTGTATAGTAAATTTCACAGTGTAATACTGTAAAAATTCTGAAGTGTGATAGAAATTCTATCACATCCAGCACACTGGCACACCTGATGCAATGCAGGGTCCAACCGTACATAATATGGAGATTGGAAGTTTACTTGGAAAGAGCCTTGGAAACAGCTACGGTTTTGTTAACCTGGAAGTTGCACTGTTGACGTCGTCTGCTACGATGTGTAACTTCGGCTGTGTAACCTGGAAGGCGCTCTGTAAAGATCATCATTTGTCAGGGACATGGTCATCACTGACACAGCGGGGGTATTGTGTGCAGGCGCAGGGCTGGGAACTGTAGGAGTAATTCCAGCATTTGTGCCTACCCTTGTAGAGTTACGGGACAAAAGATCGAATGTTAATTTGCGACGTCTACTCGGAATTCTAGGCTCCTTTGTCGAATAGACGGTGGGAGATCGTTCCACTTTCTGGAATGCTGGCGTTTCACTGCCAGAACGTCTCTGTTTCTTCTCTGTTTCGATCATGGACATTTGGGACATAGTATCAGTCGTTCTTTCTGTTTCTATCCCCTCTGCTTTGCTCTTGCTCCTTTTGTGCTTTTTCTGTCGTTTGCCAGATTCCTTTGGTTCTATTTCCCGAACTGGTGTCGTTGTAGGCAAGGTGAAACGTGTTGTAGGAGCCCGAACGTCATTTAGATCTGGTTCTTCCGTGTCAAGGATTGACTTATGGTATTCTTTCAACTTTTTTCTCTTGCTGCTTGACTCTAATCTGTTCTAGTTTCTCCTTCCTGACTTGGTTTTTCATGCCTCTTGAAAGCTCGCTAAAATTTGTTGAAAATAATTTCGTTAATGCTAGCACCCGCTCAATAAATCAATTTATTTAACAGTAGGCCTAACAATGCCATTAAAAAGAATACAGCGATGAACAATAACAAGAAATAAATCCCTCGTTTTATTACAGAAGTTCGATTTACAACCCGTCTCTTTTAAAAATGACTCCGAATACTGATGTTGTTAGATATCTACTTACGCGGCGTTGACACCTCCTTGCTTTGACTCCGACACCAGAGCTAAGACCTCCTCCAAGTCACCTTTATACAGACCCATGTCAGCGTTCTGAAATAAGGTATTCGACACTATACTTGGGCCTTAATTTTTTTCCTCGATTTTCGGATATTTTTCGATATTGAATCATGAACTTAATGGGAACTCCCGTCTACACCAGCGGGCCTGTACATGGCAGTCTGCGATATATTAACGATGGTAGGAGTTAAACGTATGTTTTGTAAAGCATATTCTCTCTCAGAAATATTTACAGCATGACGAAAACGAAAAGTTCGCTTACAGAGTAATTGTTACCTTCTTCCAAATATGTGACTGCTTAATATGAGGCGCTATTAGTACATAGTAAATAGTTCATAGACTTTACAAACTAAGCTATTCCTTGGGGTTGAAAGAGAGGTCTTTAAAGTGTAATTTTAAAACTATATAGAGCAAATACTAGAAAATTGTGTACGACGCAAAAAGGTTCTTTTGCGCAAAAATCACACGAGCGAATTTCAGAAAAGCTGTCAACTGTTTCCTGATAGACGAAGCAACTTACTTTGAGTCTCTGTCTGAACGACTCTTTGTTCATGTTGTACATTTTCTCCTTGTCCATACTTCGGAATAGCTCCAAAGGTCGCAGGTTCATGGACTGCATATGTGCAATCACCTTTCTCATTGGATCCACTGCGGCGTCTAAAATCGGAATAAAGCGCTGGGTATCAAACTTTTTAACGATCTAAAACTCAAAATTCAAAGCGCTTTCGAAAATAAATTTATTTCACAATAACATTAACTTACATTTCTGCGTAACATTGTTAAAATCGACGGAAGGCCTATTGCATCAGATACATCATTACGGTGACTTTACACGTTTCAGTATATTGGTCTTTGGTGTTAGACTGCTGATTTACTGATTTTGATGGGTGTGGTGTAAGAGTGCTACTTTGTGTTCGTTGCAACAGATAGCTGTTTGTTTTTCCGAAATATATCTCATCTTTCTTGAACGGCCAGTAGGCCTACAGGTAATAACAAGCTGCATGCAATGAATAGTTCTTAAAAGTGAAAATAGCCCTGTAATGAATCTGACGTAGGATGTAAGTCCCACCAATCGTAAAATGGGCAAACCCATGCTAGGTCCTCTTATGCTTTGTCTAACTTAGCCTAGAAGACGCTCTTGGGTCCATAGTATAGTCACATGGTCAAACTGAAGTGCTGCCACGTGTTTTTAAATGCCACGTGAGTGCATTTTAGCTACTTCTGAAGAATGCTTTACGAGTCCTTACTCGGTTTCCGTCCTATAGCATCATGATTGGACACTGTTCCTCCGTGTGTGTATTTGAACTGCCTAGACTGCTGTATTGCACCAGCCATAAACTCGAATTCTCCCAAAACCGGAACGCCCTGAAAAAATGCCATGATTAGATGTCAGGGACTTTACTGTAATCATTTGATTGGTCCTAGCTCAAAACTGTGTATACCCTAGTCGCATAAAACATGCAGAAATCAGGGGTTTGGTGCGTAGATAATATTGAAAATAAAAAACAATACTTTATTTATCAATCTTTTTTTTTCAATAAAAAGTTTACTTACGCTCATATCCAATTCCTTTATTGCGCTGCACGTGCAGCTAACGCTCTCTATAATGTTTTGGGCCCCGTTTGTTGTCAGTGGATTCATTCCAATCTGAAACGATGAGGGCGACATTGCAAACCAATTCATTTTTGTCGTGATGTCTAGAGAACGCTGCTATAAACACTCCTAAAGGTTTTACAGTATAATCGTTCTTGCACTTTTTATTTATTTATTTATCTTTACCAAAAGGAAATTTCATTAATTTTCTCAATTCACATTTCAAATTGCCAGGTCAAAAGTAAAACATTGGAAGTATTGTAAGTCGATCATGCAAGTCTTTCTTTCGAACCTTGAGCACTTCGAGTGTTGAATTTCGCCGCAGACCGTTCGCAATGAATTCCGCTGCACGGTGTGAGATGCGATTGTTGCTGATATTTAGTTCCTTCAGCCAGCGGTTTCTCTTTAGGACTTGCCCTAAGGCAAGAGAGCCTTCGTACCCGAGACCGTTCCATGATAAATCCAAGTAAACCAAAGTCTTATTTTTCTGCAATGGATTTTATGAATTACAAAATTATAGATAAATAAATATATATATAGAAATAAAACAAAATAAAGTAAAATTAAATACAACTAAACACCGCGATCCTAATGTTTTTTATTTATTTATATTTATTTTATTTATTTATTTATTTTTTTGGAGGGGGGAGGGGTATTATGAAAGTCGATTTTTCTCAGATTAAGCAAGTCTGAAGATAAGATGTGGCATTCAGAAATAAATATGTATGTTGGAAATAAGGTTTACTTTGTACGCCAGTAATCCAAGACAAATACTTCTGGCCGAGCCAAATAAAAATCATTTAACTGTAAAAAGATAAATCGAAATGCCTACTACATTAAGAAAAAAATTTAATGATTTTGCGATACATATACTATCTATAAATTAGTTCCAGGAGAACATTCTAGATACAAGAATGGTTCTGTTTCCCAGACCCGATACTTACTTGTAACGCTCTGCAAATAGACACTGCTCCTCTGCGGCGGATATGGTTCCAACTAAGATTGAGCCGCTCGATCGATCGATTCTCTCCTGATGATAAAATGGATCACATTAATATTAGAACGACATGAAAACCGATCAATAAATACAAAATGTACTTCTCAAAAGCACCACGTCAAACTATTGACTGTATGCCATAATCAAATGTAGTTGATATTACCGCTTGCTATCATCTGAATTCTTGGGTGGCCTTACCAAGAGCTTTCCCAATGTACTGTGCCCCCTTTTCCTGGAAGTGATTGTTACTGAGGTCCAGCTCGGTGATCTGGTCATTACCCTGCGTGACGTACAAACAATCCGTTTATTAGGCTCATTAATTACGATAGGTAAACACTGATTATTTGTATTAAGCTATACAAAATCGATTTGTTGACTTTACTTGACAATATTGTTACCCGCGCATTGATTTCCTGTTACAACAACAGCAACCCGCCACATGGAGTTTATAATAAATCACTTCAAATTAGCTATAAGCGATGGGACTATGACATCCTTACCTCTATCCCTAGTGCGAAGTACTTGGCATCTTCTTCTGTAAAGTTGTTATCTGTAATAATGAAATTGATATAAGGCTTTGCGGTTTTTTATTAACCTCGATATTATTTGACGTATATAATAATGAATTCGAAACTGATATAAGGCTTTGCGGGTTTTATTAGGCCCGATATTATTTGGCGTATATTTTTACACCCTCGTACATAAGTCAGAATTCATTCAGTTAACATAAAACCATTCCATTTTCTTATAAAGAAACAATGTCTATTCTCTTTACTCGACTTTTTCGTAACCCCCTCCCTCCCCTCCCCCTCTGTCTCTTTCTCTCTCAACTAGCGATTGTCTTACCTGACAGATTCAGGTGTTTGATCTCCATATTCCGTTTCATCACCTCTGATAATGGGACAGAGGCACGGATGGTAGGGTGTGCAGCTCCCATGTTATTCTTGGCCAGATTCTGATGGCAGGCAGACAAAAAAATGAAGACATTATTGTTGCGTTGTCTTAAACATTAGATAGTGCTTCATTTCAAACATACGAAAAGCAATAAAACGGTAACATCGTTTAGATGGTAAGTTGGTAACTTTATAATTTTGGAATCCTCTCTAACAAGAACCGGTTTCTTAGGGAAATTACAATAGCGAAATCATAAATAAATGAAAAAAAATAGCACTCAACTGGTAGTACTACAACTCCGTACTCACCACATGTGTGATAAACTGGTTGTAGACCAACACCTGGGACATTACTAACGCACCAGGTGCTTCAAGTTTGTTGCCTTCCAAATCTAAATGGACTATTGTGGTGTTTATCTAAAAAATGAGAACAATATGGCATATATATGTTTTAGGTTTCAATTAGACATCTTTTACACTCTAAATTCTTATTAGAGGGGCTACTAAATGTCAATTTATATTGTAATAACATTCAAAAAGCAGAATAGCATCAATTAGACGCCATTATTTTATACTCTGCACTCTTAGGAGAGTAGAAGTGCCACTATGTAATTTTTTTTTAGTAATAATGGCCACGGGCTATATAACTTCTCCTTTACTTTCTAATCTTGCTGATTTAAATCAAGTAGTTGACACTGTCATGTTAACATACAGTTATCTTCTGTGTTAAACAGATTGAAAAAAAAAAAAAAGAAACGGGGACCTACATCGTTCTGTTTCGACAACCAGAAAAATCGAATGAGCATTTTACTACATATTCTATGATGAATAAAATTTGCGATTTACCTCGAAATGTAAGAATCATTGAGATTCATAATGCAAAAAAATAATACCTCTAGTGCTGCGGCGAGGGCTTCGGCGGCCTCAATTCCCATAGCTCGGTGTCGTAATTTCATTATATCTTTATTGAGGTACTTCAGTATTGCCGTCATGGGAATTAGCTGTCGCTTGCGACACTCAGAACGGTAGATGTTAGCGCCAATGCTATTCTCCTCTACCACCGGGGCCACGGCTATGAAAAATGGAAACAAAAATTAATTTTTTGAAATAGTGTGTGTGTGTGTGTGTGTGACAGTCAGTTAGAGAGAAATAGAGAGAGGGGAAGAGAGAAAAAAGAGAGAAAAAGAGAAAAAATGTCTGATTAATATCAGAACTTAAGAATTTACTTTTTATTTCAAGATCGACATCCTCAAGATCCGTGTCATATTTGTCGCTGTCGTAGAAGGAGTTGGTCGCATTACGCTCTAGATGTGGGACGCTTTCCAAAGCAGGAGCCGCCATTTTGCACCTAATAAAGATACAAATAAATTGAAAAAAGAAGATAAATTCTATTTATACAATCTTACGGTATCCGTAAAAATTGTAAAAATAAATACGTTAACTCCTCTTTCTGAATCTTGCTACTTGAAGCATTTCTTCAAGAACACAGACAGCGACAAAAACCTACTCTTCGTTGCGTGAAACTCTTTTGTAAAAAGTCTTTAAGATAACGGATCTTTATATTAGATGTCACATGACAAGACAATATCTGATTTGCATAGTGTCTAAAAAGGATATAACTAATGAAATACTTAAAAGTTTTGTCCACATACCTCCGACCTGCTGTGAAATCGCCGCCTAAGTAAACTGGAAGTTGTTTTCATAGTGTGGCAACAGTGAATGCCGTCGCCCCTTCTGATTATTCAATATCATCCGAATTTACAATTCGGACCTACATTCCGATATCGGACATCGATATTCCTTCACAAATCTATTTCGGTCTTAAATCGGAAATCGAAAAACCCACAGTAGTTGGAAATTTAGTTCCAATGTATTCGACGTTTAGCGACGTAGGTTATAGAGTTAGTTATATACATGTCGCAGTTACAATTTACGTTGACTGATAAAAAAACTCTCAAGCATAAAGATAACGATACGATAAGAGAGAGAGAGAGAGAGAGAGAGAGAGAAAGAGAGATGCGATGGGGATGGGGGTGGTGAGGGAGACGTAGGCCTACCGACGTTCAACAAAGTTCAGTTTAAATATTTTATAATTAATATTACTTAGATATGGCATACATAAAGTATGCAAAATTCTTAAGTTGCAATAGATAAATATTTTTAAAAAATCCACAAAGATATGAGATCATGCCCGGGGCTTATGATGAATTTTTGAGACGACAGAAACTGAAAAAGAAAAAATAATTGCAAAATTTAGGTACAATAGTTTGAATAAAAGATGAAGGTGGGGTTGAAATCGGGCATTAGAAATATATAAGAGTGCGATCAAATTTGGTTTCATAGAGCATTTGGTGCCGCTAACGCCCATATTCCTTTATGCCTACATAATAGCATTTTACATAGTTACCATTGTGAATGAAGTATATGAGCTGTTGTGCTGGTACCAGGGATGCCTTAACTGAAACGACGCAAATAAAAAAGAATAAAAGATCTGTCACAGCGGTCTTTTGTAAAGGTCTTTATTGAGAAAAAAGACCCCAGAAGCTGATGTAACATGATGACTGCAACGCACTGGAAAACATCTAAATTCAATTAATAGATTTTGATTCGAGATATATTATGACAATGAAAAATAAACTGCATTCTTACAGTATGTCTACATTGGTCTGTTTTTTTGGGCGTTGTTCAAATAGTGGTAGTTAAAAAGTAACAAGATCTATATTTAATTTTATCAATACTTACATCTTTCTACAATTGACCGTTTTGTATTCTAAGCAATAATATTTTTGATTACCAACTTTGTAACGTAACATAAAAAGTCTAGAACATCATTTCATTTAAAAAGTATTTTAGATAAATCGCCCTTCATTTCCCTTTTCAAGCGTGCTTATGTATTGTTCTGAAAAAAGAAGAGAAAGAAGCCCAGAAAATCGTCTTGGCTACCTGAATTTGAGGAGTCAATAAAGAAAAAAAAGAAAGGACAAATGAAGTTATCCTCAATGTGCTAAGACTGAGCAGGGCTCGAGTCCCATATGCTCTGTTTTCATGTGTTATTTTTATTAGTTCGTGCTGGATCTCTCAGATGTCGCCACTTACCGCCAGGGAATCCCGCGAGAATTTCGAACGAGATGTATGCGCCGCAACCTTGCGCAGTGGTGCGGTAGAGTAAGCTAGCCTGATAGATTCGTTGTGAACTTTTCACTTCAACAAGGATTTACAGACGATGCGAATTACAAAAGCAATGAAACAATGACAGGCATATCTGCTGATGTACATTTGACATATATGTACCCAATATTAGCTGAATTATGCTCTTGATCTGGATTTGACAAACTTTAAAGGTAAGCAGGCTCACTTGACAACAACCACGCCAACTGGCTCCCCGTTTAGATGGTAGGGTAAGCTCTAAACGTCTGGTTCATACTTATCTTTATTGTCTGATGCAGGGCTGTCAAAATTAATACTATCCCATTTTAGCATCATAACATCATTAAGTTATTCTAAAGATAAAACTACATTAGGCATAATGGCTTAAAACAGAAGCGGTATATTTGCACTTTTACTGGTACAGAGGCAGAGTCTAATTTTCAAATGAAATTTGTAGTGTGTAAAAAAACATAAAAATAAAAAATAATTCAATGATTTAATAAAATTAAGAAAATAAAAAATACCGAAAATGTGGATATTTATGCCATGTGTTTAAATGAAAATGTATTATTTTCATTCATATTTATGGCAGGTAAGCCCTGAGCAAAATGCATAAATGCACCCATTCCAGCTCCTGAGAATTAGAATAAGCAAAGGATCTGTGCTGAAACTACAGGTTAAATTCAGCTTTCAATGCATGATGTTATTCCATATACAAATGTAGTTAATTTACCACTAAATTATTGTGGTGTTGTGAATGCTAAATCTACCAGTAAGTAATGATATTTGAACACATTTAGATTAAGTAAAATAGAGCAATCAAGCATCTTAAAACAAATGCCTTGTGACATAAAATAACTGGATATAATTTTTGACAGATCCAGTAAATGCATTTAACAACATGCATGCATGATTAAGTGTAAAATATCACTGGTTTTCTCTGTAAATGCTTCTTTGGTGAGGGGAGTTTACAAATTGAATCATGTCAAAAGGTTTAAGCCTATGAGTATCTTTTAAAGGTTATCACCCAGAGTAGAGAGTGAGTCAAAACAAGACCCTAAGGATAAGGTCAGGGCCTCCCTTTACCTTTCCATACCTTAAAGCAACATAAATTGATAAACCCATTGCTCCTTGCTGTCCTTGGCTAAAATCAATAGCATTATGGCAGCAGACATTGATTATTATTGTAAAATGTTTATAACATCAATCATTTCTCAATAATGAAAATATGAAGGGCATGTACCTTTGATTAGGCTTAGATCTAACCAGAATATTAGCATGTGTGTTATAGTCAATTGTCTTTCAAGAATAATTTTTAGCTTTTAAGTTGTAAAAGAATTGGAAAGCAAGCTTTCATCTTGTTCACGATCTATATTCAATTATCTGATAGAAAGCCTAGTGGAGGCAAAATCACACGAATGTGTATCAGGGGAAGGTAAGATATTGGTACCTCATTAATGACATGTTTATCAATACTTTTAAGTTACATGTATGTCTTTATTCTGCTGATTTATGATGTAATGTCATTGATTACAAATAGACTACTGCTGTTAATTATCTTTTCAAAACACTACTTATTTAGATTAAAGAAAAAACATATGAGGTAAGAATTATCACATTCACAATGCATTTATATCTTGTTGTATTATTTACTGTTAACTCCCTTTAAAATATACCTCTGTATACACACATGGGTAAACCAGCTATTGCATTAAGTCATGTGGATACAGGTTTTGTATTTCTTCCCTAAGTGACTGCCTGTGTCACACAGTATAAAGTTCCTGTTCAAAGTCCTGTTACAGTTATGAAGGCAACATTCCTTCTGGTATCATAGAAACTGGAAATCCCTTTGTAACCCTGGTTTATTCACTTAAGCTTCTTGCACACCAAGCTTATAGCGCGATCCTGGTTCACTAGCCATGGAACATGGTTATATTTGAGAAGGCAATTTATGTGGTCTCACCTCTCATTCATTCATTGCTACTGTCAGTTTTAAGTTCCCACATTAAGTGGTGGAGAGAAAAATGGCAAAATGAGAATGTAATTTGTAGGTGAAGAGGTGGGTGACAGAAAAATTACCAGCTTTTGCCATAACATCTAGACTTATGGTGGTGCTTTTGTGATAAGGAAAATTGTTCTTGTATAAGAACAAGTGTGTTTTTTCATGTTTAGAAATTGATACATTTATTGCCATGGTTAAATTTGACACTTTTAGTCAGGATCTTTGTGCCTGCATAAAGGAATATATGTTGTTGCCAACACCAATTACAGAAAGGCACTACTTGGCACTTTGAGGAGCAACCGTAGTCTTTACTTTGTAAGTACTACAATTGTTATGATAAAGATGCAACATTGAGTGAGAAAACCTGCTTCAGAGGTGGATGTAGAAGCACAAGTTTATCTTGTTAACGAGTTAATATATTTCCAAGTCTGTGTTCTCAGTCAAGCGGGTCAGTTGACGTAAAAGCCTGTTGTTGTAGTTTGTTTGCCCCTTCCAGGTAGGCAGGAGGAGGTTGTTTATGCAATACAGCCCTCTTTTCTTCTTGCTTACAGCACCACTGTTTGATCACAATATTGGTAGGCCCAAGCAATTGCACAAAAGCTTCCATTCCATTATGTGGCGCTGTTGATGTAAAGTGAAGGTTGATCTACACCTGACCCTGTATAGGGCTCCTATGCTACAGCAGTTAGTTCAATTGGGGTCTTTCTATGTTGCTTTTTAAAAAGGGATGTATTTTTATTACCCAACTACATAAAGTCAATGAACCCACAGCTGGAGTTTCTGCTTGAGGCAGAACCAATCTATACTACTTTCGTAGAACTTGTTAAATGAGTTATTGATGATGGTCATCATGTGTAATTACTATGTTTTGTTGAATTGCCTGTTTCTATTGATTCTTAACCTCCTTGTTTTTGTTAAAATAGGTGTCTAGACAATGTCCTCAAAAGGAGATTGCAGAATAAGTTCAATCATACTTAACACATAATAGTTAGTGTAGTACTATTGGTATGATATGTTGACATGTGGATTGTAATAACTAATCCTAGCCATGTATGTTGACAACCTGCCCTTTTGGTGATCAGAAAGTACTTCAACTATACTTTTTTATTTACTTTATGAGTGTGACAACCACTTAAATTGGTTCAACTCAATATATGTCTATGCACAGTTTTAGGCAAATATAAATAAAGTGGGTAAAAAAAATCAGTGTCTTATATGTTATAACATTTTCAATGCTGCGTTTTCTAGTGATGGTATATGGGATCTACGGCCTCAAATAGGATTAACTAAATCAAAAAAAAAAGTAAATAGAAGTGTCACAGTGTAGTTTGAAAATCAAACTAGCTAAAGTATGATAGACTTCCAATTACCAAATTTGACCTCTTCTGTCTTTCAACATTCTGTGTTTAACCTAAAAAAAGTGTTACAGTGACCAGAGCATAACATCATGCACAACCCTGCAATTTGTTGTAAAAAAAGTGCCTGTGGTGTGATTTCTTGGCACATGAAGCATGTTAGGTGCATTAAACCATTCACAAATGTCTGCAGTTGTGGTAGGAACCACGTTCAATTTCCTGACTAGGTCCAACGCTGACAGGCCGTGTTCATGCAGTCAGCATTAACTGGAGACAAATCTGACGTGTGGAATCCGATAAAAGCGCAGAATTAAATTTGATTTTGATTCATGAAATTACATGGGCAGATTATGGTGGAGATAGATGGATGTAGAATTAATAGTGTGTAACCTCAGACTGGCAGGTGTAGCAGTAACTGTATGAAATAGAGGGTCAGGGATACATGTACAAAAGAGACACATTTTCCAGATAACATTTTTTTACTTCTGTTGCTATAAATTCCAGCAGAATCAATGCATTTAATGCATAACAGGAACTTTTTTTAAAAAAGGCAACTGACTGGAAGAACTTACACTGAGAGCTTCTCCTGTAAAGTAACACTTATAAAAATGTACTATTGATTAACTACATTGTACAACTGTGTTTATCAATAAAACATGCTTTGTTATGTATCCTCAAATCTTTGAAACAAAGAATGTAAATTTGCATAGAACTAACACTTGAAACATCAATTGGCATGTAAAGTACGTCAGGCTTCTGTAATGAATGTTTTTGAATATTTACAAATTAGTATCTTTTGAATAAATTTCTACCATGCTGTTTGTTTTCAGTCAAATCAGTCTAGGAGAGTAATTATTGTCAAGTTTTACTGTAAGGTGTGTACTTTTCTATACTTTTCTATTCATATTATGTGAAAACGGATAATTTTACTAGTTTTCCTTTACCTTCACTCTCTATTGCAAGCATTTTTTTCTTGTCATGGAAAGATGGATGCTTTCACCTTGAGTTTCGTAGGTCAATGGAACTTGTTTTTTGGTCTGAACTGTTTATAAGGATAGATATATTCCATTGTTAGAAAAAAGTTGAACCAAAGGTTTATACCTATTTTAAGGGACTTTGAAATTAGGGTTTTTGGGGCAGCTGAATTTAAAGCACATACAATTATCAGAAGTTGTGAGCTTTAGCAGGTGACTGTGAATCTGGGGTTCCAGGAGGGGCAGTCAGAGGATATTGAGACTTGTATCTCCCCATGTACTGCTTGATAAGTAAATTTTCCTTCAATGGAACTTCACTGGTCACTCTGGATATCCCCTGAGTTTTACCTGGTTGACTCTTGGCTCTGTTGTCATCAATGTTACTAGTAGAGCCCTTGGCCTGTGGTAAATGTATAGGAGTACTTATGAAGACTGGGTTTTCTAGACTAGATTGCCAGTGTTCTTGTGAAATGTTGTAGCTTGGTTGTGATAATACAAACACAGAGCTTGGTGGCAGGTTTCTGTTATTAAAAGAAACCAATGAAGCCTTCTTTCTGCCTGTCTTTGAAGTATAATGTTTTGCTTTCCTTCCAGAATTAACAAGTTCATGTTTATATGGCACTTTTGTCTTAGTTTGCAAAATCTGAAGGGATCCCTGTAATTGAACTTGGTTTTGAAGTGAGATATCATGTTTTTGCTCATTCGAAGTTTGCCGTTTCCTCCATGATTTCCTTAGTTTTTCTCCTGTCAGAAGATTGTCATGTTTCTGTCTTATTTTCCTTTTGTGTTGCGCTTTTAAAGCACTGATGCCTGGAAGTGGTTTGTCATGATCTTGATGCAGTGATGTTAACGGGTTCACTTTG